TACTTCTATCTTAACCTTAGAAGACTTATTCGCCTTCTCTTCTCTTAGTTAGCTAATAATATTCTTTATACCGAGTATAGTCTCTATATTATTAGAAAACTTCTTAATATTTTTTTTAGTATTTATAAGGCTTATAGTTATCTTAACTAGCTTATTAAATATAATCTACTTTAAGTAGTTAGAGAATACCTTATTCTTACTAATTACTTTTACCCTTAGCGGTTTAGGTAGGCCCTATAAGAACTAACGACTCTTAGTATACTTCTTAATTATATATTTATTCTTTAAAATCCCCGAGATCCTTATAAATTACCTAATATATACTATTATATTTAGTCCTATCTACCGCTTCTTATTCTTTAGCTTTTCTAAGAATATAATTAAGTTTATAATCTATATAATATTATAGCCCTTAAACTTATACTTTATATTCTTCTTTAATTCTTTCTAATTCTTCGAAATATAGTCTAGTAGACTTTAAATTATTTAACTATACTTAAGATTATAATAGCGGTTAATCTAATTAAGCTTATTCTAGTCTATTCGGCTATTATTATTAAAAAGATCTTTGTAATAGTTAAGAAAAGTAGTAATATTTATACTATTAAAAATATAGAACCTGTCCGCTTCTAGTTAAGGTATTAGTAATACTATACGTAAAATTAGTATAACTACCGTAGTAGGTACTATTATTAAGAAGCCTCTAGTATTAAATATACTTACTATATAAACTCTAACTTCTAGAATAGACGTTCTTAGTATTAGTAAAGGTAGTAATAGTAAGACGTCGTAGGTAATATTATTAAGTCTCTCGATTTCTTTATATAAATTACTTATTAGGTTTACGCTTATTAAGTTATAGATAATTCTATTTAGATTTAAGATTAGTAAAAGTATTAGATTAAGAAGAAGTAAACTAGTTTATCGAATTAAGGTTATTTTTATTTTTTTAAAGCTCTTGGCCGCTAAGAGCTCGTTAGATATAGACGGCGACTAGCTATATATATAATTTCCTCCGGGCTTCTATTACGTAGCTAAGTAATCTAAAACCTCCGGAAATTACCTCTTCCGCCTAATAGTAGCCCTCTTAGCTATTTTAGAAAGTATACGTTTCTAATCTAGTATACTAAAATAAGTCTCTACTACTCTTTTACTCTTAACCTTACTAGTTCTTAAGCTACTTAAAACTAGATTATTTAGAGTTAAATAAGTCTTACTATTTCTAAATACTCTCTCTTTAGCTTTAAATTAAGATATTAATTAATAGATAAGTATAAAATTCTTTACTTACAAAACTCTATAACTTCTTAATATAATAATTAAATAAGTATTACTAAAGTATTCTCTACGTAGGTTACTAATATAAACGAGAGAATATATATAATCTAGTATATAGTAAATATAAACGACTAAGATAGTAAAAGAGGTAGTTTTTAATAAGTAAAGAAGATAATATTTTAAAGCTATCTAGTAACGAGCTAATATATAAACCCGGAACGAAATAACTATAAGCCGAAATAAGTCTACTCTATTATACTAACTATTCTATTAGCTCTAGTAGTAATATTATCTATTTACTATCTTTAATTTAATAAATAAAAGAATTATTATAAAAGTTCTAAGTATATAGATAGTAGATAGATAATATTACTACTATAACTAATAAAATAATCTATAAAAACTCTTTTAAATATATAGATTTAATAGCTAAAAGAATAATTTTAATAATTAAGTAAAGAGACTTTATATATATAAAATTTAAAGTAAATTTTAGTATTTTAAATATTAATACTATAATAATAAACTAACTAAACTTTAAAGACTTAAAATAAATAATACTTATAAGAGACTAGTCTTTTAAATTTAATATTAACTATACTAGTACTTACTAAGTCTAACTAAAGCTAGCTATCTTTTATTTTAATTTAGAATTTAAGAAAGCTCTTTCTCTTTTCTTATTAAACTTATTAAATACTATACTAAATCTTTTATTTATATATATTATTCTCTTATAATATTAAGTTTAATTAATTATAGATTTAAGATTAGTCTTTCTATCTAATAACTATATACTAACTACTATAGTAAGTTTAGTAGTAGCTAAAGAATCTTAATAATAAATATTAAATACTAAGTTATTTAAAGCTTTCTAAAATATTTATTAGTACTAATAAGTACTAGAGATTAAGTTAACTTAATTATAGATTATTACTAAAAACTATAAAGAAGCTATAGTTAAAGTTTAACTAAGTATACTAGAAAATATAGTATTTACTAATAACTTACTAAGAGCTTTAATTATCTTACTCTTAATAGAAAATTAACTAAAATCTAATAGTTAACTATTAAGTTTTAGAGATTAGAAACTATTATTTTAAAATAAATAAGTAAATATCTTTTAAGACTATCTCTTAAGACTTAAAAGCTCTTATATTATATACTTTATAGTAAAACTAGTATTCTCTAAAAATTACTACTAAAATACTATTTATAATATTCTTTTACTATATAAGTAAGTCTAGATAAGATATTTCTAAAAAAAAAGATATATTATACTTAAAAAAAACTTTATAGTACTTTTTATATAACTTAATAAGATCTTTATAAATTAGTAATAAATAGATTAAAGTTCTTAAAAACTTTATAAATATAAGATATTCTCTAGATTAATCTTAAAATAAATACTAGCTTTAATTTAATAAACTTCTACTAAGTACTAGTAAAGAGAGCTAGAAAGGTAATATAAAGATTACTTAATTTAAAAATATTTTTTTAAACTTTATTTAAATATATATAGCTACTAAAACTAGAAGTATAAACTACTATAAATTTTTAAAGAAAGTAAAGAGAATTATAACTAATCTAGAAAAAACTAACTAGTTTAAAGCTTCTAATAAGAAATAAAGAGAGAAAAATAAAAAGTCTAAAGTAATAATAATAGTAACTATATATTTCTAGAAATACTCTATTAGTATAAGAATTAATACTAATAATAATATAATTATAGTATTTATATATATAGAAGATAATTATAAAAAAAGCTTTAAAGACTAAAAAGCTTTAAGTAGAAAGTAAAGAGCTTAATAAATAGATATAGTAAAGAAAGAGAAATACTAAAAGAAAAAACTCTATTTTTATTATAAAGTCTCTAGATACTATATATAAGATTATATATATAATCTATTTATATAATTTATTATTATTAATTAAGTTAATATAGATTTAGTATTAAAAGATAATAATAAAACTATAAACTCTCTACTCTCTATATTAAATAAAGAATAACTCTTAGTTATAGTTAAAAACTAAGAACTAAAGAAGTATTAGTAATAAGATAAAAGAAAGTATTATAGAAAAGTAGTATATATACTAAGGTTTCTTAAAGAATATAGTAAGTTTAATAAAGAATAAAGAAGAAATTAACTTAAACTTTAATATTTAAGTATATATAAGTACTACTAAAGATATAAGCTTAAAGTTAAAGCTTTAGTAAAACTTAGTAAGTATTAAATATAAGTATAAATATAGCTAGTACTATATTTATAGAGTTAATCTCTAATAGAAAGTAAATAAAGAAAGAAATAAAAACCTTATATTTTTTTATATATAAATATAATTCTTTAGAAATCTTTTAAAATCTTTACTTTTATTAATAAGAAATACTAATACTATTCTATAATTAATAGAGACTTAGTAAAAGAGCTTAGTCTTAGTTTTATTAATACTAAAAAATAAAAGTAAAAAAAGTTCTTATTACTATATAAAATTTAGAAATTAAAAAAGTAATTTACTTTTTAAATAAATATAGATAAATATAGCTAAGTAGTATATATATATATATATATAATATTTAACTTAGCTTTTTTTAATATTTCTTAAAAACTTTTAAAAAATAGAAAATAAAATATAGACTATATTTAAAGAAAATTAATTTTATTATAATAAAGTAAATAAATAAATAAATAAAGATTATAACTATTATAACTATATAAATAGTAGAGTATATATAATAATAGTTATAGTTAGTATAAAGAATATTAGAAAAACTATAAAGAGTAAAAAGAAACTATTAATAAAATAGCTAAAAGAAAAGCTATCTTTAAAGATTTAAGATATAATACTACTATTTTAGTAATATACTAACTAGATATTAACTATAAAATTAAAGTTTATAACTAAACTAATAAGTCTTTAACTATATTACTATAAATATTACTATATAGTATATTAAAAGATAAACTATAAGTTTTATAAAAATTACTTAGTAACTTATAAGAAAAGAGATTTATTAGACTAAGTATATTTAAAGTAGTAATATTTATTAGTATTTATAAAGTTAATAAAACTTAATAGACTACTAAGTATATATTTCTATATACTTTTATTTTAGTATTTATAAATTTATATTATTATAAAAAGTATACTAAATTTTAAAAACTTTATATTATTATAAAAAGTATACTAAATTTTAAAAACTTTATAATAATTATTTATAAAGTTTATATAAACTTTAATTAAAGTACTTTTAGTTTTTAATATAAATTTATAATTATAACTTAAAAGTATTAAGATATCTTTACTAATAAGTTATATATATATATACTATAATTATTCTAAATATCTATAGTTACCTAGAGATAGTAAAGAGTAGTCTAATATATAATCTAGCTATATAGTAGCGATAAGGGCTTACTAATAATATATTAATTAAGCTCCTACTTCTACTCCTACTTCTACTTCTACTCCTACTCCTACTTCTACTTCTACTTCTACTTCTACTCCTACTCCTACTCCTACTCCTACTCCTACTCCTACTCCGAAGCCTCTCTCTAGATTATTCTCTAGTAAAGCGGGCAACTATCTACTCTATAATAGGAACAATTTCTACGACATCACCCGCTATCTCTCCGTTCCGACTCCTAGCAGACTTGACAGAAGCCCGCTTACTCGGATTAGCCGCCAACAAGGCTCAAGCATCTAGGCTAGGGAAAGGTATCATGATGGCAACTTCGAATGGTGTATTTGATCAAGATCCAGAGCTTAGTCATGGCTTTCCCGTAGCTCCAAGGCAAATCTTACACCTCCGGGCATGTACGAATTGCGTCCGGGCAAAAGCAAAGTGCTCTGTCGGTGTCGACATTAAAGGGAGGTGCGAGAGGTACAGTGTCATATTCATCGAAACTATAGATCTGACCATAATTTGCTGATAATCGAGTGTAGATGTGATCGCATGAATAAAGATTGTACACCTTCACCTCCAATGCGAAAGCGTCGGGCAATGAAGAGACCTTCTGTAATAGAGACTTCTAAGCTTGAGCAGAAATTAGATGGAATTGTCACGCTTCTGAAATCTGCTTCTCAAGGTGCGCCAGTTCTGAGCGCCCCAAGTACCAACACATCGTTGGACTATAGCCCATCAAGTTGCGATGGTTTTGGTAATGCAGAGGCTGCCATTGATCCCAGCTACCACGAGCACACATACGCGAAACAATTTCCCAGTATGCATATTACTAAAAAATTTCTAACTCCAAAAGCATTATCTTCTTATTCTTCAGAACAAACGGTGCCAAACTTCCCGCCACTATTGCTTCATCTATCTTTGCAGCCTAGCCCAGAAGATAGCGAGCTCTATTTGAACAAGTTTCGAACCGATTTCGCTAAGCATGTTCCATTCATTCTAATCTCGCCATCTGTAACTTCTATTCAGCTCCGTCAAGCGCGCCCTATCCTGTGGGTTTGTATCATGGCTGTTGCTTCCAGTAACTCCACGCAACAGATAGCACTGTCGAAGGAAGCTAGAGCCATTTTCGGACGGGAAGCATTTGTTGAGGGGACCAAGAACATGGATTTCCTGTTGGGGATTCTTGTTTATGCTACATGGTAAGAGTGGTTTGTCAATCGCTGTAATTGTCTCCCTAGGCTAGAGAAAATCATTTCCGCTAATTTGTGTTTCTTGTCTAGGGATCAGCACCATTCTATGGATAGACCCATTTTTGTAATTCTTTTGCAGATTGCCATAGCTATGTTATATGAGCTTGGTTTAGACAAGCCGGCGTCAACAGATCCAGGTCTGATCTTGTCGAATGAAATGAAAGGGCTTCGACATCCTTCAAGATCTGCAACTATGGAGGAACAAAGAGCTTGGTTCGGCTGCTTCTTGATGAGCTCACGGTAGAATCATTTTCAATTTGTATTTTCCCCACTGACAAGTGTAGTTCCTCTGCAATTTCGCGGAAAGGCGACGCTCTCCGTTGGACGGCATATTCGAATGAGTGTCTTCGTGTGATAGAGTCGCAGAATGAAGTCGCATCTGACATTCTCCTTGTTCAACAAGTAAAGTTGCGTTTGATCTCCGAAAGGGTGACGGACGCACCCTGGTCGAGTGCTATGATGGCAGTCGACTCCACGAATTTTGCGATATTCTATCTCCGGTCAATGGAAACCCAGCTCCTTGCTTTCAAGTCTACTATCCCAGCTGAGCTTTCGCAAAATAGTAAGCCGAAACCATGCCACTTGAATCCGAGACTTTTTGGGCTCGGTCGTAGAACTAACAATTCGACTAGAAACTCTGCTTATGGAGGTCCACGACACGTCGCTTCGCATTCACGAAATTGCTCTCTGTCACAAGCCTGATATCTTCAGTGCTGACTCAAATCAACGTCTTAAATCTCTACATGCCTGCCTCAACGCCGTGAGCTCCTGGGTCCTCATTTTCCTCAGTATTGCGCCATCACAATATGTCGGTTTGCCAACAACGACCTTTGCCCAGTTCGTTCACTTCTTTGTCAGCATTTACCGCCTCGAGACTTTTGAAGACCCTTTATGGGACCGGCGGCTTGTGCAAGAGACACTTGATGTTTTAACCTTTTTGGAGACAGCGGAACGAAACCTCATGCTCGTCAAGGAAGCAGCGGGTCTCGATAGGGATGGTTCCGATGATGTAGATATTTTCAGTGTTTTTGCGGCGAGACTGAGGGTGTTCAAGATGTGGTGGGTAGCCAGAAATTCTAACGCTGCTGCTGGTACGTTGGAGGGAGAGGGGACGGTTGATTTTAATGTGGGGTTTCTTGATAATGAGTGGTTCAAAGATATACTTGAGCCCTGGAATGGATAGGAAGTTGGAGAGAACCGAAGGTCCGATCCGACGGAGCTTGATTCAGGTCTAACACTATCGGAATGAGCATATCGACTACCTCTAAGTCTAATTACCGCCGTTGTGGCCTCCGGGGCTTTGTCTATAAATAAAAAGCACTCGCCGCCGGAGAGTACACAGCACTCAATCTACAAACACAACCCTCTCTCACGACAACCTGAACACCAGCCCAAAATGACTTCCTATCCACTCATTCTCTCCTCAATTACTCCCCGAGAAGCCATCGCCGATGCCCTCCTCCGCTGCTTCATCGGCATCGACCATAACGACGCCGCCGTTTTCAAGTCGGCGTTCGCAGGCGAAGATATCTACCTCAGTCACAGCAGCATGCCCAAACCTTTTACGTCTCTCTCCGCACTTACAGCAGGAATGTTCACTCGCGTTGGACCCTTGGACACCACACATATGCTCAGCAACGTGCGTATCGATTATGAGAAGGACGAGGACACAGCGAACATGACGGCGTATGCTCTATGCCAGCATGCACCGCCTGGACAAGGCAAACAGCCAGATGGGCCGAAGTACACGACCGGCGTGGCCTACACTGTTGGCGTTGTGAGGAACAAGGAAGATGGGTTGTGGAAGATTAGTAAAGCAGTCCTAGAAGTAGTCTGGACCCAGGGGGATCAAACGATTATGGGTGGGCCACCGCCTGCAACATGATTCGAGGCAGTGATGGATGGGGATGTGGGAATGTTTTAGTCCTAGTGGCTCATAGATCGAGCATAAAACTACGTCTCGTGTTACTAGCAATACGTGAATATGTTTGATACAGTATACCACAATCTCAAGTAATGATGAAATAGGAGGGGCTGTTCCAGTTATTTGAATGTCCCGCCAACCCTAGAGGTAAGCCACTAACAGTTCCTTACCCATTACTGACCATTACTCATTCAAAGCACTCACAACTGATTATCCTTGTATTCTAGCAAGGCGTAAGCATGTTGAAATGATTAGCCTTGCTGGTTAGAACTCCTTGTGATTCCATGTTAAGATAGATGTTTCGCATCATGCCGACGCCGCCCATGAAATGAACGCCACGGCATCTCAGATGATTAATTGTATATCTAGCTTAACCTACCCTGTATATTCTTTTGGGCTAGGTTCCATCGGTCCTCTGTAGTCCTGGTCATACTTGATAGCCACAAGTCGCAAGCGAAGGAACCCCCTTTTCTCTCGCTTGGTTTATTTTAGAGTCAATGCTCTTCTTTCTTTAGCTATTTATCTTACTATATCAATCGATCTTTTAGTTTATTATATTACGGTATACTCTCTAGATGTAAAAATCCTTCTAGAAGTGTAGTATTAACGGATAGCAATATATAGTTTGTTAGCTAAACACATTTACATATTCTAACCCTACTATTCTAAAGTTGTACTATTGATAACATGTCGCTAAAAGTATTTGATCTACCTCTTCTTTTCCGATCCTCAATCCGTAGCCTGCTCCTTCCCATCAGTCTCAGACGACATTACTCCATTACTCTCATCATTCGAGGCTTCCGAACCTTTGCTCATCACTTCCGAATTTGTCTCGGTAGCTGGTGGTGGTGTTGCTGTTTTAGTCTTCGGTACATTCTTTCCTTTTACTACGGTCACAAGATGGTCCCCTGTGTTTCCAGAGTCTCCCAAAACCGCAACCTTTGTCTTGAAGAACTCCGCATCGCGGAGAATCCTGTTATACGTTAATGGAACTCTTCAAAATTTTATCATAATGCTTAGCCTACCTAGCTTTAGCTGACTCACTACCAAGACTAACATCACTAAACGCTCTACCCCACTGTTCTTTGTAGCTTTTAAAGATTGGTTCCATAATCATCTGGACCGTCATAGAAGGAAGATGCTTATTAAGCACACGATGTAGTGTACCGGTTTCTTTGGTCAATTGCTCCATGTACGGGCTCACAGTGCCTCTGTCAGGGGAACTCCAGTCGATCGCTTTCATAGCTTTTGCATGAGCAGCTGCACGACCAGCCATGATATCGACTAGCTTGTCATATATCGACTGTTGATGTTCCAGATAGGCTCGTCGGACTTTGTCGAACTCGCCCATGAGACTGGAGACAGAAGAGCCAGTCCCAGCATGGCGGCGAACAAACTCCCGTACGTGTGGTATCAAGGTGCTTATGAATGAAAGAGCTTGCGCAGCCAGTGCAAGATGCTTCGTGGTAATATTCTTCAAACCTGCTGATTTCGTAGCACCGGCGCCAAGGATAAGCTGCGTGCATCGAGAATTGAACAGGCTCAGATATGAAATTGTCGATGTTGCAATCTCAGAAGTCATAGATGGAATTCCAGTGTTAAGGTGCAAGAAAGAAGTCAAACCATGCAAGCACAGGAAAGCAGACACCGGGAGGATGAATGATTCACCCTCGATGACAGCAAAGCGAGTGGACGATTTGGTAGCCGAAGAGGGTGTTGATGTACCAGAATTGCCGCTGATGACAAGCCGTGGGGGTGCTGCTGACGAACTCGAAGGAGCTTGTGAAGGCGCTTGCAACACTTTACTCCTAGAACTCCAAGCTTCTGCATCATGGGTACTTGCGGAAAGTATATGTGACAGTTGTTCTGTATCCTCCTCTGTGAAATCTTTCGCCGTCCAGGGGTCTGCATCCATCCCATTGGCCAAAGCCTGTCGTTCTGTATCGCATAATTGTTGAACAAACTCCTTGATATGACCGTTAACCACTGTCTTGAGAGCGGTCCCACTTCTACCAGAGACGGCTTCACATTCGTTCGCAAATAGTAAATTTAGATTGAAATATCTCAAGAAATTCTCCACAGGCTGGTGTATGGTCTGCTCAGACCTCACTCGAAGTACTTTGACGATCTTTTCCTGGGCTATGTCAACTGCCTGACCCAAAAGATTCGACATATCGAGAGCTTGATGCATTTCTTCCTGAATATTGGATCCCCGATTGATCTTAGGCATATCAGCACGTATCCTCGAATCAATTGCCGCTATGTTAGGACTTCTAGGTGGAGATTTCATTCCAACTGCTTCGGGGTTATCGGGATCTGCAATAGTGCTCGTGATATCTAAGAGTACTTTGACTTGAGTGCCGAGCCGCCTCATTGTTTCACCCACACCAATATATGTCTTCCTGAGCAACGCTTCGGCATCTTCTGGGTCAAGAGCACGGAGGTTGCGTGCCAGTATCGAGGATTTCTCCTGCGAAGATTTTTGTTTCCCAGCCCCGATTGTCGAAGAAGACAGCATAGAATCAGCATCGTCGTCGTTTGATGCCGGTAAAGCACGCCGAATCAAATTACGAATTTCTCGGAGAACTGCTTCGCGGTAGGCGGTTGTTGCCGGCGAGGTGTGGCGAGCGCGATGCAAACCATTTAAATTCGATGATAGCTCGGATCGGAAGTCTTCGCTCAGTACTAGATACGATGGATATGCCGAAGGCTCACGATTGTGCCCCCCTCTTGTCCTTTGGGACGCACTTGCCCATCGTCTTAATGTATCGGGAGCTGACACTGCATCAACGTGCTGTCTCAGATCCCCAAGTAGGGAATTGAGAAACCTGGCCTCGAATGTTTTGCCAACACGAAATCGCAAGGTATTTAGATCATTGGTGACGCCTTGTAAAGCTGTTGCCCCTCGTAAATCACGAAGCTGGATCTTTAAGTCTTTTCTTTCTTGTGCCGATTCCCCCGCAATCAGGGTTTCTAAATCGTCCACCGCATCGAGCGCTTTTTCAACATCTCCATTATCAACTAGCGATTCACAGCTCTTGACCCCGTCCACAACCAACTTCAGTTGCTGTACAGCATCACCCAGCTGTTTTAAGTTTTCTCTCCTGCGCTTTTTGTTGACAATACTTAGTCCTCCTTTTGCCATTTCTTGGTCCAAGTCCGCTAGTTCTTTTCGTAAAACCCTGATGCGTTCCACAGAGTCTGCGGCCTCAGAATGAAGCTCTCGTAACGAGCCCAATGCCGCGAAGAAAGAAGTGGAAGCGGTTGATATTGACGATATGAGATGGACTTCGATGGTGTCCATATACCAAGACAACTTTTCCTGAAGTATGGCGTTTGTTGCCAAAGCTTTTCTCGGTCCAGGACTACTCCCACTTGTTCCCTTGCGCTCATCTGGTGTTCCGGCCGCTGGCCGTACCACCTCTGAGCGCTCGCTGACGACATCAAAAGTTCTGGGATTCTCCAGATGGAAATCCTCCTCGAAGTAAACATTCGGAATCGTCGCCAGAGGCGTTGGGGCGTGCGCTGCTCGTCTGGTTCCTCCACTCGATCTCCTCCGAGGCTTGGGGCTCTCTATAGACGAGGCAAGCGATGCTAGCGACGCTTTCTTGGTAAGATTTGGACGCCGATCGGCTTCTAGCAAGTCCGAAAAATCGTCTGTCTTGTTGCCTTTCCGTAGCAGCTGCGTTCCACCGTCCTCTTCGTTTTCCTTTGCGCGTTGCAATGCATCGTACAGAGCCCCAACCTGCGACAAGTATTGCTTGAAATCCGCCGGATCGATATGAGGTATGTTCGTGAGCGTCACTGGGGGGATATCGCGAGACGTTGGAGGTTTCTGGGCACTGAACGCAGTGGCTGAGGTGTGAGGTTGTAGACCGGTCCTTACGATGGGAGGTTGAAGTAGTGTAGATATGGCTATAATTCGTAAGATTCACGAAGGGGACAACGAGGTCAAGAGTCTGTACCATTTTGGCTCGCTTCATTGATACCATGCCAGCTTGAAGCTGTATCCAAAGCCCCTCCGATTGAATGTATCGACCCGCCTATCGAGTTTATAGAACTTGCTGTAGAGCCCCTTCTGGGCTGGTATCTATGGCTCGAGCCGGGCCTGGGGGAATTAGCACACGACCAATCCATACTAGTAAGTTACTGCTAGTCCATACCGCGGAAAGGGATATTCATTTCGAGAAAATGAGGGAGAAGATGCTGGAGACAGAAAATCTGCAGAATGCCGGGGAGTTGGGGAGGCCATTGTCACAACAGTGCTTCACGATTCGCGCCTGGCATAACCGCTGCTCTTGCTCTCCCACCCCCCCGATTGCTGTGTATTATATCTTCGAGAAGAGGCCCGGCCGACAGAATGATATCCGGTTTCCGTACGAAGGGGCGGCCAACTAACACAACTGTCTCAGGCGCCTGGGGAAAGGAAAGGATTGTAGGTGATTTGTCGCTATCGAGGGATCATTGCTAGGTAGAACTGTTGCAAACAAAGGAACAGACCGGGTTCAGACAGGAAGGAGCAAAAGTGGATGTTGTCTGCATCTGTCAGTCGAGTGTTATGTTCCGGCGCAACTGCATCTTTTGTGAAAGCGTGAAAGCGTGAAAGCGTGAAGCTACTGGTACTACGTATGACCGATCACCCATGGCCTCGACTTCTTCAATGAGTCGAGTCTCGTACCTCGTCCCGTACTCTCGGCTCCCGAGGTCGGTTCCAGTCCCGATCCCCATCCCGATCCCGATATCACGGCTCAACCCTGGCGGATCTGTTCTCTCCTAAATGCGGATTTCTCAACCGTCAACTCAACCTCGACAGCTTCACAGCAACATCTGCCAGCCCCGTCGCCCGTCGCAATGCCTCCAGTAAGTTGTCTACTCAACGCGACGATGGCGACCCTTTTTAATGCGCCTCCCAGCGCGGCTTCACCAACCCCGCACCGAAGACGGAGAGCGCTCGTGAAGCCGTAAAATCCTTTTATTGCGAATTATGCAGTAAAGGGTATGCACGCATGAACGAATACGAAGCTCATCTATCTTCCTACGACCACTCGCACAAGCAACGCCTGAAGGACATGCGCCAGCTCAGTCGTGATCCTCTTGCGTCGTCCAAAGCCCGCAAAGCAGAAGCCAAAGCCAACTCGCAATCGGGGCTGATCTCCATCAAGATTGGGGGTGATTCTGGTGGAGCTGCGAGTGCTGCGGGCAGCGGAAGTGGATTTAAGAAGGGAGGCTTCAAGAAAGCTGGGTTCAAAAGCGCCTTTGCACCTGCGGATGGGGAAGCCACGAAGGAAGACACCAAACCGGAAGAGAATGCGAAGAAAGAAAGCAGCTTGAGGATTGTGGATCAAGGATTTGAAGCCGAGAGTGATACCGAAGACGAGGGCTACGAAGTCTACAACCCAAGATACCCAACCGAATGAAAGACTGGAGACGTTTGGCAGGCAACGACCCATCAATAGGCAACATTCACCTTGAGCGACGCGACGCGCCGTCGATAAAAGCTAGCGCCATAACAATTCCGAGATAACGATTGCAATGCCTATGGTATACATCCTCCAAGGCAAGTCGCGCAAGACGTCTCGCTATTTTAGCAGACATGAAGATAAACTGCATTTTTCTTGTAAGAATGGTAGTGAAGTGCGAGTTCCACCGCACTGCCGGATAATATATCCTCGGATGTACCGTTCATCACAGGTTTTACTCAGGTATGAAACATCTATACCACCAGAGACTATACTGGTAGAAGTACGTAGCAAATCGACGACCATACACATTTACCATGTTTTTTACTATCAAATTCCTCTTTTACGTACCCTTTCTATTTCGTCTTATGCCTCGCTCGGCCAGCTTCCCTTCCACAGCTGGTCTTGAGCTGGATACACTATTGTGTACTAGACAAGAATGATCCAACGACCTTTGAGTGCGGAACCTCCTCTTTCTTACGTGGCGGACCTTCGCAATTTGTCTGTTGATACAACTCCAAAGCTTTAACAACCGCACAGACCGATTTGGATGAAGTGAAGGTGCGACTGATTACAGTCATTCATAACGGCGCGATACTGCTTTTATTATTTAATGCTACAAGGAAAAATGGGATTTCTCCGCCCCAGATTCAGGAACCGAAGTAAGTGGTGAGGCTCTTGTCCAGAACTGTGCTTAAGCATAGGTAGGCGCTTTAGCGGTAATATGCCATAAAACAATAAATAAAATATACGATGCTGGCTTCATCTAATCGGAAACAGTCTTCTTCCGCATAACACTTATTTTATCCACCATAAGAACAGCACAAAACTTATCGTATGTTGATTTGCCCTCAACTGCTGTTCTTGCACTGGGTTTACAATTCATCGTGAGCACCATGGCCATGCTCACTATTTTCAACTCCCTCCTCAGCCAGGTCCAAAGCTCTAATCTGTCCACTCACAATCCCATTGATAAACTCCTCAACACCACTAGGAACCACATTTCCTCCCTCAAACCTAAAAACCTGTCCCATCTTTGGATTATACAACGCCGCGCACGGAAACCCGCGTCCCTGCAACCCCATCTGCGGCAACATATTTGCGTATTCCGTCGAATCAATCACCAGAAAAGATATATACTCAGCATAGTGTTTTGCTAAGGGCACAAAAGCCTTTTGTAGCCCTGCATGTAGTAGCGATGGGGCGAACATGTAGAGGAGCGATTTCCCGGACTTGCACAAAAGGTTAGTGATGGGAGGAAAAGGGGACGGGGACATACAGAGAGATACTCCATCTCATTCCGCCTCGTCAACCTCCCAACTATCGGTTGCATAACTTTCTCGACCCACCCCTCCAACGCCCCCGCTTCTGTAGACATATCCCATGTTTCCACTTCCTCGCCTCGCCGGAATTCAATCCGCGTGATTTGGCCTTTTGACTCCAGTTTCCCAAAGGTGCAGTCGAGGTGGTGTTTCTTTGCTACGGCGCTGTACTGCGCCAGGAGCTCAGTGTTTGTGACTGGGATGTAGGCTGTGAAAACTATGTCGTCGGAGGCTTGGAAAACGCTTAGGGTTTGGGGTGTTATCGGTGTGATAAGAGGACGGAGAGCGCGGGAGAGGAAGGATGTTAAACTGGGAGTTGGTTAGTTAGGTGGGCGTGGTATGTGGAGGGAACCATACGCTTGGGAAGTTCGTTCGCCCCGGTATCTAATCATAGAGTATTTGGGGCCATGGTAGAGACGGATTGCAGGGAAGGAGACTACATCATGGGATGCGCAAGTTTTCGGAGAGAGCGTGCAGTCAATTGAGATAATTGAGACGGCGGGATTTAGTGCGAGGGATGCCCATTCTGATTCGAGGTTTGTGCATGGTGTACTGAAGGATATTAGGAGCTTTTCTGGTAGGATTGCAGGGGCAATTTACGTTTCTGGCTGGAGATGGAGATGTTGGATTACTTTCAGTTGTGATGATAATTGGGATAACTTACTGCGACAACTGTGACATGTCAGTAAAAGCCGTCATTTAAAGTAACAGTATCTTCCAAAATATACCCGTAGCATGGTATAAAAGACTCACAAGCAACTAGAACCCTTTCCTCTTTCTCAATGATCCGATCCAACTCCCCACCAGCTGTAAAATCCCAACTCGTCCCCGTAGCCGCAAGTATCGCAACCAGCAAAAGAAAAGAATAATACATCTTCAACCTCAAGGACCAGCTTGCGAAGGTAATTCAATCCAAAGACAGCTTCAAAAATTAAATAGTGGCATGCTGTCATCAGCTTCCTTTGGGATGCGATTCTCAGACTGCCCCTTGCAGCTGAGGTCTGTGTGATCCAATAGGGGAGCGTCTGGTTCCTCGCTTAAATGCGACGCAGGGGTTTTCATGGGGTTGGGACGATCGATGTTTCAGGGGAGGGTGGATTGAGTGACACTCTTTTGAGGGTTTATATCGAGCTCGAGGGTGATTGATCCTTTTGATTATTTAATTATATTTGAGAAATCGAAATGCTGTCTATCTATCAATCATTATTAGCTTTTACGGTTGGTGTTCTGACTGAATCCGCTTTTGTTGATGGAAAGGAGGTAGTGAAGACGGTGTACTCTTGCACTCATCCTAACTACGACGTACATGTCTTTTCGAAAGATCCGCTTGTAATATATATTTCTGATTTCATCACTACTGAAGAAAGCCAACATGTACAAGCAAGCACGTAAGCAGGGTGTACTTGTCTCTAAAATCACTGCTAATTCTGCTCACAGGAAAGATTTGTTCTCACGTTCAGCAGTAGCAGATGAATCTGGTAATCGTGGAAATCGGGAAACACGAACATCTCAATCTGCATCAGTACCCCACGATGAAGTAGTCGCCTGCATTCAGAAACGAGCTCTCTCATTTCAGGGCTTCGACACTCCAGCGACTCATCTGGAACCCCTCCAGCTTGTCCAATACGGCCAAGGACAAAACTATCATCTCCATACCGATTGGTTTACTTCATCTACGCAAACCACTGCGGCACTTGGCGGAAACCGCCAGACTTCTTTCTTCGTTTACGTCAAGGCTGAGAATGTCACCGGCGGAGGTACTAATTTTCCAATGCTGGACGCACCATCGAATGAAAAGTGGTGTGAGTTTGTGGACTGTGATGAGCCGTGGGAGACCGGTGTAACTTTCAGACCGCGAGTTGGAAGCGCTGTGTTCTGGCAGAATCTGAAAAGGGATGGGACGGGCGATGAGAGAACTATCCATGCGGGACTGCCGGTTGTGAGTGGGAAGAAGGTTGGTATGAATATTTGGACCAGAGAGTGGCCGTTGAATGAAGAGTTCAGAGGGATTCATGATGATTTGTAAATAGAGCAGGGGCTACTGGATATATGACAGCCGCTTCTATATCGATACTTGTATCTTCGTTATAGGTTGCTGTTCGTCTTCGTCTCTCTGATAAGGGGACACTGGTAAAACCTCGAACTCCAGGTTTTAATATCGCACTCTTCCGAGTAGGACAGACAAGCTGAAGTACCGAACTCAACGAATACCTGCATTGAGCAATAAATACCGCTGTCGCGATGCAACAAAAGTGAAGTAAACGAAATCGTCGGTCCTTGGATAGGAAGTGAAGACCTCTCCAGCATCTCGACGTCTGCAGTAAAGTGGCAGACAGATGGCCAAGCACTAACTGTGATGTGTCAAGTGATTGAACAAGCACATGAACGAACCAACTATACGTCCAAGGAAGTTGCTAATATTTAAAACATTGAGATACCCGTCCTTGCTGTTTGACAGAACGGAGAGAACACATAGTCAAAAGGAGATTTCACGATGAGGAAAGGTCAAGTCAAAAGAACCATACCGCACCTGTTTGGCTACGTTACCTAGGTATTCCCTATCAATGTTATCGCAACATCCATCATTCGAATATATATGCCCATGATTGGTTGATTGTCGACGGGATTTGTCGGGGTTGAGTGGTAAGAAACAGAGAAACATTTCTCTGTAAATAGAGCCAAAGATGTATAAATGAGTCGCAATCAATGATCAGTATATATCACCCATTCCTACATCTTTTCCGTATCGTAAAGGAGATTTCGTTGACAAACAAATAAGAAGTACAGATGAAATCCATATCGACAGGACCATTGAATGCCAAAACTTTCGGGGAAGCTAATCACCGTCGGCTAGTCTGTTTTTGGCCGATGGCCCGTGCCTCATTGGAATTTTGGCTTGCCCAACACCATTAGCTGTCAAGCTTCATCAACTCAACTCAATTCTTCCTCGACCTCAATTCCCTTCGCTCGTTTTCCCACAGCTGCGGCTTCACATTTCAAGATGTCACGAATCTTGCGCCCAGCCTCGCGTTTCCTTTCCGCCTCCGCAGCACGCCCCGTTGCGAGAAGTGCGTTTCAACGCTTTCCCCGAATTCCGGCGACTGTACAAAATAAAGGATATGCGACAGAGAGTGGAACGAAGGAATACACAGTCAGAGAAGCCTTGAACGAGGCTCTCGCGGAAGAATTAGAACTCAACCCAAAGGTGTTCGTGCTCGGAGAGGAAGTCGCTCAATATAATGGTGCATACAAGGTCACCAAGGGTTTGTTGGATCGATTCGGAGAGAAGAGGGTCATCGACAGTCCCATCACCGAGTCGGGATTCTGTGGTCTTACAGTTGGAGCCGCGTTGGCTGGATTACATCCTGTCGTAAGTGGCAATGGCGAATTGAGCTAAGGCCAATTACTAACCGTTGCAATCAGTGCGAGTTCATGACTTTCAACTTCGCTATGCAGGCTATCGATCAAATCGTCAACTCGGCGGCAAAGACTCATTACATGTCTGGTGGAATCCAGCCATGTAACATCACTTTCCGTGGTCCCAACGGCTTCGCCTCAGGTGTCGCCGCCCAGCATTCACAAGATTACTCTGCTTGGTACGGAAGCATACCAGGTCTCAAGGTTGTTACTCCATGGAGTGCAGAGGACGCAAAGGGATTGTTGAAGGCAGCCATCCGGGATCCTAACCCGGTCTGTGTTCTCGAGAACGAATTGCTATACAATCAAGTCTTCCCAATGAGCGAGGCTGCCCAGAAAGATGATTTCGTTATCCCGTTCGGAAAAGCTAAGATCGAGCGCGCTGGAAAGGATCTCACAATCGTCACCCTGTCGAGATGTGTCGGTCAATCGCTGGTCGCCGCTGAGGCATTGAAGAAGAAATACGGTGTCGAGGTTGAAGTTATCAACCTACGATCAATCAAGCCTCTCGACGTTGAATCAATCGTCAAGTCCGTAAAGAAGACCCACAGACTTTTGGCCGTCGAGTCCGGTTTCCCAGCATTCGGTGTCGGTGCCGAGATTCTCGCACTCGGTATGGAATACGCTTTCGATTACCTAGATGCTCCAGCCCAGAGAATCACCGGTGCTGAAGTACCAACGCCATACGCCAAGGCTCTGGAGGATATGTCTTTCCCAGACGAATCTTTGATCGAGAACTACGCGAAGAAGATGTTGAGGTTGTAAAATTGGGAGCAGGGAAGCGGGGGCATATGGAGCGGTTTAGTGGAGATTTTTAGACATGTATTTCTACAGCGGTTTCATGTGATATAGTCAACGGATACCTATTGATGCCATCTTGACGTTTGGTCTTCATTCATGATGTGAAGATATAAGTGGGCTTATCCAAATAAATAAGCATTGTTTTCATTCTTCTGCTGTGATACATTATGTGGTATAAACTTCAAATGAGTGTCCCATATATACTGACCTAATCTAAAAGAGCTAATTCAACAATATATACATAACCTCACTCTAACTTAACCAATACACATCTCCCCGCCACACCATCTACGTATCACCAAACACAAGCACCCCCTTCCCACTCCTGAACCCTTCCAATCCTCCACCTACGGCCTCCACCAGCCTCTCTCCCTCGGTCGCCCACTCCCACCTCATCTCCTGTACCGGAATATCCTTGAATCGTCCCTCCCTCGTCATTTGCAGAATGCTCTCCACCGTCTTCTCCTTCTCCGCCGAATTCGCATCACTCCACCTCGAGACCCAGAACCCAGAAAACTTGAGGTCCTTGAAGATGAGCAGGCCCGTTGGGAGAGAAAGTGGTTGTTTGGACATTGCGCCATAGGTTACGAGATGACCGCCTGGGGAGAGCGTTTTGACGAGAGCGAGGGTGACAGGGCCGCCTACGCAGTTGAGTCCTAGTTTGAGGTTTTTGCCGGAGGTCCATTCTTTGATTTCAGAGACGGTGGAACGGGATTGGAGTTCTGATTCCGTAATAACTTTCGTGGCGCCTAGGTCTAGAAGTTCCTTCTTCATGCTTTCCGTTTCCTCGGGCGTCTTCCTGTCCCTTATGATGTTGATAGACTTCAGCCCCCATTCGCGACCAAGTTGGATCGCTGCCCTTCCTACACCGGAGTTGGCGCCGTTTTGAATAAACCAATCTCGCCCTCCTTCTAGGTTCTCGAAATCGACCAGCATCCGCCATGCAGTTGTTGGATTTACACCTACAGTCGCAGCTTGAATCTCTGTTAAACCACCTTTTTCGACCCGCAAGATGTCTTTTTCTTCTGCGAGGGCGTGGGTCCTCCATGTTCCGAAGCCGGTAGAGCGCATGATCACCCAGTCTCCCTTTGCGACACTCTTGATTGAGGAGCCGATGGATTGGACTTCGAAACAGGCTTCATTGCCTGCGACGGCTGAGGGGACAGAGGTCCCAAGTAAGGAGGTGAAGGGGGGTTTGGAGGGGTAGACGCCTTGGATTTGATTTATGTCTGCGGGGTTTATGGGAGATGCGAGAGTACGGAGGAGGAGCTGATTGGGCGGGAGAGAGGGGGAGATGGAGTGGGTATGTAATCTTTGGATTATTAGAATGGGTATATATAGATTGATGCGTTGGATCTTACGAAAGGACCTCAGAGGGATCACCGTATTTTGAATAGACCAGTGCTTTGGCTTGTGTATAACCATATGGTCCCGATTTCCATCTTTTACAAACGGTGGGAGCATATTGTGGTTTCAATGATTTGATTAGAGCTGGAGCTTGTGCCCGCACAGCTCGTGAGAATGGCATGATGAGTCTAGAGAGGAAGATGGCCGATTTGATAGAAAAAGAGAGCGGTTTGTTAGTTGATGTCTGACATCACGTTGAAGCGGGCGCGGGAAGCTTTTTGGCAGGGGCACCAGGGGTCTGTCAGAAGAGCGGGACCAAGTATGCAGCTCTTGGCGGCCACTGAAGTTGGGTTGGGTCGCGGATTTCTATCTCACTCTTCACTCCTTACGATTTTCTGCTAATTTTCTGCCTTGGTTGTAGTTGATGTCCATCTAATTTTATTTACGTCCTTACTACTTTGTTTAAAACTCCGTATTGAGATAAACACGATCTTACTTCACACCTCTGCAGCAGAAGATATGTATAGAACAGAGCGCTTACCATATTAGACTTTTGACTAAAACTTCCGATTAATACTTTTGAAAACCAAAGAATGTTCACATTGAATTGAAAACTCGCTTTCCATGCAACCCTACTATCAAGAAGATGAAAGATCAAGTGAAAGACTGATGCTGTAAAAAAAAAGCCACCAGCCGACCATCTCCCCTAATTTGACCAAAATACTAACAAATGAAGATCAACCCCGTGCATCTGATTCGGAAATCCAATAAGAAATGACCAACCACAATTACAAATGCTGCCGATTTTGAAAATGGCATTAATACGCCTTTGAAGAAATGGAGCCGCCGAGCAAAGTAACGATTCGCCGACGCTTTTCTATCGGTGCTCATCCATGAAATACGAAAAGAGGGCGGTGGTATTGCTCAGTCGAGCCGGGTATCTCGTATCAACGTTTTCCTCCCCTTTCATGTTTTCGACTGCCACTGCTGCAATGTAGGTTTGGGCGCAGCTTTCTCTCCAAGCCATCCTAACTTCGTAAATCGTGCCAGCATCGGTGACCATTACCACTTCCCGCCATAACCGCATAGCATCTTTTTCTAGGGGTATCATATTCATCTGATGTTCTTGAACATATCGTCACCCCCTAAACTACTCTCATTGCCTTCTGGTATCTGCGACTTGAGTGTGTACTTCTCCGGAAGCTTCGGTTGTGGCACAATTCTCGCAACTGGATTTCTATCGACGGCCGGCTGTTGTGTGATGTTGGTTTCTTGTGATTGATTGTTGCTCGAGAATCGCCTGAACCAACTGCTGCTTCTTTTGGGCTTCAATCCGTGGGTATTCGTGGTCATGACACTGGCTTGACTTGGTGGCCTGGCGACCCCGTGCAAATCCTCTTGCGATCCGTGGCCGTCTACATAATTCTGGTTCAGCGACATTCTCGAGACGAAGCGCCGAATGCTGCTCGGTCTTTTGGAAGAGGCAGGGCTTAAGGGAGGGATTTCAGTACTGCTCGTTGTCCGACCTCGTCCATTCTGTAACCCATTTGACCCGGTCGTTGGCGGTGGTAGCATGGAGCCATTGGTAGGCACGGCGGTGTTCGCAAATAGTTGTGGTTTCGGAGGGGTGGGAGGTGGTTTCTCCTCAATTGGCGAAGCTGGCGGAGGAGGGATGTTGGTGCCCTCTGTGAGAGAGAAGTTGACGGGCTTGAGATCTAGCTGAAAACGCCCATTGCTCGCGCCTGAGCTACCGTTGGTCGGCATTTTGCACAAAGACAGGGCGCCGTCACTTGCGTGTATTGAATCCTAGCTGCAGAGTCGCAGAAGCGATTATTGGCTTGTGGAAGATGGAGTATTCTGCCAGGCCGTGGGAGAGGCGATCAGACACAGATGGCGCAAGGACGAGTATCTGATGCGGCCGTAGGCGCAGGAGAAGCAAGCAAAGTATAAACAAGATTGCAAGCCAGAAGCTGACCGAATGTAAAGTTGAAGAGCCCCAGGTCCCGTCGGGGTGTACGACCGTGCGAGGTGCCTCTTCGGGACAAATTTCCTGGGGCCTGGCGATGGCAAAGAAATTTAACTGTCAATGAATGTGAGAGGTGAGATGTGACAGGTGAATGGTGGGAACTTGGAAGGGCAGTTTCGCTTTTATTCGAAGAATGAATGTTGTGCTTGGGAACATAGACAGTTGTCAGTCCAATATCAGTGTACAGTCTGCACCTGGGCCTGGCTTCTCGAATGTTTCCCAGGAAACTTTCCGCTAACCAATACGAGTAGTCACTAGATGCAGCATCTGCGGTAGATTTAGACGGGTTCGGGAAGTCAATTGTGAAGCTAAAACATTTTAGCACAGACCCAAACATTTATTGGAGACTCTTGGAGCACACGAGAGTCGGATTGCTAGCCGTTTGAGAAGCCCTTCCGAGCCGATTCTCGAAAGAGTCGATCCGGGGGGAAATATAGGGGTATCACCTGACCCACCTCGACTGCCGCGATGTCAACCTCATCAGCCAGGGCATTGTCCAAGAACTTTACCTCGTTAATATAGAGGAAGTGTAAGTAAAATCTACAATCTCATTGCTACGAGATAAACAACTGGGTAAAGCTGTCAACATTATTGATCTTAGTTTTCCTCGAAAATCTTACTTGCCAGCCCCTCCCGCAATGGAGTACCTAGGTAGTGGGTGACGGCGTGAGTCACTTTAGTTCCATTACTCTCTTCCCTTTGGCAGACAGATATCTCCTGCTCTGCGCCCACGGGTCTCTCTGTATCATTTTATCATCTTTTCGTTGTATTCTTTGCTCGAGACGGCAATTGTTCCAAAATGGCTACCTCTTCGCGCCCAATTCAATCCGTTTCAACCCTCGACCTCTACAACCGATGGGCAAAGGTAGATTGATTCCCCTTCAACCTTGATTCGGTATCTGCTTATGTTTTCCAGGTCTATGATACCGATGGTAACATGCTTCAATCCATCGATGATCTGCTGCTTCCTGTGCTCCTTGAGCAAGCCTTGAGTTCAATCTCATCGGATTCGGCCATTACCATCACCGAAGTAGGATGCGGAACTGGTCGCAACACATCCAAGCTCCTTAGTCTACCTCCTTCGACGGTGAAGATAGCCGAGATCAACGCTCTGGACCTCTCCCCTCAAATGCTGGACATTGCGAAATCACGATACTCATCGCTCATCACACAATCGGCACCTAATGTATCGTTCCACGTGTTTGACGCACTCGCACCGGACCAAGGAAGTGATATCGATCAACTCCGCGGCAAAGCAGACATCGTTTTATCAACACTGGTCCTCGAGCATCTCCCCGTCGACGCCTTTTTCACCACTTGTGCTTCATTTCTCAAGTCTAGCGGACTCCTGATCGTGACTAATATGCATGCTGAAATGGGCAAACGTTCGCAAGCTGGATTCTTGGACACAGATGGCGATACGAAGGTGCAAGGAGAGAGCCACAACTATGAAACCGACGAGGTGATCATGGCCGGTCGGAAAGCGGGATTTGAAATTTTAGATGGAGGATTAACTGAAAGAGGCATTGAGGAAAGCGATCTCCAGACCAGAGCTGTAGGTGAGAGGGGAAGAAAATGGGTGGGATGTAAGGTGTGGTTTGGCGGAACATTCAGGTACACCGATTAGTTGAGTCAATTGCTCCTGGCCACCAATAACTGGCATCTTCAGGAAAAATCGAAACATATTTGTGCACACCAGAGAATCAAGCGAGATTGCGTCTGTTGACAACGAATGTACGAGGTATTTTGCGATATGCAACAAATCTTGGTGAAGATTAGCTTAGCGTCTCGCGCTGACAACATTTCCGATTCTTCTCAATAGCTGCATCCGACTGTCCAAAGATCTTTCGCAAGAACTAGCATCTGGCAATATTGCAATACCCGACATCAATATGCAGCTGCTTTGCAACCTTCCGTCAACCTCCGGACTCGAGCTTTCTCCCCGTGGATCTAAAAATTATATGTAGGTTTGAACTTCGAGTCGTCCACCAAAAGACATTGTCTGACTCGTAAACATGGCAACAGACGATCGATTAGATTTTACAACACACAAGAGGGCTGGGGATAGTTCGTGATACCGAGACAAAGTCAAGGACGCTTCGATAACCCGAATCTTCTCGCTAGCTTCGAACCTTTCCCTTCTTCGACTCGGTGGAATTTCTTCCAAGACTTCTCACGCTCCTCCCAATCATTCATCTGCGCTGTTGTGTCGATTAGCAAGGATACACGGTGCGCACGTCTCGAATGTCCACGTAGCTGATGGTATAGAACAACTCATCATGCTGTTGATAGGATGCAGATTTTCGGACAGGTTGAGCCTGGTAGACGTACAAAGAAGCCAGTCCCACCGAACATTTTCGCGTTCCAGGACTCCACATCCATTCTCTCTCCTCAATCTCTCTTCCCTATTTTCTCTGGCAGCTTCTTCGCCAACCAGACTCGGATCTTCTTTCGTCCGAATCGACCGCTCTCTTTCTTCGTCGTCCATCCTTTTCTTTAGCTGTGCAATTGCGTTTTCGCCATTGACAGCGGCCAGCAGTAAGCTAGACTGTTCTTGCACAGTAAGCGCTGACGCTCGTCGAACTGCTATCGAGTGATACGCTCTTGACGTCGGGTTTGCAACATGGACTCGAGACCATGTCGGGTTTCGGAATGCGTCATCAAGTGAGGGTTTCGAATTGGCACGAGTACGAGCAATTGGCGGGATGGGTGGAAGACCCTCACGTGGACGATTGTTTACTGGAACTGTGGACTCATACGAAGGGCAAGCAGAACGGATCGACGCCGTTTCCAAGTCTTGTGACATGAAGATTGCTCTTGGGAAGTATGGCGGAGGGGCCGCTTCGGAGGGCATGGAGTTCATATTCGCTCAAAGCAAGCGCTCCTGCAGTCTCGATCGAGGCACAAAGCGAGCTCTAGACTTGAATGCTGTGCTGTGCGTCCCACGTCGAAGCTGCGTCAGGGAGCTGAAGCTATACGCAGATGAGGCTGCAAATAGAATGTGTAAAGGAGCTGGGCCTGTATGTCTCAGATTGATGGGTACGGAGTACAGATAGCCACGAGATATGCTAGGGATGTGTAGCACGAAAAAGCACAACCGCAGATTCGGTATCACTTTACACGTGGTTGAAGGGGTTTTATATATGACCATACATGTACGGGACACCACAGGCATAAATAGCCATGTGGTTGTGATGAATGGGCTCGATGCAAAACACCCGACCTGCGTTGGGAGTCGTTCTAGAAGAGGGGGATGCCGAGGGTAGACGGGTGGACCCCTATTGGAGGCTAAGCGAATAGGTCTGTCCCGCTTCAGTGGCGGTCACCTACCTGTAAATCTTGGACTTAATAAGAAGTCTACTTCGAATAGACCTTAAAGAGTCTTATTTACTTAAAACGGTTGACGAAATAGGAATAATGTTTTAAGTTAAACCACTAAATTACGATATTTCTTCGATTAAGTTGACGAAATATCGGCATTTAGTGGATTAACTTAGAACAATATGACTTCGACTGCCTCTTATTTTGTCCTCCGCGAGTCCCGGTAAGAGAGAAAGACTGTTTACTTTTTCCGAACACAACATCTCTCATATCGATGACACCCTTGAAGACATTGCGTCGGAACGCCCATTCCAAAGAACTTGGTCACAACGATGATGTTCTTCAAAGGCTGCTTTTGATATGTAGATACGATGATTGAGCGCCACGTTATCGGACATCCAGCAAGCAGCCAATGCTACAATCCGCTGCTGATGTTTCACAGCAAAGGAGAAAATAGACAGCATCGAGCAATCAGCGCCAGTTGAGAGCGCTTGCTCGATGAAGAGTATCTACGCGATGGAAGCTCAGTCGAGTGTTTAGAGAGCTTCTCGGTCCTTTGATCGTACAAGAGCAATGTCTTCGAGAGAAGCCATCTGATATACCCGTCTGTGTTGACGATAGTCTACCATGTATCTTTTCATACGATCATGGTCAGACCCTTTTTGGCTCATATCACATGTCACATTTGCCTTTGGCTGCAGGTATAGTTCAACCACTGACTTATCTCATATTTTCTCTCCCACACGCCTTTGTATGTGCCTGGCGATTCACCCCTTCTCGTCTTATCGCCTTCCGCATCGACAACGCGTTGTTTGTATTCACACGCTAGCGGAACTACCCGTGGACGCAGACGGCACATTCGTTAGTTGCAGAGTCTCCCGAATTTGCAGAGACTCTTCAGCAGTGGTAGGGTCAGAAATTAGACCCAACTGCAAGCGCGCCTGGTTCAGCACTTCCCTCTCACCAAAACCAGCGAATACGACACGTCTATCTTGTGAAGTATGTGAGGACTCATGCGTACTGAGTGGTTGGACGAAGAGAGAGACTTGGCTGGTGCTTACTCTGCAATTCATTTGGGGTCTGGAACCTACTGGTCTCTCTCTGGTCGGTCACATCTCTAACTTTGACGGGTAGCGGAAGCGGTAATATGCAACAGGGGACCATTCCCTTGGGCCAACCTAAGTAACACCAGTCTTACTGAAAGATCAGACAGACACGTTTTATTGTGCGTTACTCCTAATTTTCAAGGGTTCTGCGTAAGAAATTTACTTTTTTCTCGTCTAGATTGAGGCTGAATTCTTGGATGCGGGAAGTACGACATGTCCATGATTTGGAAGTGTGGCACTCGACTTCCAGACCAACGCCCATGGCAAAAGACTCGATTAACGATGTCGATGCTAGACATATATTTGTGGAGACGATTCCCATGAGAATTCCTCCATCACTCTACATCGTTGAGCATCAGACGCCATGACAGAAATAGAGGGGAAAGCCTTACGGCCTCACTCAAAGTCCAGAGGCGGCTGCAGAGTTTGCAAACAACGACGAGTCAAGGTATGTGGGACTGTTCGCTATATGGTCTGGGGTAAGGTCGGATACGGCAATTAGACAGCTTTTTGGTGATGAGCTTGGTTGACAACATGCTGTACTTTATTCAGTTGTACTGTACTCGGGAACATGTTTCTAATCCATTGAAACAGTGCAACGAAGGTCGTCCAAAATGCGACTCTTGCAACCGCCGCGAAGAACAATGTGATTACATTGACGAGCCGCCTCGAAGCCGAAAGGCAAGACACGAACCAGTACGAAGTCCATCTTCGGCAAGATACAATTCTTCATCTCCTATCCACGAACGCCCCCCATGCCCGCTTGAGGATTTCAGAGTTGCAAGTTCCCGAGAAACATCAGAGCGTCGACTACTCGAAATAAGACTAGTGCACCATTTCTTAACTTCGACAGTGCAAGATAACTTCCTGTCTATTCACGATAAAACCATGTCTGAGATATGGCTCAGGGTAGCACCTGCTCTTGCTTTGGGCCACCCATTCCTGATGCATTCTATCCTGTCAATTGCAGCGCTTCATATTACTAAAACTCATCCGGGCTGCGCAGACATGAGCAGAACATATCGCCTATATTTCAACGCAGCACTTAGTCAACATAGAGAAGCAGTTCGAAATCTCAACTCGTTCAACGCGGAAGCAGCTTGCATATCTGCCATTCTAATATCACTTCCGCCAATCGCATTACTACAAGACCCCGAGTTCCAGGAGCCCACTATGTATTCGCCCCCAGTCCACATCTTCAACCTCCTCGCCGGCAACATCCCCCTCTTCACCTCAGCTCTTCCCTTCATCTCACCAACAAGCCAAGTAAACACCGTGATCAACACAACCCCAACACATCTCCACCAATCCACCTCCTTCATCCTCATTCCCCATTTCATGGCCCTCCTCCAGTCCGATCCCTGTCCATCCCCGGAAACGCAATTCGCTTACCATTCCGCCCTCCAGTACATAAGCTTCATCCTCTCGCAAATCAGCGCCGGGCTCAACTCCATCCAGCTCCGCGAACTGTGGCTTGCATTCCCGACTTTCGCACCGCCGCTATTTGTTGAAGGATTGAGAACGCGCGATCCGAAAGCGCTAGTCATTCTAGCTTATTTCTTTGTGCTGGCGAGGACGATGGATGATGTATGGTGGATGAAGGGAATTGCCGAGAGGGAGGTCCTGGGTGTTGTCAGTGTTTTGCCCGGGGGGTGGACGTGGGCGATGGAGTGGGCGATGGAGAGGTTGGACTTGTGAACTGAGTAGATGAGTGGTATATTGTGTGGAAGTGTATTCATTTTCCGTTTCGAGATGGTTCAAAGAATTGCTTATGTGGGTCTAGAAAAACAGAATTGGATGATGTTACTATATGTATGTGACCGGCCTCGCGGAGGACAAAATAAGTGTCAGTCACCAACTACTAATCTTGGACTGAATAATAAATCGACTTCAAATAGAGCTTAGAAAATCTTATTTAGTTAACTCAATTGACGAAATGGTGATAATGTTCTAAATTAATCCACTGAATGTACGATATTTCGTTAACTTAACCGAAGAAATATTGTGTTTCGACTGCCACTGATTTTGTCCTCCGCGAGCCGGCTTATCAATCCGAGTTATGCACCAAATAAGTATTGGTCACATCCTGGATAACCCGTCAATATAATGTAAATATTGATTATCAAGTGGAACCGAGCTCCAGAAGGTCTTACTTCGTTTCTTGACTCTTGAAAATAATCGATGGAGTGCACGATATCCTGACAACTTGGTTCAATGAATATTGCTTTTCGATTAATGATTACCCATTTCATTAATCATCTACATAGAACTAGACCAGATCAAAACGTTGTGTCAACTTAATCGAATGAAAATTGAATTTCGCCATCTAGTAACCTTATCAGTGTCAATTCATGTCATAGCGTAATCCCTCCTTGTGTCGGTCCGTTACTCCTCGAGAGATGAATAGAGACAAATGTAAAGGTAACAAAGACAACAAATTTCTAGGACACCAAATGAAATTGTTTTCAATGCAGACCTGAGCACTGTAGCAAAAAAAGGTATCAAAATATCTTAAAGAGAAGTCGTAACCACGCGGCAAGCTTTCTGGGAATTCGACGAGCTTTGGTTATAAAACTTATGCCTCTGAGTAGCTATTCAGACACTCGACATGCTCGATGTTAAAATTGGATGACAGGGCTAAGGAGTTTACTGTTTGATGAAATGTATACTAAAAAGATGTGTCAGACGCAAATCATGATAACATATACGAAAAGGAAGACTCTTAGGCGAAAATGATTAGCTAACAATTCCGCTAATCATATTACAGATCACTACAAAGTCAACATCTCACCAAGGTTTCAGATCAACATTTCAATATAGGCAATGCACCGACTCCTCAAAGATCCTGACCCGCGTAGTGGGAATCTTTTGGGTCAGCAACCTGCTAATTAGGTTCTTAAATATATGTTACTTCTCATTATAAAAGATCCCTTAGTCTGGTTTAAAATTAAAAATCAATTCAACAGTAGAACAATTACTTGTAAGAATCAACCAAATATCGTGCATTTTAACATTAGTTTCGAGTAAATACACTACTTCAACTGCCACATTTTCGAGTCCACCACGACCCCCCCTCAACCTCTTCTTCACCTACCATTGTTAATACACTCCCTCCTCCACGCACTCAAATTGACCGGAAATCCGTTCGTATTCCCCCCACACTGCTCATACGCGGCATCACCCCATCTCTCCCTCAACAACCCCTTATCAAAGCCCCCTGGTGGATTAACAACAATAACACCACTCATGCCACTGAGTGCGTGATAATCATTGTGGCAATGAAAAAACCAGGCACCGGGATTATCTGCCGTAAACGCAATCAAGGCGACCGTTTTCGTAGTTACGAACAGCGTATCCCGGCGCATGGGGGAGGCAGGTTGACTGAGGCCGTTGTTCTTAAGTAGTTCAATGTCAGGGACAGCAAGTTCGTGGGAAGATTCGTTTTCGGGTTGCGTGTAGAGAACCTGGAAGTCATGACCATGGAGATGGAAGGTGTGTGAGCCAACGTGGGCCTTTAGTAACATGTAGATGGTTTGGCCTTGTTCGACGGTGATGGTATTTTCAACGACGTTTCCTTGGCCTGGGTTGTTGGCATAATAGGGTTCTGGGCCGAGGGTGTTTGTGTTTACAGGTTTTGGCATGCCAATACCTAGTAGGAGAGGTGAGTTAGGACAGCTTGGGGGAAGCGGTCGCATGGCTTGGAGTAGGACCGGAGATCCCGGGGCAACGAAGGTCTTCTCATTTAGTGTCGCAAACTCTTTGCTGCCTCCCGGACCAGTGGTGGCTGTGAAGTCGACACTCAAGAATTTGGTTGGCATAGATCCCTCTCCGTTGAACGCGATACGGGGAACCTTCTTGGCAGGGATAAATTTATTCAAGTACCAGGTCTCGGTAACAACGGTATTTGGGGATGCGTTTTTATCGGCCCAGATGGGAATGTTATCGAGTTTCCATTGACTGTTTACCCATATCCTAGTATTATCATAAGCAGATGGGCTCGCGGGATATCTAGGTGGTCGTGAGAAGGTCATAACTGGTGCTGGAGGTGGTGTTGCGCCACTAGCAGGATCTGTGAAATGAATGTAACTTTTACTAGTGTAGGCATAATTATCTTTTACTACATCTGCACATTTGTTTGTTGCGATATGATGAGGATCTTTAGAATGTTAGTAAACCTAGAGAACAAGAAGGTGGAACTTACTCATCGTTGTAATAACATTGAAACCGGCTTTATCATTACCTAGGTCGTTGTCAAGATCAACGATGATGCTCATCCTCTGCCCGGCATTCAACTCGATTGCCTTTGCGATTGGCATGTAATCCCTGTCGAGGGGTACGCTGTCGACTTCAGAGACACGAAAGGGAATGCCCTGCGCGGTACCGTCTTTGGTTTCGCCATTATTGAGAAAAATAAGCATCGTGGAGAACGCAGACATGTTAATGAACCGTATTCGCAGTCTCCCGGAAGGTCCGCCAGCATAGATTGTGTTTATACCATCGGTCCCCATGTAATCCTTGTGAACGATGCCTGTAGGCGGAGGCTCGAGACCCTTTCCGCATTTACCATTCTTGTAGTCATCATCGACATCTTTTTGATCTTGCAAGTAGTAGGTGTCGGCCATATCAATGACAATATCTTTCTCGGCAGCCGCACCATACGCATATGTCGTCGGCTCGGAGGGGGATCCTTTGGTGTCTTTTACAATCAAGGGAAATCGTAGACCATGAGGATATTGACTGGACGTTGTAAGTAATAGATTACCGCAAGTGGAAAAACACTCCATTACGCCGGATGATGAGAATGAATCCAAAAAGTTCCCGATTCAGTCGCATGCCATTCGTATTGAAAAGCTTGACCTGGAAAAATGCCACTAATCTCATTAGCGAAGATTTGGAGTTGTGGAAGATTTAGCTACCATTGTGTGATTCCTTCCGGCCCGTCGTAGAAATTGTTGTCTTTCTGGAGAAACCCGTGCGCATGCAAGCTTGTTTTCTCATCCATGAGATTGAGGACATTGACTTTCAGAACATCGCCTTTATCAACAATTACCGGATTTGGGGGCCATGTTTTGTCAATAAGCATCATTTCCCTTTTCGTCCCTGTGTTAGGGATAGGGACTTGCTCCTTGGTGATTTTCCAGTTGAATTGTTTTACATCTGCAACTGCCACTCCGCCGAGTAAGATGATCGCAATAATTGGAACAAACATGGTAAAAGTGGTGTTCCAGTATGGTAATAGCAGGGTAAGTAGGAAGTAGGAAGTAGACCAAACGGAATGTTCAGGGAAATTTTTTGAGGAAGCTTTGAACACTTGCGGTCTGTCTTATAGATATTCATACTGCCCACATATCATCGCCCGCAATGGCTAGACTTCAGTTGCCTTCTATCACCAGAAAAGTTATCTTTTCCACCTGGGTCGCCTCATGAGAGCTGAAGATTAACTGATCAATATGCAGCCAAAAAGATATCATGTTTCTGTCATAGCCAGCCTTCGAACGCTTTGGCAGCAATCTTACGCTTGGCCGAGACCTAGTTGCGTATCAAAGCCTAATTGCCCTCTGGCACTGGTATGCTAATCTTACCGGCATTGTATATTTATAACACGGTAATCCAATGTCTGGCAATGTTGCCGCGCCACAAGGTAGACGAATGGCAGAATACCAGCCCTATGTGCGGAATGAGAATAAAGCGGTAATGTGGCTGCCGAACAACGTGGCTGACAAAAGCAGCTACATGCAATGGTACTCTAGGATGTCGACGTCGCTGACCACCATCAATCCCCTTGTAACCATAATATGCAGAGGTGAATTTTATTTCGGTGTGGGTAATTCAATTGGCGCGTTCCCCTCAAAGGAAGCGACGCAAGTGAGTCTTCAGCAGCGAAATAGCCGCCACCATCAACAAAAATGGCTTCTACGTTCCAGGCAGCACAATGTAACTCCAAAAGAGCCGCTCTCTTTTTTTGCAACCCATAAAAATTGAATCGGACTTTTAATAGAGTACGTCTATGCTTACCTCCGAGGAGAAATATTTCCCACATCGCTCATGGCGCAGCCGCACCTAGAGGTTGCACTCGAAGACTACCTAGGTACTGGTGCTTGCTTCGCATGATGCGTTGAGAAAGTCACAGACAGTATCTCCTATGAAGTTATGATACTCTGGATGAGACCCAAATCTTCTGCTTAGCTTGCCACCAAAGTCAGTTTGGAGAGGCGACTCTTTAAGCACGTACAGCCATGCAGCTAGTCAGCACATCTTACTGACTCTTGTCCCAGCCCAAAGCCGTGAGAGTTCCTTATTATTCTCGAGTTTGTCACTAGCGAAGACGACAAATACTCCAATGCTCGAAGGGAGAGTGATAACACAATGAGAGAAGCAACACTTACAGTGATCTTCCCAAATGCCGCTACACATGGACATTGATGAACCTTAAGCTGAATGGTTTTCTTACAAGTCGGCAACGCGCCACTCGAATCGACTGGGATAACAATCAAACCAAGGTTTGGGGGTTGGAAACCCTGGGTATGTGTTGTCCTACGATTCGCCGTTAGTGTTCCTGCTTAGCTGAGATAGATGTCTGTGAAGTATATATCATGAAAATCGTTGCAATACATACGTCGTGCCTCGAGATATTAACTAAAATGATTGCCCGGATTAGTAAATTAATGTTTAGGCGCCATTACCGGATTCAATATCTTTATTCCTTGCCTAGTCTCTCCCAACCATTTCCATTTCGTCCTACTCAGATGTAACTTCCTCAAACTCACTTCCCGGGCTTTTCCCCCTAGATTCCCCATTCTCATTGACTAGTTCCGGATCACTCTCTAACAAATCTTCTATGTCACCCAGTGGACTAACTCTTGCTTCTAATACCTCTAGATCCTCTAATACCTCCCGTTTCGGCATTTTCCAGAGTGTAGTGGCGCAAATCCTATCTTTCTCCAACAAATCATCGACGAACTGGTCCATGTAAGTTAGAGCTGTGCCCATTCGTTTTTTCTGCTTTAGTTTCCGCCGATCCTCCAGGTACGGCTCCAGGAATAGGTAAACATCTTTCGCCTGTCTTGTCAAGCGGATGTAGAAGCATGCCAGTGCCCGTAGATATTTGAATTTCTCCCCACCGTACTCCAAATACTCTCTCAAGATGTCATCGCCCGGCCCGAGTTGAAGAAGCTTGAACGCGAGGCAGAGGAATGGTGAAGGTCGCTGTGCATCTCCGTATGTGCCGCCGATAAATTTGACATGTGTTACGACTCGATCGACAATGTCGGCCTCATTGACTGCGAAGCATTGATCCTTCCAGAAGTAGCTATCGATAATTCGTTCACGAACTGGCTTCTCCATGATTGTGGCGGGGTTAAGTCCGTTTGGCGCAAGAGGACCACCTGAACCCCTCTCGTCCAGAAATCGCTTTTCGTCGGCACGATGATTTGCCATGTTTGTATCGGTCAGTTGTTGTTGTGAGTGGTTATTCAGGAATCGATGGTGGCGGGTGTGTGGTGGTGGAGGTGCACTCTTGGGGAATGTTGGTGCGAGAGTTCTAGAAGTACGACGTACCTGCATTGGTGGGTCTTGATGTTAGCTCCAAACCACGTGATTCGAACGCTAAAACCACCGCCGCATCTCGCTATGAACACAACGGGAGCCCGTGCCTTTCCTACCTGCGTATGGTACTATGGCCTCGGCCCGTTCACGTCATCTGCTCATTGCTCATCAAAACATCCACCACAACGACAGGAATAGCCCAATACTAGGCTACGCGTTGGATGTGTTTTTGTTACATTTTAGAATTCAAAGAGCTTACTTCCTCGACGTTTGTTGTTGGATGATTATCTATTCCTTCGATCCCTTGTGTATTGCGCGCTTCTTACCATGACGAGACTATTGCCATGCATTCTAAGCTCTATACTGTCGCTGGTAGCTGCGGAACAGCCATCTGCCCCCAACCCAGTCGCCGCGCCGATGAGGTCTTTACCATGGGGTGATCTAAACTTCTTACAGACTACCGATACACACGGATGGCAGGCTGGGCATCTTCAAGAGTAGGCTTCTACCCGTTGGAGTGCCTGACCTGCACATGTGCTAACCTCTCTCAGAGCCCAATACTCTGCGGACTGGGGAGACTATATCTCCTTCGCGGAGCGCATGCGTGAAAAGGCGGATACTATGGGAGTAGACCTTCTTCTTGTCGACACTGGGGATCGGATAGAGGGCAACGGCTTGTACGACGGCTCCACCCCGAAAGGCGAATATTTCTACGATATAATGAAGGAGCAGCATATTGATGTTATATGTACTGGAAATCACGAACTCTATCAAGCCGATGCCGCGGCAAGGGAATATGATATTACGGTTCCGAACTTCAGCGGGAGATATTTGGCATCAAACCTCGACTACATAAACCCAGAAACTGGCAAACCTGTGCCTATGGCACAAAGATATCGAAAATTTACGACGAAGAACAGAGGCATTCGGGTGCTGGCCTTCGGATTCCTTTTTGACTTCACCGGAAATGCGAACAACACAGTGGTTCAGCCTGTTGAGCAAACCATTAAAGAAGATTGGTTCCAGGAAGCAATTCGAGAGGACGTGGATTTGTTTCTTATTATCGGACATGTCACACTTCGTGGCCCCGAATATAAAGCCCTGTACGATGCGATCAGAGGACAGAAGTGGGATACTCCCATCCAGTTCTTCGGAGGCCATAGTCATATTCGTAACTACGCAAAGTATGATTCAAATGCACATGGTTTACAAGCTGGCAGATATATGGAAACAATTGGATGGATGTCTATTAAGGGGCTGGGTGGCAGCAAAAAGGTAGAGGAAGAATCGCGGGAACTTAAGACTAGGTCAACCCCGACTTTCAAACGCAGATATATCGATAACAATCTGTTTGGTTATCATTATCACACCGGGCTGAACGATACGACATTCCCAACTGAGCACGGAAAGAACGTGTCAGCCATGATCAACGATGCCAGGAAGGAGCTGAAGCTCGATCACACATTTGGATGCGCGCCAAAGGATCTTTGGATGAGCAGAGCAAAATACCCTAGCAGTGACAGCCTCTTCTCTTGGCTCGAGAAAGAGGTTCTTCCAGTCGTTGTGGTAAATGAGGAACGAAAAGGTGTACCCACTCTAGCTCTTGCTAACACTGGTACGTTGAGATTTGACGTGTTCAAGGGAGCATTTACGAAAGATACCACTTTCATCATTTCTCCATTCGTCAGCAAGTTCCTCGTCATCAAAGACGTGCCATACAAGTCTGCCAAGGGCATTTTGGATCTTCTAAACAATGGTGGCCCAGTTTTTGAGACCTCGGATTTTCACACCTCTCAGTTGGCGCCACCTGAACAGCTATCTGTTTTAGAGGATATCACCCCGGCGACTCTTGCCCAGGATCATTTTGATGCCTTCAAATCCCAACAAGAACAAATTCCTTTGATATCCCGCTCAGAAAAGGACTCCCCAGATCTGATTCCCGGATACACAACCAAAGACGAAGGAGGCTCCGATGGCGACGACACCATTCACAGCCCCATCACATTTTATCGTGTACCAAATTGTGTACAAGCACCAATCTCATTTCCTGCCGAAGGAGACCCAGAGAATGTGGACTTGGTGTTTGTGGATTTCATACAGCCATGGATCTTGATGGCTTTGCAATTCAAAGGGGAGAAATATGGGAAACAAGATGTGCAGTCGTATACCAACTCTACATTGACAGAGTTACTGGCCGGGTGGATCAAGGATAATTGGAGTCATGATTGTTAGAATTGTAGACTTTTAAAATTCTATTATTGGGATGGGGAGAAGGGCGTCTGGGAATTTTGCACATTATCGTTGGCATACATAGAATTATATCACCATGTTTATCATCGCAGCAAGAGCAAAATGCTGTTTGGAAATTATTATTGTCAGGCAAGTGACCAATATCAAGCGAAAACAGCGACATTTATTCCGTTCTATGCATTTGCTTCCTCGCCATTCCATGCCCCGTGTTCTCAACACCTAACGCCTAAATCCTATGCCTCCCTAATTCCAAAACAACGCAGGACCGGCTCACAGAGATCATTCCATTCGCATTCCAAGAGGCCCAACAGCGATCAATAGCCTATTATGAAAGCTGCTCTACCCATGACGTCCAGCAGCTTCCGCAAAAGCCGCTTCCTGAATCGCCAACAACTCCTCATTCGAAAGTCCACTCGCCTCAAGTTTGTTCGCCTTTTTCTCACGCCCCTGTCTCGAATCAGCCTCAAAGTCTAAAACCCAATCAAAAGTCGGAAGGCGATGTTTACCTTCAACTGTTCCTTGTGCTCACTCGCCACCTCCATAATGCTACCTACGTACTCCCCAAACCCCAATTGCTCTAACGCCTTGGTGATGTGTTCACAGGCGATGGTCTTCTTGCTCTCTTTTTCGCTTATCTCGTTTGCTTCGGATGAGATCAGGGTGATGAATTCCACACAACACTCAATTAGAAGATCCCGGGCGTCTTTGCCAAAAGCGAGTCCCGAGGACGGCGGAAGGATCTCGGTTACAATTTTTTGAACGGTTGCTAGAGTCGTTAGTGGGTTACTACGGGAAGGAGCGTTTGGGACGAGCGTGGTTTCATGGTTATGCTCCTAGCCAATCAAGGTTCATAAAGACTTTGGCTTCTCAAGAGCCCTTGTCGTCCAACGGTTTCAGGACATTTCGAGAATTGCCAAGCGTAGTCCTTCAGAGTAGATTCACTGGAGAGAGGCCCCAGAAAGAGTCATAATATGAGCAGTGCATACCTTTTGGTAATGACAAGTCATCGTTGCCTAACGCCAAATGTTAGCCTCGTGCACTCATATACAAACGTAACCAAAAGCCCAAATAGTCCAAAAACCACAAGCGAGATCAATAGTTCAAATACCATATTCAGCCAACGGAGGAGGGAACGGTTGCAGTTCCTCCAAAAGCTCCTTGTCAGTCTTGACCCTCCAGTTCTTCTTCTCCATTTCAGATCCTCCTCTTGGTAATGGAAAAGTGAAGATTGTTTTTAGACAGTGATGATACGCTTAAAAGCGCGAATGAAAGAGCAAAGCAAATTTAGATATATTTGGAGAAATGGAGGGAAGACAAGTCATATATATATATATATATATATGAAATATGGGCTTCACCACTCCACCAAAGATTTCGCATCTCATTCACCATTACTACCAAAATTGGAACCAAAACAACACCATGACTCCAGAAACAGAAAGAGCGAACTTACTACCGAACTCCCGATCAGACATGATGCAAACTTTCCTTCACTTCACCTTTCACAACACAATACCCAGCCAATCTTCAACTCTCCCTGCAAACACTGATGGTGACTCTAAAAATGATCCGATGACTTATTCCGAGTTGGAAATCCGAAAAGAAAGTAGGACGACGACGAAAGAAAGAAAAAGAGGATTATTTTGGATGGTGAGCCTCGCGTGCTGCTAATGGAAGCTTGCAACTTTCCGTCGTTTTTCTCGCTTTGAGGTAGGGCGCCAAAGGGTCTTTACCTATTTATGCGAGGCTGGACGGTGGAAGAGGCTGCTCTTGGCGTGCCGTCCCCTTGAAAGAGACACTAATACCGGATCCGGACAGGCACGTGATGTATCACACACCTTGTCTTGGAGCGAATCTTAGATTGATTCCCAGGATAGAGTTCTCTGGTGATTGAGAACGTTTTCCCAACGTACCAACCATGGCATACAAGTTGGTGACTTTTCTCCCCGGTATAAATTAGTGAAAGACACCGCGCCGGTTAGAAGGACCTCGCTAGCAACACTGTGTTCCACCCAGAGCAAGAAGAAGACAGTCAAATGTTACAATGCTAAGTCTTATTGATTTTTACATTGTCTGAGGCTCGCTAAATAGCCAGCCTCTAATATACAGTGTACAATGTTGATACACAGCCCTACGCCGTCTGAACACCACCTATGTATACATCCGTGAAACATTCGCTGAAATGATTTGAGTAATTACTCCACCGACTGTGGTATCTTGACCAATCCCTTGTTGCGATCATACAACGGTACTCCATACCGCCATCCAACACCTTTGTGACCTCTTCCAGTCTTGCCCGCATCCTCGACATTAGCTTCGGTAAATCTGAATTCCCATCGAGGGGTTTCGACTCTCTTAGTCTTGGAGTCCTTTGCAACCTGCTTGGCTACCTCCGCCAGCCTCTTGCTTTCGGCCTTCGCTGCTCGAAGTTGTGCCTTCTCCATTCTTTCCTCGTCACTTAAGCCTTCCACCAACTCTCGCTGCCGAACAACCATTTCAGGATGCGGTATTCGATCGTCGGCAGGGAGAAGCCTCTCATCGAATACCTTTGCGGCATCGGCACGGGTGAACTGCCTGGACTCAGAGGTAGGGTGGAAGATTTGCTGTCCCGTCTTGGAATGTACGGGAAGGTCGTTGATCGACTCATGTCGAGCGAAATTTCTACCCTCGATGCCGCGCGCCTCGATCGCCCTTTGTTCTCGATTCGCGGCCCTAAGCTTCTTCCTTTCCTCGTCACTCATTAGACGCTTGGGTTTTGAGAATAGTTTTCGTTCAGGGAGAGATCGCTCAGACGCGGCATCCTCGGCAAAGCCTGTTTTGGGAAGCATTGACATGACCGCTTTTGCGTATGGCGTCGCCAATGGTTTCCCCTTCATTTTACAAGTCAGCCAGATGTTTCATTGATGTGTTGAGTAGAACAGAAGTGATAATTTGACTTTTCAGAGAGGCTCGCATGCGTAAATTTTGTAACCATATTGTTGTCTTAAAGACTAATCGATATTTTTATATATCATCATAGAAGTCGGCAGGAGGAGAACGTGAAAGAAAAATATGGCCGACTTACAATGCGTTTCCACTCCAGCTCCACCTCTTTCAAGCGAACGACTGCACCTACACGACTCATCTCAACGCCCATATCTACGCTGACTTCTCTCACTGATTTGCCCTGCTTCATGATTCGAAACCAGATTTCATCGCGAAATTCCTCACTGAGGACAGATTGACTTATGAATGATCGGGATATGGGGAACGGCGTTCGGTCGCGAGCCGACTCGGGAGGAAGCGCCTCAGATGGGTCCTTAGGAATATCTCGGTTTCCCTTGTCCATTTTCTTGTCATTCGCTTTCTTGTATTCCGCTTCCACAACTCGCTTTAATTTACCCTGAGCATTGTATGCTCCCAGATAGTTTGTTGAGCCCGGTAGTGGATTCCGGAAGTTATCCCCTACTGTGGCTAGCCATCTGTACAATGCTCTCCGAGCTCGCGTGGTTCTCTGTTGTGTTCGAGGAGTCGTGGAAAAGGATCGTGATGATGTTGATGATGCTGTGGCTTTACATAATTGTTTCGCACATGACAACGTCGATGATGAGCATGCCAATGATGGCGGCATTTCGAATGCCTGGTGTGTGATGAAGGCAACGCAATGAAGCGTTCCGATTGAGGTCTGGGAAAGGAAATGTTTAGAGCTCCCGCAATGGAGAAAATCTCGCGAGACATCGTTAGCGCAACTTGGTTTATAGCACGTGACAATGATCCACCCTTTTAACTCAAGGAAGGTCTAAGGACTAGAATATCTAGTATTTCCTACCTAGGGGCTTCTCTAGTCTAGCTAGCTATAGTAATCTATATTAATATTTTTATTTAATTCTACTAATAATATATATACTAGATCTCGCTAAAGTAAATAGAACTATAAACTTTAGAATGGTTCGGATAATTAGTTGCGCCAGTCAGTACGCCTCAGCGACTTCCGCGAGTCTGCGCGTCCATCTCTCTGTCTAGAGTACTTGAGGGACTTTATGGAGCGTAGGAGCCTCATTGACAGTCATGTTTGCCTTTATCATAGCGACCTCTTCTCTTGACAGGCCGCATTTCTCAACTATGTAAGTTTCGGCATCCACAAACTTCTCCCGCATCATTCTGAGGGTTGCAAACATGTTCGCGGCCCTGAGGCAATGTCAATAACGGATATAAATCAGAACCGCCTAAGGCATACTTAGCGCCAATCATATTCCAGGCACCCTTCATATTGCCTTCCAAAGCAGGATGCGACATTAAATGATGAACGACAGCCTCTTTCCATTCCTGCGAAAGCCCCACCTCGGTGAGTGAATATTCTTGAGCGACGATTTCATCGTCAACACCACATAATGATAGTACTAGGGCACAAATGACACCCGTTCTGTCTTTGCCTGCGGTGCAGTGGATAATTAGGGGCTCCGACGACTTGTAAGCCAAATGCCGTAAGATGACACTGTAGGACGGTGGTGCATTCTCTAGAATGCTAGTATATGCTCGCACAAACCCCTGGCTACCAATCAATTATTGCACACCCAGATTAATGAGACTCACTTCAGTTCCATCAGCGGTATAGTCAGCATATCTAAGAGCTATGCTTTCTGGGCCATAATCTTCATCGCTAAAAACCGGTACAAAGACTCGATTACATCCATCCCACTCTGTAACCCCACCTCTTCCTGATGCTTTGCTCCTTTCAATTTCGTTATTCGAACGTAGATCATATGCCGTAGATATCCTCAGATTCTTCATTGACTCAATACCATTCTTGGTAACCTGCGATGGTTCCGCACATCGGTATATAACAGACGAGCGAATTGATCGGCTACTGGAAGTTGGATAACCACCGAGGTCTCGAAAGTTTTGAATCCCTTCAATCGTTAGGAAAGGAGGAGAGGGTAGGCTCGATTCAGTCATGATTGACAATGATTTCTTTCCTTCCACAGACGCTCCGGAGAAAGAATGTATAGGGTTTGGTAAAATGTGTAAGGTGTTATGATTCTCGTGTATTCCACAGAAATGTTTGAGGAGCCGAGATTTGCCGCTCTTAAGATCGCCCATCCTGTCATTCAGCAGAACAACTGTTCAACAACAACAAACATCTAGTCGACATATGTAAAACAAAAAACATCAGATAATACGTACACTCGCCCATCGGATTCCAGGCAGTTTCATGATTTTGGAACAGGGAGAACACCAATTCATAGACGACAGCAAGCGTACAGTCAGTAAGCAGAAATATCGCCACCGATGCCTCTGATGCATTCCCCCCCTCCTCGCAAGCAGGAACTTCAATCATCATCACGTTCAAGAGCACAAGAAATGTCACCTCAACTACGAATAAAGAATAGACGGAACCTCTATTTAGATCGAAACCCATCGTATCTTACGTCACCTGATCTTGAACTTTTAGGTATGTTTATTCCGCATTTGATTCTGGCAATAGATATACATACTTATTACAGCAAATTCAGATCCACTACTATACGACAGATGTATCAGGAGGTTTCAAACCCCTGCAGAGCGAGAAGCTGACGGTCGGTCGAAAGGTTACTCCGGTGTGCTCGAAGCGGATTTGTATCGCTCGGAAGCCAAACTTGCTGCTATTCAGAAAACTGCATCAGATCAAGAATCCCAAGTTCGGAAACCAGAGGAATCATCATCATCATCAAATTCTTCAGTGCCCTATGTCTATTATAGTACAGGTAAAGATGGTAAAGTCATGCCTGAGCAGGAGGACGAAGTGCCGAAAGATAAAGAGGAAGGCCTTGATCGGTGGAAATTTGAGATGACTATGAGATTCTTGAAGGGTGAAGATCCCGATTTTGATTACAAAACCGTGGATGAAAATGAGGAATTGGACGTGATAGAGAGAGCGGAAGAAGAAGAGAGGTGGTTTGAAGACGAGGAGCCGAGTTGGGTAGATGAGAACACTGCAGAGGGGACAGGCGGGGAAACTGGTATACTTGATTACTAGACTATGGAATTGATGTGTAGTAGCCAATCTCCTATGAATGTACGATTGAATTCAGTTGTAGTGTTCTCAGAGCTGCTGTGATTATGTTTAAGTTATTAAATTTTTGTTATTTGTGAAACTAGAAAATCACATGAACATCGACAGGTGCTTCTAAATTTACGAATTGTAATTTTCATACAATCTCACAGTTTTTATCATCATAGGTGGACTAGGGAAATAGGAAATACCAGATGTCCTGGTCCTCTGAACACTTGTCGAATTCACGGACAGAGTTTGTGAAGAGCCAACGACGCCGTCTGTCGATGTTTGAGAACATAGTACCTCGTGTATGTATGGAGCTTTAGGAGTCTTTTGAGAGGTTGTCGATTCTGCTTCCTTGTCCCGCCAAGTCGAAGATTTGGCATTGTTCTTCAATCTCGTAGGTTGCGAGAATGTGGTTCTAGCTTTGCCCTAGTAGTTCTGATGTTGGAGGGCCGCTCCGTAGATCTAGTCGCAAACGCTCGAGTAATTCTTCGCGGTTCGATTTGGGATCTATTTTTTCTCGAATATGAAGCCCATCTAAGCGCCCTCGGACTAGTTGCTCCACAAAGTGTAAGGCAAAAATGCCGTAGCTATATGTATCACTCTACTCCTGACATACACCAAAACAAATGGTCAGTGTAACATCAAACTATTTACATATTGTTTAAATCTTTATTATAATGTCCTAAACCTGCTTTAGAGGGCCCTCAACTCTCCGAGAATCAAAAATTACTACCTTTCTAGACGTCTTTTCTCCAAGTACTACGATCTAGTGTTGTTGATTAAAGTTGTGTAAAAAAGCAACCCGACTATATTGAAAGGCAGTTGAATAAGGAAGATCCTCATTTCTTTTAAGGGTATCGATGTCGAGGGCGTGGATTTCCGCAATAGTTCTAGTACTAATTATACTAATGTCTTTCGAGTATTCGCCCTCTTCTAGGATAAAAAATTCTAGTGTTAATGTTAAAACCCACGAAGTCGTGTTTAATAGATTTGCCTCCACTATAGAACTCTCGGAGAGAAAACTCCTCCGACAAGTGAAGAGCTGGGTTTGCGCCATATACGGATCTCTCTCGATCTAAAGGCCGAGAGGTTGTTCTACACGCCGGCTACCCATTTCAACCACATCTTGGGTATCCTGAACTCCCTCTTGTATATCGTCGAGTGTTTCCCTACTACAACTACTCGGCAAGGCATCCGGTCCCTTCACTAGTAGTGTTACCGCCGAATGATGCGTGCTCTGGTTAGAATGTTCTTGTGGAATAATCGTTCTCTGTTTTTTGCCAAGAGACAAGGGCGCCGAGGTCGAGATCTAATGTGTGTACTTGTTATGATGGGCGTAGTCTGTTCAAGAATTAGAATTAGGTGTAGGATAACTGAATTTGGTGTTCACCTTTATCCCGTACAACTATCTTATGATTCTCCTTCTCTACCTGTCGTTCCCTCTAATACAAGTAACGGTCCTTGTACTCCTTGTCCCATTGATGGAATTCTAAGGGGTCTCGAGGAGGACAAAATAAATGTCAGTCGCCTACCTAGTAATCTTGGACTAAATAAGTCGACTTCGAATAGCGCGTAAGAAGTCGTATTTACTCAAAATAATACACGAAATATCTCATATTGTTCTAAATTAATCCACGAAATTACAATATTTAGTCAACTTAATCGAAGAAATGCCGTGTTTTGACTGCCACTTATTTTGTCTACCGCGAGAAAGGGTAATCGATTGTGGAGAATGAGCTTGGGCCACCGCTCGGGGAGACCCAGAAGGCGTAGTTTAAATGAATATTATATTATTTAACAAAATTTGTCTCAGCAAATCAGAATCCAGTATTCTCTATCCCTCGTGGCGCAATTGGCTAGCGCGTTCGACTGTTAATCGAGAGGTTGGTGGTTCAAGCCCACCCGAGGGAGTTTGTTTTTGTTTCGAGATTTTTTGATGTTCGTCTACCCCTCGCGATTCGAAACTCTAGTTAATTTTGACTGCTAGAGCCAGTCCGCACTTGTCAGGTACTTTTTGATTCCCGTCAGCTGTGAGAGTTTGTAAATTAGCCTCCGTATGTAGTCTTTTTGTTCAGGTTCAGCAGTTATCTGACCTTCATTGACTTCCGAGATTTGTTGCAACGATGTATGAATGGGAGCCTTGTGCTCATTCAAGCTGAGACACATCAGGCTTATGTTAACTCAATTTCCAGATTACTTACTTAATAATTCGAAGGTCACCTTACAGTTATAATTTTCTGATTCAGAACTGTCTTCCTTGGGTCATGTCGGAATCACTCGTGATAGCATATGAGTCACGTGTGGCAACCCCAGCTTGGTGAACGAGGGGTCAAAGGTCGAGGCTGCGACTTTACCTCTGCGCATCACTCTTTGTCCTTCTTCCATATTCAAACGTTTGAGCGAAACCATACAACCAGATTTTCCTACGCCCATATTTCCCCCAAACAAATAGTCTGTTCCCCGTTGATCGAAGAAACAACTGCTACGAAATACGACGATCTAGGGATAACAACTACCCCGCCAAACCATGAACTTCATCCACAGCACCCTCGACAAGGTGCGAGAGTGGGCTCCAGTCTCGCATACCTCGACGTTTCGTCAAAATGGTCAGATAACCCCAGAGGAGTTTCTTGCGGCCGGAGATTATCTGGTGCACAAATTTCCTATGTGGTCGTGGGCGGATGCCTCCCCAGAGAGCAAGCGTGCCAACTATCTGCCGGCTGGGAAGCAATTTTTGGTCATCCGCGGCGTGCCTTGCCATCGCAGACTCGATGAGAACTTCGCCGGAGATGCTGGACACGATGAGACCATGGTTGGGGATGGAGAGGATTTCAAGAGTCTTGGAGGACACTCGCCCGGTGACGACGAGGACGGATGGTTGAGAACTGGAGGGCTGGCCGCGAGTCAAGAGGCGCGCGCCCGAGATGTCAGAACGGTCGATGAGAGTGGCAATATGGGTGAGAGAGAAGAGGATGAGGATGAGATTCCAGATATGGAAGATGATGATGACGAGGATGCCATTATCCGTGACTCAAATGCTGAAGGCACCGATTCGTATGTTGCCCGTTCACTTCAGCTCTTTCTATATTGCATGCTAATCATTATTGACTTGTAGATCTCGTCGAAGCTATACCGCGTACATCGCCTATACGCCATATTATCGAACTCCAAGAATGTATCTATCCGGTTATTACGCCAATGGGCAGCCACTTCCTCCGCAACTGATGATGGAGGATATTGTTGGAGATTACAAAGACAAGACAGTCACTCTGGAAGACTTTCCATACTTCAGTAACAATATCAAGATGGCTTCGGTACACCCTTGCAAACACCACAGCGTCATGAAGACCCTATTAGATCGCGCAGACGCAGCACTCAAGATTCGACGAGAGAAGTTACGAAAAGGCAAGATTGCGCCTGGTACACAAGAGGCTGGTATGGGCGGTTTAGTTGATGATTTTAGCAAGACGGGGCTTGGTAGCGATGACAAGAAAGCTATCAAGGAAGGGATGAAAGCTGGTGGTAATGGCAACGACGAGTGGGAAGTGTTACAGCATGATGACGATGGAGACGAGGAGGAAGCTATCCGAGTCGACCAGTACCTGGTAGTTTTCTTGAAAGTATGTTTACCAATTCGCATTAACTACCTGTTATTTTTGCTAACTTTAGCTCAGTTCATAGCAAGCGTGACACCGGGTATCGAATATGACTTCACGATGGGTATTTAAACCGATTCGCACTTTGGGGTTGAGGCATTGCGGACATAATAAATAGGTTTGGGGAGGCTGGCATTCTTCCTGTTTGTATCACGGCGTTTGGATCAAGAGTCATACGGTACGCGTAGCACATAGAATTTACACGACCCCAATGAGTAACGTAGCCGAAATGATAATTTTAGTGGTTAAAAACCAACGATGTGTATGCTGTCCCGTCTGGGACACTTTGGAAGCTGCCTGATGCTTCTAATGCAAAAGCCTTGGTCGCAAAACATCCTAGGTACTTTTATGTACAGTATACGAGTAGTTGCACATTTAACAAGTCATATTTCCCTCAACTACGGACTGAGAATCGCCACCTGTTGGAATTTTCCAAATCGCAATTCCACTATCAACAAAGCCGAGTGCTCGATAGCCTTTTGCTTTCTATTTAAGAAAGGCGGAGGAGATGTGGTTACAAGTTTAAATTATACAATATATAGCTTTCCTCATTGGGAAGTGGTAGTTTTACAAAGGGTATATACACTTAACACGCAACCACATTTCTTCCTCCCAATCCTTTTTCACTTTCCTTCTCTTCAGTCCTGTCCAACCAGGTCAAAGCCTGTTGGTCGTTCGTCAGCAGGGCGCTGGGGATTTAGTCTACTCCTCGCGACACCGGAGGAGTAACCTTTAGAATGCACGACCTTTGTGGAGAGCGTGATCTGGTGTATACCCAAGCACAACATTCCATCATCAAGTGAAAAGAGCTTTTCGTTTGAGAGGAGACTGGTTACAGCTCGTTGGTGGCACGCTGCATTCTCATAGCAACTCATCCGCTACTAGTCCATCTTCATTTGTACGAGTTCTCCCACTTGTCAAGCGCATTAGTGAGACCAGGGAATTCCTCTTCCAGGTTGACAGAGCTAAAAGATTCAGGATTGTATAGCATCCCTTGAGAGTTTGCGTATCTTTCCAGCCGCTCGTTGATTTGGTTAACATACCCCTTTCTTGATCCGACCTTTCGGACTTTGAACATGTCTTGATGCGCTTCTCCCGAACCGACCTTTTGCATTCTGAATTGATATTCCGAGATGTCGCTCATTGTCGGAGGCTTGTGGCGTGCGCCATAATAGATGATCTTAGGCGAATCATCGACTTTGGGAGGGTGGTCTGATAATTCGCTAGACTGATTTGATAAATACATTGAGGGCATGCTCGTATACTTGATGATTCTAGGCGAACCTTGGCTACTAGAAACGGCCTGGCTCATACTCTCATAGAGCTCTGATTCCTTTCCAGACTTTACAAAGTTTTCATCGTTTTTCCTGTAAGCTAGAACCTTTCGAGTGGGTTCATCTACTCCCACCTTGCGCAGTAATGATAGTACAGCTTCTCGTGGGGAACCTCCTTGCCATGGAACCTGACGCTCCGCACTCCATGGATTCTTGTTATTATTGCGTGGATCAAAGGAAACTTCACGAGGCCCACTATATGCATACGTTTTCCTTGGGAGCTTAAGAGAGACACTCCTAGTGCCCGGCAGCTCTTCAAACCGGTCTGGCTCACCAACTTTGGTATACCTAATTGGTGGTGGGCTCTCGTCATGCTTGGCAGAACCTATTGACTGCGAACAAAAGGGATGTCTTGAGGTCTGGAACATGCGCGTCAACTCATGAGCTATTCCTAACACCCTGATGTCGTCTGAGTACTGCCCAATGATCTGAATACCGATTGGAAGTGCATCTGCGCAACCGGGTTGGGGATCTTTGAACGGAATGCTTATAGCGGGTAACCCAGCGAGACTGGCTGGTACAGTAAACACATCGTTCACGTAGCTGTCCAGAGGCGTCTGTCCTTGCAAGCTTTCAAGTTTAGGTGCCCTTGTAGGCGCAGTCGGACATACAATGAAATCAACTTGGGTCGGTCCCAACTTATCCTCAAGCTCAATTGTCTCGTCCATATCGGAAAGATCGAAATGTTCCGGGTCTCGAAGTGGATTTGGTTTTGTGAACACTCGATCAAAGTCTCGTTGGACCAGTCTTCTAACTTTCTGAGCTTTTATAAAATAGTTGTCGATTGCTTCAGAACTCAAAGTATACGATCCCAACAATATCCTTCGCCTAACTTCATCGCCAACATTTGCTCGGGTTGCAGAATATAAGACATCGCCGGAAACGTCGCCATCTTCAGCTTTTTCTCCATATCTTACACCGTCATATTTTGCAAGATTTGATGCTGCTTCAGCTGGGGCAATGACATAATAAGCAGACAAGGCATGTTTTGTGTTGGGTAGTGAAACTGGAACTATTTTGCAGCCGGCTTCTTGCAAAGTTTCGAGTGTTTGTTGCCATGCCTGTCGAACTTCTGGATCCAATTCGGTAATGTTGTATTCCATAGGCACTCCAATCACTGCTTCAGCGCCCAGTTGACGCCACCCGCCCGCTTCGCTCAGTCTTTGAAGACTCCGCTGGTGCTGCCAGATAGATTCGCTATATGCTTCTGGGAGCAGACGCTGCCGGGTATGCTGGGGTATCGACGTTGGATCTTGTTCATCATGCCCGGATATCATCAAAAACGTTTTCGCGACTCGTCCGATATTGTGTGCCATTATCCCAATCGTGTCCAGCGAGTTTGCATAAGGAATAACACCATGTCGAGACAGGATGCCGTAAGACGGTTTGAAACCTATCACACCTGTATAAGATGCCGGCAGCCTGACTGAGCCACCTGTATCTGTGCCCAAAGAAAAGGAGCAGTCCTCTGCTTCTTCCGGGAGAAGTGCCATTGCGCTACCACCAGAGCTTCCCCCAGCGGAGTAGTCAACGCCCAAGCGGCAATTTCGCACTCTGCCAAAGAAGGAGTTGACGGAGTGAGATCCCATGCCGAATTCGTCGAGGTTCGTCTTCCCTACCACCATACCATTGTTCAACGTATCCGCTTGTTCGAGCACACTGGCATGGAATGGGCTTTGATAGCCTTGAAGAAGTTTGGAGCCACATGTTGTTGGCAAGCCCAGAGACGCGATGTTGTCTTTGGCAGCGTAACGGCGCTTGTGGAGTGGACGACCAAACCGCTGTTCCTCTGGTGTATCTGAGCGAGAAATGAAGGCATTCGACTGGTGGTATACTCGCTCCCTCCTTTGTCTCTCAGAGAAGGAGGGTCGGAGTGCTTTCCGTAGCTTGACGCGATGTTCTGGAGCTCGCCATATCTCCTGGAGAGTAGGATCGGTTCGAATCTGCTTCGGCGTCAACCAAACTCGTTTATCTTCCAGCCCCCGCCAAATTGTTTTGTCCTTCGGCCGCCGCCACATTTGCTGTTGCAGTTGCAAAGCAGGAAGCTCTTGATGGACAGAGGACGACTGGGAGCAGGTCGTTCTGCAGACACCCGCTCAATCATCACGTGGTTTGATGTGAACTTGGGAGAGGGAAATCCGCTTATCGCGATTGTTGCTATGGTGTTGCTCTGCCGCAATGCCACTGTTTACTTTCGCTGACAGCTTCTGGCGCATCTGGGCACGCTGCATGACTTCAGAACCTATTTACCTAGCAATAGTCTTGATACCGCCAGCATTCTTCAGTTTTGTCACATAAATACAATGGTACTTCTAACATCATCGCAAGTTTCAGTCGCCATATCGTCCTTCATCGGTAACTTGCTGCCCAGCTAGCCAGCACCCTCTTGCGCATACTAACACCCATCTAGTTATATCTTTCACTTTGGCCCTTTTCCTTTCCGGCTATGTGCTCCAACAAGCAACAGTTCGCGACTTGCGGGCGGCCATAAAACCTCAGATGGTTCAGCCATTCTCTGAACTACAAGTAAATTTATCACCGCAGCGCCAGGATGAGGATCTAGACCGCAAAGCAATCTTAGAAACCATCCCCATTGAGGCCAACAATTTTAGAGAAGGCGCGAAAGATACTCAAATCACTCAAGATTCAAAACACATGAGTTCTGGGAATGAAGAGAATCAGGAGGATAACGAGGACGATATGGTTGGAGCGACACGATGGCAAAAAGCGCAGAAGAAGAAACAAAAATTGCTGGCGGCGCAACAGAAGTCCCAGAAACAAGTCATCGAGGATGAGCCTCCACTGGAGGCTACAAGCAAATCTTCTGCAGCCAGAGATACCAAGCTTTTGCGGGAGAAAAACCCAGAGGAGAAGCCTTTAAGTAAAGCGCAGAGACGGAAAAAGATAAAGGAGGAAGTCATTGCGGCTGGGCAGGGCGAAACGTTTACAGGCTACAGACGACGGATGTGGTAGCATTGCGATGTATATCAGGGCATAGATGTGGAACTCTAGTATGGGACGGTGTCGGATTTTGGGGAGATATTGTGTATTACGGCGTTAAACATGGATGATGAATGACATGGTCGCAAGATACCAGAGTTATAATGAGTGTTGGATACCCGGGTATGTATTGTATATTACGAATATTATGATAAATATGACACAGCTCACGGCCCAGCCATTTCTAATATAAGTCAGTCCTTCTGCTTCCAGATTTCTCTCCTGTGCGTCTGACCATATTTCCACCAAACTCCCATTACAAAATTTCTGCTTTACAGCTACCGTCTGTGATTCTATCCGGGTGACCTCTCAACTTTGTGACATTAATAAGTTCCTCGTCAAGCACGGCCCGAACTCGTCCTATTCAATCTTTCCCTTCTCGATCCCTCCTCGTCCCTTCTGGTCTTTTCCCTTTCTAAGTTCTTAATCCACTGGGATGAAGGCTGGCACACATTTCTTTCGTATCTTTCTTGCTCTTGTGCATTAGTTTGTACAGACTGTATTTCATTAGCTCCGTGCGGATAATCTCGTCTATCCTGTAAAACGTACCAGACAATAAGCGCATTGGTCACCGAATTTCATGACTGTGTTGTGACAGTTTATAGAACTCTGCGTAAGAGATTAGCTTCCGAGTACATATTTAGAAAAAGAAAACCAACGTAGTAGTTGGCGCAGTAACAAGTCATCTTGAATAAATATGTATGATGATGTTTTTCAGTGCTCTGAACCTTTCAACCTTCCTTCGAAATCTGGAATTAAAAACCCGACTGAAGAAACGAAAACAAGCAGAACCAGAAAATAAAAGTGCGACAACAACCAAAGCTTCAAAAAGAAAAAAAGGATAAATATATAGTAGACACTCATACCAAACCCGCTGAAGATTAGCATGAAGGTCTTAGCTCATCGGACGTGTATTCGGGGGACCTAGACCGCTGAATGAGGGATCGTGCAATTTCTTCAATGCACTACGTTTGTGAGTAAGACAATAATCCGAACTGTTATACCGTACGTAGTGTTTCTGGCGCGCGGATCTGTGCAAGTTTACGAGGAGGGGAGCGGTCATTTTCAATTTGGTCGTGAGAGTCGGATATGCCATTGATGATATTATATAGGAGTTATTGAAACGAGGAAGAGAATGGGCGACGAAACAGAGACTTGGACAAAATAAAATCCTGTACTTAATATTGGGATGTTGTATCCATACATATTGACACTCTTCAAATATCTTTCCACTTTCCTAACACAAAGCTCACCTGAAGAAGCACAACAAGAAATTCGCGCTAAATGGAGAACTTGCGCATGCTCTCCCTAACCCTCCAAAAATAGCACATGAACAAAGTTTTCAATGGCGAGACATGTTCTGCACTTCTGAAGTGTATGAGCGTGGGACCGAGCGTTTGTGTCAGATCGCAAGTACCGAACGGATGTGCTTCCGTAACAACCTCTGGTGGAGCAAGGCACAGCCACTGTGGGAGTCGAATTCATTGTAAAGGTTAAATCGGACATCTGAGTTTATTCCTTTTTACAGGTATTCTTCTTTCTTCAGTGCTGACATTGAAAGTAGTGTTCAAAACAAGAACTAAGTCATATGGATCTACAGCGTGCCACGAATGGAAACGGAGTCAAGACGACCATAGAGGGTATGTATTCATAAATCAATGCTTCGGATCTTTAGACGGGAGAAGAAAGCTAGACTAGTGGTCGGAGCGAGATCTCCATCGTCAACAGGGTCACAAATAATAATAAGATAGCGCAATGTGCTTCGAGAGATCCGGAATTGTAACATCAAGCAGATTATAGAAAAAACTTTTCAACAAGCAAGTTGCACAAGCAAGACGAGAAAGAAGGCATTTCATCATTGATAGGCTACACAAGCAATGTACAGAATCGTGTCGCCCCAAGAAAAATGGAACAGCCATCGATCAAGAAAAGAAAAGGAAAAGACCCAAAACCAAATAACCCTTTAATACGCCTATCGCTGAGGTACCATTGTATGAGTCCCAAGAAAGTATTCCACCCATAGGGACATCATCACTATTATCAAACTCAATCAAATCAACCAAAATCGCTGATCAAAGGTTTCCATTCCACCATTTCGTGTGAAGAGCCTATAATTTCCTTCGTATCATTACTAGTTTATCTCCCGCCGTCATGATAGGCAAACATGCGTAGAAAAGGATGTGTCCAGCACACGTTCTGTAGGAGAAAATAACACCACAGGGCAAAATGCAGAAATAATCCCGAAATATATGCCATGCAACTCTACAGACGTGTCATAGAAGCGGAAAAGAGGTCGATGTGTACATATCCTGACGCTAATGCCGCGAGGAAGTTGAAGGATGCTGGGATGAGCTCTGATTGTTTTCGATTGCTTGATGATCTGGCCGTCGCCCCTGTGGCCAAAAGTCGATAGCGGCTACGACATCTTCCCCACGTTCGTCTTCATAAGCGTAAATTATCTAACGAAGTTAGTATTGGGGGGAACGTCTATGCTAGAATCTCAACAGCACTTACCTCGCGTGTGCTTGTGTGAAGCATGCGGATATTTTTGTGCGGTACGATGTGAACCGCGTTGGTGTCGATATTACGGATTTCAATAAAATTAGCTTCGAACGCAAGAATCCAAGGATATGAGAGAGCAAAGCTCTGAGGCTGCCCTTCCCAATCAATCCTCCAATCAGGCCTTGCTCGCCAACCGTTACGGTTGACGAAGAATGAAAATTCAGAATAGTTGAGTAAGAACTCTCCATTGAGTCGCTCAATATGGATTGGCCTAACATTTTCTTTGCGGGCCACAAAATCCAGAGATGTGTCAGCTTGGTCAAGCAGAGATTGAGTTTCCAGAGTTTCCAGCGAGACCACTTCGAATCCTCTCGCACAAGCCACACACAGTTTGGATTTGAGGAAGTGTATCGAGGAAGATTCTGTTGGGATGTAGAATTCTTTGAAGGCTTTTAGTTCGTCCTGCCCGCTGTTGAACATCTTGAATCCCTTCTGCTTTTTGCCCTTGGACATTGCATCATTCGGTTCGAAGACCTTAATTGTGGTGGAGAGCGCCGAGGACTTGACGCAGCATACCAGATGACGACCCAAGCATATACCTGTCCGGAAAAAGTTGCAATGACTCTGGATCTTCTTCGGCCTCTTTGAGAGTGCGGGTTCGTTTGGATTCAAGGCTGATAGGGGGTAGGAGAGCAATGACTTCTGCGATAGTACCAACAGAAGTTGGTATTCTTCGAGGACATCGATTTGTGTGACCGACGTAGCATCCAGAACGCGGACAGGCTTCGCAGCTTGGTCTTTGGCCCTGCGGTCAGACACAAATATCCCCGAATCGGTACCGTAAATCAATTTGCGGCCACCGTCTACAAAATATTAGCTTTGATTACCAGCAAATACTGGCAAAACTTACCAAATGGTGCAACACAGTTAACTCGGTTGGCAGCGGAGAAGAACCCGCTTGACATGATAGAACGATTGTAGAAATCTCCGCGCCTCCGAAGAATCGATTGTTGCTCTCCAATATGCTCCATCCATTTGTTCCTCGAGCCAGCGGTGTTTGCGTAAAGTGTCAACTCATAACCTCCTTTACCGATATGACGAAATGTGATTGGAAACCCTTCCTTTCTGGCGCCATCGTTCGCGCCAGTTTTGCTTCCGGGAATTAAACTAGAAGAGGGTCTTTTGACAACACCCAACTTTGGTATGACCTCGTCCATCTCACGAATGGAGAGCAGCTCCAAAGGTATGGGTCTTCGATAAACCTTCACTTCCTCCTTCTTCCCAATCATCTTAACACGAACAAGCAACATGGCGTGATCAAACAGGTATGCTTGGATGTCGGATGGGTCTGTTGGTGACTTCTTAAGCGTTCCTTTGAATACAAGCTCTCGCTTCTCGTCGGTAAGCTTCAAGTCCACCCTCTCATTCGGTCTGAAACGAAGCTGCTCATGAAGACGTTTGAGGTTGAAGCGGTTTTCTGCCTTACCAGACTCAGCATTTACTCTCGTCAAAAGATCTCTGATCATCTTCATTGCCACAGGAATATCGTCCTTGTCCGGGTTTCCTGCCTCTGTATACTTCAGTACGTTCTCTAAAAGCAGAGGATAACGAGCTAATCTCGTAGTTGGCTTTGTCAAGTATCCGTTCAACTCGAGCTTCCTAGATTCTTTCCGCCTCTCTGTTTCGTCGACGAACTTGGAAAAAAAGGGATTAAGTGACCGTTCGTTCTCAAACTCAAACTTTCCAGCCAATTGGTTGGAACCATACACGATGAAAGGTTCGAATTGTGGTACGTATTCCAAGAATATGTCACCAACAGACCTGACAACTGGATGTTTTTTCTGTCGCTCAGTGAGAGCTTCTGCGAACTTAGAGCTAACACCGTGAATGCTGGGGGTGTCGATAATATTCGAGAATATGGTCCTGACCGTCTTTTCCTTACGTGATTCTGGTATTGGCGACGGTGTGGCAGCGTTTGAAGAGCGTAGAGGAAGAATCCAGAAATCTCGCAAGTACTCCAGATCCTTCACGAAATCTCGCTCCGTGTACATGATCTCTGAAATAACCTCTTGTCGCTTCTTCTCCCTCTCATCAATACTGTCAGCAATCTCTTGGGAAACAGTATTGATCCAGAGTTTCTGTTCGTCCGGTTCATCAACATCATGTAAACTCGCTTCTGACTTCTCACGCCGTAGACCAGGTTGTGGCTTAAGGTTCAGACGTGACTGCTGTTCTAATCTTCGTGGGCATGCGATCGAGTAGCATAACTGGTCTCTGGTACAAGTTGGGGAATAACACTCAGTCAACAAGACAAAAACCCCGTTCACTTCTGGTACTTCATGTGGTTCGTCCATCATTGTTTCTCGGAATTGGTACATTTCGACCGCGGAATCACGAAGTCGGTGATCATATGTGACATCGTGAAAGAATTTCTGAGCATCCAAAGCTCTTCCCAACAGCAAAGCTAGATTCCTATCGGTCGTCTTAATGATGTAGGAGATCACATCAACAGCATCTGCTCCACTGAACGCATTTTTATATGCCAACCCATTCTTCGTACGATCTCCAACCGTCACCTTATCTCTAAAACATTCTGCAACACGGGAGAGCAGGGCAGGGTACACCAATGGCGACTTTTGTCTGCCACCACCTGTTCCACTGCTAACAGACTTGGCCACTGAAGGACGATGTTGAAGCGAGTCAGTTCGTTCGGACGGTGAAATGATGGTCGATGCCATCGACATTGAGCGGCTCATATCGCCAACGTTGGTAGATGCCATACTAGACGCCATACTCGTGGTTCGTGTAGCAGTGCCAGGACTACGGGGGCCGAGAGCAAAAGGTTGAGGGTCTTGGGGCCCAGACGAGATCCGCCTGTTAGGTATAACCCTGCCACTCATAGTTTGATGCTGGTCACGATCTGGTGTATAGCTCGTTAGAGACATCGTTCGCTCGTCTTGTCTCTCTGGAACTATCCGTCCTTGTGCTGTTGTTCTCGAGGCCTGCCCCTGATATGGGGGCTGTCTAAATGCGTTCACAGGAGCCGGGTTAAAAGTGTTTGGAGGAGGTTGATACATATTTGGTCGTTGGATGCTAGCCATAGATTGTGAGCGATACGGATCCGAACTGAGAGCAGGTGGACCCTGATATCGCTGTTGTGGTTGGGGTCCCCTCGAAGGGTATTGTTGCTGTTGCTGAGGCAGCCCGCGCGGATCGACCCTCTGAGGTCCTGGATATGGTCGACGATCGGGACGAGTCTGCTGAGGCAAGTATTGAGGCTGCGGCTGAGATGGAACCTGTCCCGACTGTTGTGGTCGAGGGCCTTGGTGATATCCATTTGACATGCCTCCGCCGTTTTGCATCATGGGAGCAGAAGTCGAAGGATATCCGCCTTGTTGTGGCACACGTGGGGGAGGTTGTCGTTGCATGCCGGCCTGGGTTGGGATTCCTGCTGAAGATCCCATCGTCTGCGTTCGTCCATTTATGCCGTTCGAAGGAGGAGCTATCGAGGAATTCATCGTCTGAGATCTTCCAGGCGGGGCAGACCCAAATATGTTTGAAAAGGCGGCATCTCGCTGGTAATTTGACGCATGGCCATAGTCGCTGGGGCGACCGCCGTTAGGTCTTCCCTGCTGGTATTCTGCCATGATGCACTCGAGCTGTGATCGAAGTCAGTGTCGCTATTCGCAGAGTTCGCTTTTGGTGGCCGCGACTACCCCAACCACCTACTTCACAGGTTCGACAGCGTCGCCGGATTTACACGTCCCAGCCTGCTGCCACAGCTCCTATGTGTTGCCGAGCGCGACGACAAAACGGTGAGTATAGAGGCCGTTATTTTGTTCTCGTCTCAAACTGAATCGCTGTGGTGAGTCGGCGTTGCCTTTGGAGTGAGATTGCTGGCCGCGAGGGGATCTCGGGTCCCAACGCTTTGGTTTGCTAGTCGCGGCGGTGTAGGCTGATTGTCAGGAAACACATTGAGTTGTCGTCGTTGCCGCAGACGTCCCAATGCTTGTTGTTTTGCTGGAAGTGGGAGATCGGATGCCCAGGTATTTGCGCGGTCTCCAAAACCGCTGCTTGCAGTCGGAGGCTAGCGGCTCGGATCTTTCCTGGTCGATTTGGCCGGGGAAGATAAACATTCACAAGCCGTGCAGAATCTGCCAGAGACAAACGAGCAGGCAAACTTCGTTTGGATCATCTGTTCCCTTTATATCTTTGAGAAGGATGACTTAGAGAGATTATTCGCATGATTGCTTCTTCTGAAACGGCTTCAGCCAGCTTGCAAGGAAATACGCAGCATTCTAGTAGGGTAAGACACGGATTATGTAAAAACACGTGATCTCAGTTTGAGTAACCTCAAGGTGAAGCTTGCCGACCTAGCGCTGCTGCGTTGAGCCTCTTACACTATCTCGCCAACCACCAACTTCGAGCGCACTCTACGAAACGAAGCAGCTCAGAATATACAGCTAGAGCTGTAGCCCGCTATCATGAACTCGCTCGAGATTTCGCCTTCAGAACTGGCGCCGAAGTTCGCGCCATTCTTTGGAATGGTAAGTAGCCAAGCTTGATGATGTCCTACGTGTTGAGACTGATATGCAATCTTCTAGGCCGGAATCGCCTTCGCCATGACTTTCGGATGTATGCATCTTGGTCTAATATAGGATTGACGGCTGCTGATTCGGTACAGGTTTTGGTGCCGCATATGGAACTGCGAAGTCTGGAATTGGAATCGCAGGCGTGGGAACATTTCGACCAGATTTGATCATGAAAGTACGTCAAGACGATGGGCCATTATCGCGGAAGCGGCATGCTCATACAACCTCTCTAGTCTCTCATCCCCGTGGTTATGTCCGGTATCATAGCGGTATACTCACTGGTTATTGCGGTCTTGATTGCAGGAGACATGGGCCCTCCACCCGGGCAAGATTATAGTTTGTTCAAGTATGTCACTGTCGCCCTCTTGAATCATGAGACTAATATTTGGTAGTGGATTTATGCATCTTGCTTGTGGCCTTTCGGTTGGGTTGACGGGTTTGGCTGCTGGTTACGCGATCGGCGTGGTAGGAGACATGGGAGTACGATCATATATGTATCAATCAAGGATATTTGTGGGCATGGTTCTGATCCTTATCTTCGGAGAGGTGCTGGGCCTTTATGGGTCAGTCTATTGTATCCATTTCTTGACAAATTATGCTAATAGGTCTAGACTCATTGTTGCTCTTATCCTAAACACCAAGAGTAGAGGGTAGGAGCTCTGCCTGAAGTTACTCGACATAGCGCGATCAACACGAAATCCCGAAAGTCACCTGAGCGCCATCAGCTGTATAAAGAATCATGTTTAGATATAAGAAGAGGAATGCATTGCTCGGAGTTTTGGTTGTGAATAAAGGAATCCGTTATCCAAGCCAATGTGGATATACGGATATCATAAGCATCTTTAATTATGTTACCGTGCTCTCAGCGGACGATACTACCGAAAGTTGTATGCATGCATTCAGAAGAGCATTCTCGACGCAGATTGCACTCGCTACCACCTCCAGTGGATTCTGGTTTGGGCTCCTGTCTCGTGGGATGTTGAACGTACTGTCATTCTCTTGATGCCCCCTCGAATCTGTATCGACTAGTGAGCGTGGCAAGATTGGATAGCTTAGGCACTGGTGATTATGCAATTGTTGTAGGGATGACTTCCGTTGTGTTGCGGTACTTTTGGGTCGGTGTTAGTGATGTGAGAAGGATGGGCTCATGGAGCGATAAGGGAACCCTAAATCATGTCGCCCTCTGATGATTCTCCTACTTTGTAATTGATTCTGGAATCCAACTGGCAACATGCTTCAAACCTTTGAAAGAGATGACCTACTCACATACTGCATCGATGTTACCTCCTGGGTCCCTTCGACAAGCCAGCGAGTATCTGGAATCGACTATGATTCTTGGGTAAAGGCTGAAAAGGCTGCTAACAACACAGGACTATTGTCTTCTCGGAACACACTGTGTGAATGTAATTGTAGGAGAACCATTTGACAGACTAATTGTGGTTAAATCATTGTAGTAAGAACAGAGAACTCACATTCACAGCTCTCGCTTTACTAGAACATGGGCATGTGGTAATCTTACAAGACTAAGATGACTCTGAGAAATGCCCTCTTTACGCCGACGACTGCACCAGCTTTTGATCCCTCGATATTCAATCTTCGAACAACCCAGACCCCTCCACAGAGAGATGTTCAACCTTGACGAAATAAGGTGAATAGATGCTCGATAGAGGCAACATTGCGGGACAAACCTATCATTACCAACCTAAATTGCGATATCCCGAAGGCCCCTTATGGGCTAGATTGCGAGGCAACATCAATCAAAATTATACCAGAAATGGTCCTTTCAAACATGCTCCGCGTGACTGTGATCAGAAGTCAACTTTCCGTCCTAAATTATCTGGTAGCATATTCGCCACCTCATCTACATAACATTGGTAGTGTATGAACAGCTAATGTGGCCAGCAAGTCTCCCACAGCCTCCACGAACTTCTTCGCTGTAGCTTTGGATTGGTCCATTTGATGTTCCGAGTATGAGTGATTTACTCCTTTGCCTTGATCTGCTGCAGCCATCAGTCTCTCAGCATAGAGTCCAGACTAGATATCAACAGCGAATAACCATCCTTCAATCACCAATCTGTGTTGCTGATCGTTTTTAGAAAGAATCGCGGAGGAGAGAAGCGAACCAACATCATATCGTTTACATCCAGTCATCCAGGTTCTCCTTTCGGCCATATAAGAATACAACCCACAGCTCTCCGTCGGCAAGCCCCCCTTGTTACTACTCGCTTAACGGTTGTTGATTGGATCCTGCGCAGACATTCTACTGCCCCTTTGGAACAAGTTCCGCATTGATCAGCTCCCCACGCCCACACAGCATGCAGAGTCTTGGATCTGAAGCTTGATTGTGGCCAAGGACAGATCCAAATGCTTATTTGCGCCAACAGCCCCCCCCTGGATTTAGCCCGGAAGGCGAATTCAACAACAATTAATCGGTTAGCGATGCTATAGGCCCTTCTGATGTGATAGTCAGTCAAACATGACACGGATCATCTGTACGACACCTACGAAGTACGATATGGAAAAAAAAGTGACGCCAGCGACAATACAGACTGTATTATACAGACTGCCATACGAATATTGGCGACGGGGACCAACTCTTCCGATATTGGGGCCATTCGATGAGAGCTGAATTTGAATATTTCGCGCCATCAGCTCCATGAAAGCACGAATCTGCCGAAGGCGCATTATTCTCCTTCCTTTTTTCACAGAGCAGCAGTAATTGACTGCATTTAGCGCTCTCCCTTAGGTTGCCGACACTAGATCCCGCAACTTTCTCAGCCGGCACTTGGCCATTCGACTGCCAATTCGACCTTTTTAAATAACAATGCAGATCATCCAGGCACTTGAATTTCGACTCGACTCTTGACCTTCCTATCTGAGGCAAAGTCCGACGGTATCTACTCTCTTTAAAAGGATCAAACCTTAATTCAACATTTAGCGAGACCGTTCAGAGGACCATGGTAAGCATCCAGTGCCTCGATTACATGGCGCATCCTACCGGCATTGCGCGAGCTTGTGCCTCGGTGTAAACCGCCGTAAGGCTCAACTTAATGCATGTCTGGTGCATTCGGGGCTCTCTATGGTTAGGTGTGGACCACATCTGTCACAGATCTATACAACTGTTTCCCGTCCTTCCTTTGTTATTCGCCTTCGACATTTAGTCACCTACCCTAGAAAGGAAGCTCAAAATGTTCTGGGGAAGTTGGTAATGCCAAGTGTCGCCTCCTTCTTTTCCTGAACTAGGGCATCATGAGAATGATCAAATCTTAGAGAGTCTGCCAATTAAGGAGGCACAGAGGCTCACACCAACGACGCCGTTGACCATGGTTGATATCACCCTAACAAGATACAAGCTTCTCCTGCTTCTCTTGGCCAGCAGACGAAAAGCTTGTCTACTACGTCGGGTTACTGGGACTTGGAGATATATAAGATGTGAGATTTCCCTTCAAATGTTCTTGTTCTTCATCCCGATCATCTCTCTCAATTGCTTCCTTCTTTAATCCTCCCTGCTTCAATATGTTGTCTGTGGTTACACTTCTGGCCCTCGCTGCTGCAGTTCAATCTGCTCCGGCTCCTCCATCTATCCAGTCGGTCCCAGCACCAGAAATTATTGGCGCTACCCAATTCACAGCACCAGCTGTTAAGAACCCAGCGTATGTCCGTAATGGAACTGCTGCTCTTCTCAAAGCATATGCCAAGCATAATCTTGTGCCTACTCAGGAGTTCTCTGCTGCTTTTTTAGCCGAGTTGAGCCAACTTAAGAAGCGTCAAGATAGTTCGGCCACGGCAGTTCCATATCAGGGTGCGGAATATCTGGTCAGCACGACTGTTGGAGGTCAGAAGTTGAACCTCGACTTCGACACGGGATCAGCAGATTTGTAAGTAATTCCAGCTTCAAGAAATGAAAATCAACTAACAAAATATCAGATGGGTATTCTCAAGTTCTCTATCAACCGCAAGCAAGCAAGGTCACAACGTCTACACCGCATCCAAAAGCTCCACCTACAAGTCCCTCAGCGGCTACACCTGGAGCATCCAGTACGCTGACGGAAGCGGCGCCTCTGGAACGGTAGGAACAGACACCGTAACAATCGGCGGCACAACCGTCAAAAACCAAGCCGTCGAGCTCGCCACAAAGGTCTCCTCATCCTTCGTCTCCGACGGCTCGGACGGTCTCGTTGGTCTCTCATTCAGCAACATCAACACTGGTTAGCTCCCTTTCCCTCCCCCTTATACATTCCAACTAACCCCTACCCAGTCCAACCAGTTCAACAAAAAACCTTCTTCGACAACGCCAAATCCTCTCTCGCTTCTCCCCTCTTCGCAGCCTACCTCCCCCTTAACGCCAATGGCGCCTATGACTTTGGATACCTTGACACCACAAAATATAGTGGCACTCCCGTCTACGCTGCCGTCTCCTCTGCTGGCGGCTTCTGGGAATTTCCTTCTACATCTTATAAAGTCGGATCGACCGTCCACAGCACCTCATCCTCCGTCACCGGAATCGCTGATACTGGAACCACCCTCATCCTCATGACCGACGCCGTCGTGTCCGCCTATTACGCGCAAGTATCCGGCGCAAAGAACACTGCTGATGGTTACACATTCCCATGTTCCGCTACCCTTCCATCTCTGAGTTTCAGGATCGGAAGCACAAGTTACGCAACGATTCCTGGCAAGTTGTTGAACTTCCAGGTGTACAGCGGAAGCACTTGTTACGGATCCCTCCAGAGTGTCGGTGGTGGCTCGCAGCATATCTATGGAGATGTGTTTTTCAATGCTTACTACGGTATCTTTGATGCTAGCCAGCCGAGGTTCGGCTTTGCTGCTATCAAATAGAAGTAGCTGGCGAAGCGAGAGGGAAGGGGTAAAGGTGGTTCAATGAATAGTATATGAGATTATGACAGATAATTTTGTGGGCGTCTATGTTGGCATTGACAGTTAAGCTATTTTCGAATACCATATTTTATGTTTGATAGGCTTGCGCTTTGATTCTACCTCTTTTGGGGTGTGCCAAATGACTTGAAGAACCAGGCAAGACATGTGAATCATCCTTCAAACCATCTGCCATTATTTTTTTTACCCAAAAAACCTCTCCTTTGTCACCTCAACACCACCCTTTCAACTCCTGGCATCCAAGGGACCCCTCCCACTTCACTTCATTTCACCTCCTCGCGCCTTCAACTCCTCAATCCACCTCACTCCCAAATCCCGCAACCTAAACTTCTGAATTTTCCCACTCGCCGTCTTTGGGTACTCCCTGACCCAAAACACATATTTCGGCACAAGATGATTACTCAACTGACTCCTTACAAACTCCCTAACCATCTCTTTTGTAAGGATCTTCTCGCTATTCTCAGTCTTCAAACCTTTAACATCAATTTCACAATCGCCATTCCCAGCATCATCAATACCAACCTTCACATTCTGATGAACAACTATAAACGCTGCGACTGCTTCACCGTATCGCTCATCTGGAATGCCGGCGACCGAGACTTCGCTGATGTGGTCGTGTTTGAAAAGTACGTTTTCGATCTCGAGAGGGTGGATGTTTTCACCGCCTCGAATAATTAAATCTTTGATTCTCCCGGTGATTTTAACGTAGCCATCGGCGTCCATTTCCGCTTCATCGCCGGTGTACATCCATACCTGTCCATCATCTTCAAGGACCCGGACTTCCTCGGTACGGATTTTGTCGTTCCAATATCCTTTCATAACGTTGTAACCTGAAACAGCGAGTTCGCCGCGTTCGCCGATGGGAAGGATTGTAGATCGAGAGCTTGTAGAAGTAATTTTGGCGGTTACATGAGGAAGAAGTCGTCCGACTGAATCGAGACGTTTTTGAAGAGGATCGTCGGGAAAGGTCATAAATGACACGGGTGCTGTTTCGGTCATACCATAGCATATAGTAAGGCCGGTGAGATTCAACTCTTTGTGGAGTTTGGCCATCAAGTTACTCGGAACCGAACTTCCTGCTGCAATTCCAGTGCGTAAGTGTTCGAATCCTTCTCTTGAGATAGCACCCGAGGAGAGAAGTTCCAATTCGGCTACGAACATCGTGGTTACACCGTATAGTGTAGTTGCTTTTTCAGCCTGGATGGATTTGAGAGTTGCTGTCGGATTGAATGCTTCAGTGGGAAAGAGGATTGCTGAGCCATGAGTAGCGGTTGCCATGTACCCTAATATACAGCCAAAGCAGTGAAATAAGGGCGGAGGACAGCATACTATGTCAGTGGGTATTAAGCCCATGCGGCTACCAATTTGGTGACCATTGTTAAGAATACTGTGGTGGGAGAGCGATGCGGCTTTCGGAAGAGAGGTTGTGCCGGATGTGAATTGTATGTTTACTACTTCATCCTTGGAGAGTGGTGTATCTGGGATGACTTCTTTTGTTGATGACTGAGATGCCATGAGCTCTTGAAATGGTGTAGTTGCTGTCAGAGAAGATGTGTCTATCCTCCCTGATGAGTTATCCACAATAATTATGTTCCTGAGTGATGGGACTGATGCCGACGCAATCTTTGAAGCAACAAGATTTGGCACTATAGCTTCTAACAGTGTGATATTCTCTCTCGGTGATTTGAATGCAAGATTTGTCTCTGCCCCAATCACAAGATGAGCTGCTTCGAGATGAGAAAGTGCAGCAATGACCTGCAGTGAGTTGAAAGCTGGATTCAAAGGAACCTATGTTCTTGTCAACTCTAGAATATGAGCTCAGGAATAACAAGTCCTTACCAATATAGCACCCAATTTGAATAGCGCATAAGTGATCGTCGCAAACTCCCAATTATTACCCAAACTCACAGCGACCCTATCTCCCTTCTGAACACCCCTTTCCCTCAGACCATAAGCAAGCGCGGTGCTTCGTTCATCTAGTTCTCGGTATGTAAGTCGACCAATTGGCCCTTGGGCGCGAGATATGATAGCGAGACGATCGCCATGTTCTTTGACAATTGAGGAGAAATGTTCGGGGATGGTTTGTGTGAGAAGAGCGGGCTGGATTTTTTTTATTAGCATCAGGAATTCAAGACATACTTCGGGTATCATACCGCAGTTGGACCTTGGGCATAGGACTGAGTGAGAAGGGTTCGAGTTTGGCGTGAAGCGTTTGAAGCTGCCGTGAAGAGACTTCCAATCCTTATATATTGCGTTCTTATATTTCCCAAAATGCCCACCCGGCAACCCAGCCTAGCAAGTGCTTTGATCCCAGATTTCGAAGTAATTGATCCATGTAACCTCATGTTGACCATATTTATCGCATTCCTAATCCAAGCTAATGACCCCTCATCCAGCTGCCATGATCAAGAAGCCTCTGAGATCCGTGCGTGTTACCTGGATACCATGATACTGAATCACACAAGACACGCCGGTCTGGTAGTATTAGCACTGAATGAGAGAAAGAAAGGATCGAGGCAGAGGAGAGGAGGAGTTGAGGAGTTGCTCCAAGCCGAGCTTGTGCTCCGTAAACAGCTGGACCCGAAATGCGGGGTGCGCGCCATTCCGCGATTTCTCGACCCTCCGTATTCCTCAAAACACTGGATCCACCTCCGTACTACCTTCTCTAACTAGAGAAATTGTAAGGTCTATGTATTATATAGACACAATTCTCCTCTAGAGAGAGTTTCTGAATATTTCATGAATAGAGTAACGCTAATTCGTGAGTTTTCAAGTTCTTGCCATTTCTTGATCAATGTGGAAGGGATGGTGTAATAAAATAGCTGTGTTAGAAATTTCCTTTACCTTTGCAAGATTGCGAGTAGAAGGGAAATTAGAGATAATATACTGGATGTTTGCGTGACAAGGAGGAGAAAACAAAACAATTTGACTATAAGCATTCAATCCAATAAGCAGTTGCTGTCAACTTATGTATTTGAATCCGCTCAATCATTTATCTTCATAGAATTGAACCTAGCCCGTCCACGAATAAAAATATACACAACACTGAGGTATATCCCGCGACCGCAACACCATATCAACAAAACACAACATTACATCACATGGAATATGTACCATCAAAATATTAAGCGCGACCATCACCTCAAGCACCACCATAATCCTCCCCCTCCCAAACCGCCTCCACAATAGACATCCTACACCCCTCAATTCTCTTCACGCCCGCAAACTTCAAGTCCTTGTGCGTATTCTCGAATAGCGTTTTATACTGTCTCTCACTCCTCTCCGTCGCATTAAGTAGGGTCAACATGACCAAATCCATCGTTCGAATAATCTTCTCATCCCACATACTCTCCTCTCCGAATCCGTCTCTCAGACAATGATCATTGATCAAAACCCTGGCTCCCTTTTTCATCGATGGAATCAACGCGCTCAGGATCTTGGATGCGTATTTATCGGAATGATTGTGGAAAATCCAGCGGAAGAGATAGACGTCGGCGTTTTTGACTGGCTGAGGGGAGAAGAAATCGTGGGCTTGGAAGGTTATGCGTTGAGCGAGGTCGCCTTCGAGTTTTGGGGCTGAATCTATGGTTTTTGGGAGGTCTTGTACGACGAACTTCAGATCGGGGTAGCGTTTGGCGAGATCGATACAGACGAATCCGATGGAACCACCAACGTCGACGATGGTTGCTTTGGAGGCGTTGAGAGAAGCCCAGTCGTAGTTGTCAAGCAGGTAGGACAGCTCGTAGCCTTCGCCGCCGGTGAGAGAAGCCATTGCTCCGCTCATACGTTTGGCGCGTAGAGGTGACTTGCCGAACGTGACGAACATGGGCTCGACGTTTGTGGTATTATTGGCGAGTTGAAAGCCGGTTTGAGTTGGTTCTGAGGCGGAAGGGTACTCTGTCAATGCTCGAGTTACGTTTGCTGCCGCCTGTAACGCCGTTAGCAAACAGTTTTAAAATAACCCCTCAATGAAAGAGTGAAGAGTTCAGTGGTTGCTTACAGGTAAGATATCGTCTGTACAGAATCCGATCCAGTCATTGATCACAGGATCTTCAGCCAGAACTCTACTGGCCGCCGTGTGAGCCACCACATCAGGATTGACCTCTCTGAAGATTCTGTTTGTCATAGCATGCCGCATAAAACGACGAACATTGACCTCATCTAGTCCAACGGCCTTGGATATCTGCTCGTACGTAGCAGTCTCGTGGATAGGAAACGATTTTGCTGAACCTGTTAGCTGATGCTTTCCTAAGTATAACTATGTTACTGACCTATTTTGAAGTGATATATTGCTTGCAAGGAAAGTGAGTTATTATGCTATATAGAGTTAGCCTATTATACCATCGGTCTCGAGAGTGTCGGTGACGAACATCCCAAGCCATCCATCGAAGACCTTCTCGTGGTCCCGTGACTAAATCGCCCAATTCTTTCGTCGCTCGTACGATCTCTTCTCTTGCTTTCTTCATGTCTGCTGGCAGCTTTGGAAAGTCCATTGGCGCATCCACGTCAAATGATGGTGCTGGATTTCCATTCTCCTTCATATATTTGTCCAATTTCTCGGTTTCCCTTGTGATCGTTGCAGCCAGGGAGATCAAATCCGAGGTAGAAGGCTTGGTCGATGTTGTCGCTGATCTCCTGGTGGTGAGTGGGGGAGAGACTTGGGTTGTGGAGGCATTGTTGTTATTTGTTGATTCTACGCCTCCTGCTTGTGCAGCTGGCGTCGACAAAACACTTGATGGGCGAATTTGGCCACTCTTCACACTATTCTTGCGCGTAAAAGAGTTGCTCCATGAGCTCAAACTCAGACGATTTTGCAGTTTCCTAATGGTACTCATTTTCTCTAAATTCCAATCTCGGTGTTGTTCGAAGCTCTCTCAGCTGTTGTGTTTGGCTTCCTTTGCTCTTGCTTCGAAACCCAGAGATATACCAATGTCCTTTGCTTGAGACTCGAATCAAGGTACGAAAATTAGGAAATCCCAGAAGAGTCTCTTAGTATCGTTATACAACAACGAAGCAACAAAACCAGCGTAGTTGCGCGGCCAAAGTTTTTAGCCAAAACGGACTTTCTAGATCATCTTCCCACTGTCTTCCCGTTACAATGTCAGCGCTCCCTCGTGCTCTTCCACCCAACTGGTCCCACCGATTCTCCCAACAAACGAGTTGAGGACTTAATGCTCGTACAGTCTTTGGAATTGCTGATGTCGTGCAACGGGCGCTGGCGCAAAGCTTCAGTCCTCCTTGTAACCTCGTCTGGCCAATGGGCTTTTCTACCTTCGTTATCGATTACTTGACAGGACGGAAAAGCAGGATCTGGTTAGCACAGCAGCTAATGGCAACCAACAAACATGCATGTATGTCAGTATTTCGCAAAAGCTTTGTAAGGAAGGCGTGACAAGAGAGAGGTGAGAAATCAACAAGCCAGGAGCAAGCTCTGTGAAGCGCGAGGCCAAGCAGCTTGGAACAGCCCGGAACAGCCCGTCAAAGCCATCCTTAGACGCAAACGCCGGACGGCCACCCACAACTCATTTCCATTCCCATCGTGCCAGTCGCGGAAAGTCCGATAGGAGGGATTCGCATAATTTAACCGCAAAGCGACATGGGAAAACGTCTTGTGGGAGTCGGTTAGAGGCGGATTGGACGGGAGGAGGCCCAGGTGTTTATCTCGAGCGAGGGAAACGAACGGGCCCGAGTGGGATCTTGCCGCAAGCCACAGCAGCAGCAGCAGCTTCAAACGTCCCGGCATTCAATAGTTCGAGGTGTGACAGACACGTTTTTGGCTGCAGCTTGCCATTTTGACGCCTCATAGAACCGTTTGTGCGAAAGCGATTGTGCTGCATCAAACGGCGCATATATCCACACCTGCTGGGCCAGTCTTTTTTGCTTGACTGTGCAGGTTTGTCGTTGGAGATATTCGAGTATTTTTGTTTCCAGAGATCTTGGAACGAAATACACCCGGACCAGAGGCCTTGTACATACGCTCTTTGGGAATCCGTACCGGGCTGCCACCCCTGGTTTTACACACTGCGGCGACAGCGATAAGATCCAGGTCGTATCTTCCCACGAGCTGGGACGGTCCGTACTCGTACTCCATGACAAAAATCATAAAACCGCCATCTTTCCTTCATCAATCGACTGAAGATTAATCCTAAATGACCATTCACACCGTAAATTCAGGATCGTGGACTCTGCAGAAATTTCTCGCACCATATTCTTCAATGACCAGGTGCCACCCAACGCCAAAAACGCCATTTCAAACTCACTGATGCCACCCATCGCCTGGCTTGCTTTCCAAATATCAGAACGTGATTTGATTCGGCATCCAAGCATCATGCCGGAAGCAGCATTACAGATATTGTCAACTGGACAGCATACAATTGTTTTCTAATCCGAAAAGTTAAATGTTGTGCTCCGGCGACAAGCTCGAGTAGATGATATTCTTTGCACTGCGATGCTAATCTTCAGGACGTTAGGTACATAACCGACGTCGTTTCTTCAACGGCAGCATCTGCACTCTGTCACACCTCACCAAGCCATGTCTCAAGCCTCCTCCGAAGCCTGACGTCTGTCACTTTTGCTTTTTCTTGTGCAATTGTGTCAGGTTACGAAGCGAGGACGGTTCATAGGTTGTCTCAAGCTCTTAGTAATGATGCTAATATTATATTCTCAATGTTCAGAGATATATATGATATGAGTGTGCATCTTCCTGGCATACGTCTTCTTGCAACGAAACTCACCTCTTCTGCCGTTCAGATCATGTACATTGAGATTAAAATACTCCAGCCAGAAATCAATGTCTCCTACCAACCCACAAGAGCCACAACCTTTGACAGGCGCTTCTAACACAATTGGTTCACGCTAATACTGTCCGGCAAACACGACGTTGTTCATTACTTCTAAGCCTAACCAACACCTGACGATCCCAACTTCCCCTTTTATGCTCTTTCATCCATGTCCTTCAATCCCAGACTCCCCGCTCAGTGAACAAAGACTTCGTCGCAACATGTAAACAATGCTAAAATGCGAATCTAGCCTCCCGTATGTAAACGTATCATCAACTCCCTTTGCATCGTTCGGACGGGTGTTGATGGGAGAGGTTCGTGCTTTCTCGGATATATCCAGATATCAAACATGTCGTATCTCGAGTCGGTTGTTTCTCTTCCAGTTCCCCTCAAGTAGGATGATCTATTCATCAGGCAGCACATTTTTCGGGGGCCGTTCATTCAGGTTTCTGCCCACAAATGATATGCAACGGCATATGGCTGTGAACCCAACCCTCCATATACGCCTTCCTAACCTCGATGAGGTAAACCTCAACCTGTTCCTTACTCCAACCTAATCCTCTTGTGAAAGGGCCCACGGCAATGGGCTGTAACCCATCAATGAGAATAGTCCTCCAGTACAATCCGACGAGCTTCAGTACTTTATTCTTTGGCCATACGCCGATTGGAACGTGGAATATCCGGGTAGTAACATTAACGAATCCAGCTTCACGCATCATATCTGCGAGGAAAAGTGTCGCATTGAAGTTCACTCCCAGATTTGCGAGGGCGGAGATTACAAGAGACCAGTACTGGGCGACAAGATGATCTGGAGGCATGCTGTCGTCGTGGCAGTGTGGGTAGTGGTGGATTTCTTGGAGTTCAAACCATCCTCCAGGTTTGAGATGTCTGGATTTGTTAGCATTAAATAGGTTGATAATTTGATATGCATGATTTACTTGTATACGTTATTCATTAGCTTAGGCCAGTTCTTGATGGCCATTACGGTGTGTCGTGCGTGTACGTAGTCGAAATAGTTTTCTGGTTTGAGCCACGGAGATTCTACATCGTCTACCATAAATTTCACATTTGGTGGAACCCATTCCGGCTGTATGCTAGGAACTTTAGTTAGCATCCAACTTCCCGTCTGTAAAGAGAAGAAATGGACGGAATCATGTCAGAACGAATAAACAAGTCCAACAACAGTGATAAATATAAACGAATGAACTTACGGACTCAAATCTACCCCAAGAACATTTGCACTTGGATACTGATCCGCCACTAGTACCTGGCATTAGCTTCTGGCTCGAAAGATCATCCGAACTCGTCGACTTACTCTCAATGGCCCAAATTCCAGTTCCTGTACCCATATCCAACACGTTCTGTGGGTTTGGTCCAATCGGAGCGAAATGTAACGTTTGACATAAATTAACCATCATCGCATGCTTCATATCCTCCCTCTCCTGCTCACTATCATCATTTGGAAAGTTGTATGCTCCTTCTCGAAACCGGTGGTATCTCCGTCCATTTTCAAAAGCGTAATCTCTAACGGATGAAGCGAGCGAAGTTGTTACTGAGCCGCCCAAAGAATCCGTTTCGTAGCCTGCATCTGATAGCCCCGAGTCGATATCAATTTCCTCTTGTGCTTGCTGTACCGCGGCAGTGTTTTCTAAGTCCTGCGCGTGCTGCTCGTCCGCGGACAGTTGCTGATAGGGGATTTGATGTGCGGTAGGTGATCTGGTATCGGATTTGGGCATCGAAGCATCTTGAGGTGAAGTTGAGGCGTGGGTGGAGGGGTTCGCATCATACATCGCTACAGAAATCGCTGAGTCGTGGGGTGAGATTGGAGGCATCGTTTGTGTAGGCGACTCTGTCGCAAGATTCAGTGGAAGACGATGCTTTTAAAATGGAATGCGAGACTTGATGGCAGCGACTTGCGCTGATCGGGAGGCCGGGTTCCTGTAATGAATTGCGACTCGTCGCGCTTTCATGGCAAAAAATGGCCGGACTGGAGGGATGGAGAAGCCCCGCAGAAAACGCTTCTACCGACGCTGCATCACGCTGCGGGCGGGGTCTTTGGTGGCTGTTTCTCTCCTCACAGCGACCACAACAACCACTCACCTTGGTTCACAATAGCCTGGTGGAGACTTTGCCCATGAGCTACGAGCGAAATTGAGCAGACGGAGACATTCAGACACGAAGCTGCGATTTACTAGATCATATATGGTTAGAGGAGAACGGCTCACCGGCCGTTGACGATATCGGCCAGAACTCAGTCGATGTTGTCGTTGGTCATCCTCGCATCCTTTCGCACATTGGATATGCTGAGTATGCCCAGCTGCTTCTCGGGTCTATTTCGTCTGATCATTTGTACAACTCTCGAATACAGCATATTCAGCATGCTTTGTGCTACTGGAATATAGCAGAAGCGAGCACTTACTGGAGCCATAGGACTCGTGACGGGTTGTGAGGGGCCTGATTTTCGGACGCTTGAGGTCCACTTCTCAAAGTTTCGAGGCAAAAGCAAATATATGCCAAAGCAGCTTGATGTTTGGTTCTCAAAACACCACGTCCAAGACGGAATGGAACGCAAGAATGACGTTATGCGATAGCCACAGATCAATCAGTCTTCCGGTCCAAACACAAAGTCATCATACTATAATTACAGCGTCAATGAAAGTATTTCGAGGGAGCGCAATAGAGTTGTCTTTGATGATGATAAGCACATACCCATTGCCATCTAGATTACGGAGCACTCCACGCTTTCGGCAGATGCATGATGCACAGTAGATCCAACTGTCATTAGTCCTCTCGGAAACGTTTTGCCAGATAGAGTCTTGAGAAGGTATGCCGAACCCTGCTATTTGTTCTCAGAGCCATTTAAGGCGCAAGGAAATCAGGAATGCCGCACAAAACTTGGGTTTCGGATTTGGAAAGAGCAGACCAATTCAAACGGAAGAAACCGTACGCCCAAGCTCTCTAAAGTCTAGTTGCAACTCAAGGACGAGGTTGCTGAGACTTCCAAGCCACGAATCAAGCCCGAACTATTTTGGTTCAACGACTTTCAGGGCAGTAAAAGACTGGCCCAGCGCTTGGTGCTACGGTAAAATATTCCACCAAAACAAAACTACTATCAAGGGCCGAACACTCAGATACATCGCATCGTTCTCACCATCATATTTTGACATTGTTGAGTTATTTGATGGCCAGGACTCGTATCTAAGGCAGACGATTTATACTCGCAGGTACGTTATAGAAAATCCCAAATTTTACAAGCCATGTGCCAGCATTTTTGGTTTTCAATAGAGGTGGAGTGTCGAAACTAAACATTTTGAAATCGAACATTGTGAAATGCTACTTGAGGATGAAATACGCACTAAGAGAGTTGAGTCTGCCCGGGAGTGAATGGCGGAAAATGTGGTTTACAAAGAATCAATAAACTTACTGCAAGTCACTAAGGTTACGAAAGGGGTTCATCCCCATCCCAAACATTTCCATCACACGCAGAATGTTAATCACTAAGGAACAGACATGTCGTGTAATGGTATTCTTTCCACCACTGTCGCTGAATGCTCGTCTTCCCCATTGTCTAAGATATATTTTGAGGAAATGTTGAAAGATTTGAGTCCTACTTTATAAAATCTCAGAAGCTTCAGGATGAAGTAGCTTAGTGGGCTTCATTATTTGATTCGGTGATGTTTGACAGGTCTTTCACATCAATTATTCATGCCGAAACGTTGAGCTTTCGTCAAGTCGATTTCTGCCAAGACACCGTGCCATAAATAATTTCCCGTTGCCTCCTGTCACTATGAAGTGTTGTATTTTCTTGTGTGCCTTTATACCTGACGGACATGCTCAATATATATATTGTCCCCTTTAGTCGTCTCATATGTAAGTGCATTGCTTGTACGTTCTGCCGCACAATGGCGCATATGCTAATATGTAGATTAGAACTCGTGAAAACCACGCTAGTCACAACTCAACCGCCCGGAGCAGTCATGTCTGGAGTTGGTATCGTCTTGGACATCAACTATATTCCAAGAGCGCCCAATTGGCCCACTGCCTTCTCCGGCTATGTCTGCGGCACCATCCCAACAAACGACGCGTCTTGTTATGTAAACGCCGATGCCCAAACCCAGGCAAATATCGGTAGCACAGCGCCTCGAACGTTCGCATCCTGTTGCAACGGACCTATAACCAACATTACCTCTCCAGTCACAGACCCAAACGATCCCTCAGTCGGAGTCAGTTGTCTAGCGTACTGTCCTGTCGATTTCATACGCACGTTAGAGCCTGATTTTGGAGACTACTGGAACTGTATAACAGAAAAACCCGACGATAGGCAGGGCATATTGGACGATACGATCAATGGACAAATTACCTGTGGATGGGTGGGTACTTCAGATCATGATCGGTGCATGATAAGTCTTGCGGTGGAGTCTCAATATAGTTCAACTGCGACCGAGAGCACGCATAGTAAACTATATTTCAGTACCAATACGATACAGGAGCCGACGACAACCCCAACATGTCCTCCTCAGCGGACTGTACAGTCTACCACAAGCACCACAGTTGCTGCAGCGACATCGTCGAGTAATCGTTCTGCTGCGTCGAGCACTGTACCAACAATATCCACCATGAAAGCAGTGGGCATCTTGCTCATTTTAGCGTTGGTTGGATTTGTTTGAAAACAATTCAGAGATTGGGCGCTCGACTATGGATATACGCTTTGCTTGAAGTTGGCCTGTGGTTACCAGAATCAGTAGCTGGTGAATATTGCAGCACAGCACCATGCGGACCATACCAAACGTATGTATGAGAAGTGTGGTAGGGGTTAAGCTGTATCGAAGCTACAAGCATTTTCAGCACCATAAGCATACACCAAACCTTGAACTTGGCAAATGCAATCCGGGATCCTCCCCTGCCTCGTTGGCAGCCACGACGTGGCCGGTAATGATGATGAAAGGACTACGGCCCTCAAAGGACGATCGAACGGGCTGGGGGAATTGGGTGTCATGTCGAGTGATATTCACCTTTTGGCTTTGTGTCAGATGTACCTGAGTTCCGCTGCAACACTTCGGCGGCGCTGCTGCATGGAAACGGTTTCGATCCCTTTCGGACTTGTTACTTTGCAGCATTTGAATTTTCTCCACAGGCACCACATCGCTCGATACGCAATTTTAGAAGGGTGCCTGTCGTGGGCAATGTACAGAAATAAAGTAATTCATGACGAGAGAGAGCCTTTCAAAGGTGCACGTCTGGTGGGTACACTTAATGGTGTGAAGTAATCAGGTCTTTTTACCTATGTGCACAAGCACGATATGCACTTCATCTTTCAAGACCTTCTAGCGGCATAGAACACGGGTACTGTCGATGCTTTTACTTCTCTTGTCTGAGCCTCTCAGGATGGTTATCAACACGCAATAGCCTCGCCGGACAAGCCCACAATAAAGTTATGTCCTTACGCTTCTATAACCCCATCAAGGGCTTATTGAAGCCTGCCCCTAAATGTTTCCCACCCTGCGTTCATCCCTAATTATAGGTCTGCTTTGTGCTTCAGTTACGAACCTCGTATGTGCTGATCGAAAAGCTGAGCCCGAGAACATAGCAATGTCACGACATTTCCAATCGTATCCTCCCAACGGAGGCCGGCTTAGAAGGATAGCAATGAGTGTTAGGCGTCATCGCCTTCGCTATCTTGCGTCAACAGTCTCATTTCCTCCACTGGACTTGGTCACTGTGGTTGCTTCCCCGTTACTGTCTGTCTCCACTGATAAAATTTAGTGCTATTTCCCTCACGCTCTTTATTGATTTTAGTGAAAACGCCGTACTTTTTCGTGCTAGGGTCGCAAAGGTTCCAGTCCTATGGGGTTCCGGACTTCGTTTGGCGAGGTTTCGGAGGTCGTTCGATGGTTGCGGAAGACCTTGCAGTTTAGAACATTCATCAAGGTTCTTTGTCGACGCTCGTGATCGTTCGGGCCGTTGGCGTTTGTACGTAGATTTGAAGACATGATGGTCGATCCATTTCGTTTGATTCTGAGGTTATTGTCAATACATATACACCAGGACATAGTATTTAGGACACAAACTTACTTCTTCGAGAGGCTTCAAGGTTTTGATCAGGTAGCAGTCATCGCTGTGCTATATGAGGGGAAGAAGTCAACAAATGCACAGATACTTGGTAGAAGAGCTTTTAGAGGTTCACACTTACCGTAAGAGAATACTTTTTAACGCCGATTGCATCGTCGAGTACATCCTGAAGTACTTTGGACAGTATACCTCTACTGACAAGTACCCATTCTCTACCAGTGGGGTCGTCACTTTGCATCGTGAAGAAGAAGAGTTTGAGCTGATGATTTCAAGCAAAACAAAGCGGATGTTGCCTGAAGATGTCAAGCAGACTGAACGCACAAATCGTCGTCTGGGTTTGTCAACTCCCCAACGGCGATTTTGTCACCAGCGGCGTAGACTCGGTCAGCTGGTTGAGGTGATGTGGCATTCGCCGAATGTCAGACATGCAACACTCTTTAATTATCCTTGGAGCCTGTTAACAGGACCGTCAAGTCCAACAGTCGGCCTACGCTAGTTGTTGGTCTCAGCCTCGAATTTCTCGATTAACTGACCTGTTACGCCCTGCCAATACCCTTGACCGCGCTGGGCGCTTACGCGCAGATTTCGCCTCCAGTAGAAAACATCATCGCTCAACAATCCGCCAAGGCTGCAAGAACTTTGCGGGTTCTCCTACAGTTTTTCCAACAACTCATAAACAACTTATGATCCTTCGCCCAATCTCCGAGGGCCACCAACATGCAGCCGGGGACGTGATAAGATATCCTCGCAATATTCTCCCTACTATGGTTATGTTTATGGTTTGTTGGAAGACTGGGTATGGCTCGATGAAGTCCTCATTGGGTCGGGGAAACATATTTCATTCCCGAGCAAAATGACTTCCTTCTTCAGATGTATCACAAGCCATAGGGATTGAAGAGCTCGGTTGTTGGTGACAGACTATTCCAACGATCCTCTATCAATCGTCGGCGGGCCGCGAAACGCGAGGCCTCTGGACGACCAGACTCGGTCATCATTCTAGCTGAAGTTGTTGCAAAAACCAAAGAACGATGTATAACAGCATAGGCCCCTCAAATGAGGCAGAGCCTCGTGTTTTCCAAAAGCTGTGCTGTAAACAATCTTCAGGCACTCAAATCACCGATCTTCAACATGGATTGGCCCTCACAGTCAAATCGATGGCTCTTCCCGAACAACCTCAATACGTTTACCTGCAGTGATCTAGAAGCCGAGAATAAGCAGACCTGTACTGTACTTCAAGCTTATAACATCCCTGACGATTCGGTGAGTTATGTAAATAGCTCAAAGACATCGCGCTTAATATCGATATACTGAACTCGAACAGAGTCAACCTGTAGCATTGGAGAGGATAGAGCTATCGAAACCCCATTTGTGGGACGATTGGTTTGAGGTTAGATCATTTTTTTCTTTTTTCTCGAGTCCTCACGCGGTGGAGCAAACTAGTCAACGACGCTTAGGGCTTGAGGGAACGTTTTTATCGCGTTTTCTCGATTCCCGTATTTGACTCCTATTGCGTGGTTCTCAGCCCTGCAGTTATTAAGCTCACAGAGTATAAGAACTAACCAAAACACATTGAAGTCTCCAATCTTTCCTACAGCCGCTGAAGTAGCTGGAATAGCTCTGGAGCCAAAAGATCTACCAAAGAATGGAGTAGTTATCCTGTAAGTAGTCGATTGATTCCACTATCTGCAATAGTTTCTAACCTACTTAACGTTTTATACCCCGTTGTGGGCCGGAAGAAGACACAATAGAAACAAGCCTGGTCTACCTTCCGATATCAGAACAAAATTGGCAGAGGCTTGGACGTGCCTTTCGCTTTTTGCATGGCGGTTTAGCGAAGGTCATCCAAGGAAGTCAAACTTATCTCACGTCAATCGTATGCAAACACGAGGACACACGACTGTATATGCACATGGCAATGACGAAGTCTCATGGTAATGACGCTTTTGCTTTGACGTCGACTCACCTAAGCTCAACTAACTTAGGTCTGAATCTGACCCTTGCAATTATGATGGGCTGCTCTCAGAATCAAATAGAAAAAGTGCAAGAGCTTTTGAAATTTTCCGAGAAGGGAATAAAACATTCTTTGTTGATGATTGGCATTTGCGCCGAGCTTCATCTAGACCGCCTCACAACCCTGGTTGGCAAGTACAAGGCGAAATGCAAGGAAGCAATTGAACTCATCAATCCTAGCAATACAGAGACGATATTGGAAGAGCACAGCAATACAGAGAAAGAAGAAACTCATCTAGATGGCCCAAGAAGAGAGATTACGTGGGATTTTATTGAGAAAGTTCGTTTCAATCGAGACCAAAGCAAAAGAGCAGAGGAGGAAGTCAGAGCAACCCAACGACAATTAGAAAAGGCACTCCCCAAGGGATTTCTCCAACAGACTTACCAGTTTTCGGACCGAGACTCAGACGATGTAGTGACGCAGGCGTTCGCAGATCGCTTCGCTGACATATTTGTCGAATTTGAAGGATTGATTGCAGACTGTCGTATTGCGGTAGATGGTATGGAATTTACCGCAGACATGGTGGGTCAGAACTATCCCTAGTGACGAAATATACTAATTGTTCATAGATTCGGAATGAATTAGCAAGACAAGAAACAAAGAGCAGTGGCCACGAAACCAAAATTAGCGCCTTCATTGCGTTTATAGCGATGCTCTACCTGCCGATGACAACCATGGCTGTAAGTACACAAGATTTCATTATAGACTTCGGGCATATGTCCGAATCCACTTTTGTGATTTTTTCATTTCTACCCTTGGAAGAATTACGATGTGTCGACTGCCAATAAAGAACACGGCTGTAGGTAGATGCGCTGAATTTTACACCTGGCGATTTCAAAGCACGATTGCGGTCTAAGTAGAGGGATCATCATAGAATGTAACGCAGGACGTTTGGCACATTGTAATTGTCTCGAAACACAGGAATAGGAGGGAATGGATGTTTGTGCTCCAGGGTGAAATTTACTGCTTGCTAACGACCACGTCTAGACTATCTTCGCGATGCCGGTTTTCCAATTTCCTCATAGATGGCGAGACTGGCAGTACAACCTGGTGGAAATCCACGATGCATCCAGCGGAAGTAATAAGTCTGATCTTCCCGTATTTTCTGGGTATTTTTGGTGGTATCTTGGAACTTCGAGTGCCTTTACCCTACTTACCGTCGAGGGATGGTGGCGGTTTACCAGCAGAGAGGTTGAAAAGCGTCAAGGCAAGCATTGGACTTTGTACCTACTCGCCAAATTCTGGCAGAGGCTTGTGCAGAGTTGGAGAAAATTCAAGTCAGTTCTTTACTCCCAATCTGAGTATTGCTGGCATACTCATTGCTTCCTAGTGCCGCAAAAGCGAAGACTACAGACGATTCTGACGACTCGAATTCATCTAATGAACATAGTGTGGACTTGAGGATCCCCACTACTGTCACCTCAAATGAAGCTTCTGGTAGTCAGGCTGCTATCCCTTTTACGAATATTATGAGGAATAGATCAGCAACATCAACCCTTTTGCAGGTCAACAGCAGTCAGCCTTCTCAAGAACCACAAACGCTGTCAATTACCAGTCACTCGTCAGAGACTTCCCAGCGCATCCCCACGCCAACTGTTCCCGAACAGGTAACAGGTGCTACAGAGCTACATGATATGGGCGATACAACTGCATTGCGTGGTGGTGAAGGGCCACGGTTTCGGTCTATCTATGACATGGTCTGATGAAGAACTTTAGGTTCTTTAGATGATGTGGTATGTGGCAGTTGAGACAGATGATAAGTCTATCAGCTTAAGATAATTTCCTATGTTCTTTTTGGTAATTTGGCAAAATTAAAACTGTAATTATATTGAAACCATTGAAATTAGTGAAATCTAGACCCCGGACGATCCACGAACCAGTGACTAGAAGTTACATTGCGATGGAAGTAAAGAGTTTTTGTCAAGTGTTTCTAGGAACATTCTGACTGATGGCTGTTAACTGACTCAGCCTCGAGATTCAGACTTCATTGCTTGCAAGCAGTTACAGTGCTACTTTCTCCCAAAACAGGTGATAAAAGAACAAAGATTACAGGAATAAATCTCCTTCAATAGGAAGCATTTCAATGGCAAATTCTTATGGCTCTCTTTCACAAGCAGACATAGGGCCCCTTTTCGATGATTATATTTAGTGACACTTACCTCGAAAATACACAAGTCAATTAGAATAGAGACCTGTTTAGCAGCTAATTCATGGCACTGAACAAAAGCAATCACAAGAATTGCTCAGATTCAAATAGGAAAAGTTTTAAATTTTTTGATCCTTCTTGATGATCTGCTTGGGTATCCTCATCATCACATATAGGTTAGTGATCGGTCTCTGACAGTAGTCAAAAGCTTTTCAGCAAGCTACAAGGGGTAAAACTAGTCAAGAGTTCGTCGCCGGAACCAGCAAAATCTGGATTGCGAGTGTTGGTCGTGTTCCGAAGAGCAAAAGCGGCTCATTTTCTGCAAGTATCACGTGTGAATGCAAAGGTTTTATAAGTCTTTCCAGCTGACGGCGTCAAAATCATCTTTGAATCGGCGATTGTAGACCTGGACTGGTTGTTAGATATGAAACCCCCATACCACCGTACATTTTCTAGCCTGTCGTTTGCTTAACCTCTCGCCTCGACCTTGGTCATCTCCTTATTGTCTCGCTCCCTATTTTCGACACTTTATTGACGCCACCATGTCGATCGGTTCAGTATCTAGGTAGGGGAATATCCGCCGAGAACGCCAAGTTAGTTTGCCTGACTTTTGAGCAAATTCTTGAAACATTATTGTGTCCTGCTTTGCCTTGACGAAATTAAAAGAGGAAATGGTAATGTTTGTAAACAAATCAATTAGTGAAGTACAAAAGCTTCACGTTGATAATCTTCTACAATCTTCTGGGTAGCATCTTGTTTCTGCGGAGTTTTGTTGCCTCTAACGTCATCCTTAATTCGATGCTTCATGTCTTGAAACTCCCATTCATTCATAAAACATTCACCAATGAAATGGAAATGACTACCGTCCTGAAAAGTCATTTTTTCTCCAACGTAGTTCTTCTCTGACAACCACGGGACCACGTCGTTGTAATCCTTGCGTATTTTGACATCGAAAGAATTTGGTACTTCGGTTTTCCGGAGTAGGAAAGGTGTAGCGTCGACTTCCTCGAAACAGCAAACATCATCGCCTCGTTGAGCAATAGCGGGTACAAGTGCCCAAGTTCCATCTTGTAATAAACCCCATCGTCTCGCAAAAAGGAAACTTTCGTATCTCTCTTTATTGGGGCGCGCCCACAGAAGCCGAGTAAACAATTGCCGACGATATTTTTCCAAAGCTGCTTCTTCATGTTCCGCATGCATCTCCTCGTCAGGGATTGGGTTAGTCCCAGAAAGTACTTGCGTATAATAGTCAACCAGGACCTTTAGGCTACTTTGAAAATCTTGCGGAGAAATATGGAGAGAATCGGACGCGCTGATGAAGTCTTTAATCATGTCCACTTCGTCCGTTGCTAGGACAGAAGAGACGTAAACTAAAATACCTCTTCTATATCCATAAAACAAGAGGGCTGCACCGAGATCTAATAAGTTCCAGCCTTCTCGCTTCGGATTGCACCAGATGTCACCAAAGCGATCAGTGACTTGACCTAGTGCCTTTCGGGGGCGTGTGGATGAGCTCTCTGACCAGTCGACCGTCCAGGTTGCAAGGCCAAGTTTCCGGTCCTCCAATTTGATCATACTCTCGGCATCAGCAAGTAAATCATGTACCATTACAGGATTTTCTGTCATAATGAACTTAACGATTTCTTGATAGACGTAAGCGCAACTTTTCTTGTAGTCTGCTGAGAACAGCTCTTGGACTCTGGTATCCGTAGCTGGGTACTTGTAAAGCCCTGCCAAATTCACATGTGCAAAAACCATATCCCGAGGATCTTGGACTCCGCGTCCTCTTCGTGTCAGGACTAAACCTTTAAACCGCACAATGAACTCTCTTCTCTCCTCAGAATGAGAATTTCCAGCCAATGAATGTAGATCCGATTGAATTTGTGGTCTGAATCTTCTAGACTCCGGGTCTACCCTGTGATAATTCATCAAATGTAGTTCTCTATAAAGAGGCTCATTCCTAAAAGGATTGATCGATGGTTTTTGGAGCATATCCCAATGGATTGACTGCTTGCCACAATGAACCCATGGGTCTCGAGAGAATGCCAGCTCTTGGAGAATCCAGACTCTACTGAACCACGGGCGTTGGAGTATATCTTGGAACCCCGCAACTAAAACAGATTCTAGAGGTATATGTTTGAGATTATTTAGTTCTCGAATCAAAACATCAGATTCGGAGGATGCATCTCCCAAATATATTAGCGTATGGTGAGCGGCTTGATAAACCTGCCACATCATCCTAACTTGGATAGATTTTTCTTCCGAATCAGACTGATTAATACAAATGGCGTCAACCCAGATATCTCGAGGCTTTGAAGAATCTCTTATGTGTCTCAAAGCCGAGTCCAAATTTCGTGTAACTTGGAAGTCGTAACCCTCGAGCTCGATCGTCTCAGGATCAGCAGCATCGCCCCAGACGTAAGAGAGTGCAGAAAAGTGATCGATGGTGTCTAATTGGCATTGTTGTAGCGTCTTGTGTGAGATTGTACATTTTACCCGATCCTCCATGCTGGCGCTTGGATGAAGACAGAGGACGCGGATGAAAACTTCTGCTGGAAGAGGTTGATACTGATAGCTTCGAAGACTTGTCGGACGTCGAGCCAAGGGGGTGGTGAGATCCATAGTTGAGCTCTGCTCGGCTGCTGTTCAATTTTTGGAAGCCGAATTTGTGAATCGCACGTAGCTGAAGCTGTGAGACTGCACAGGTACATATGTCCTGCAGAAGTAAATTGCTGACTAACGGGCGACATACACCATTGGAGACAACCTTGGACACCACCTGAGCACCCGGCGGGATCAAAGGAGATGAACGAGATGTGTTAACACGAGTCGCTGCGAAGCGAATAACGAAAATACATTGCTAGAAAGTAGCAAAGGAGTAGCGAGGGACAAAATTTATGGAATAACAACTAGGGAAATCAGGAAGGCAACCCAACGGTGGCATACAGCTTTGCGTCTTGGCCTTGACTCAATGTATACGAAACCTTCTGAAACCGCTCTCACCCACAACACAAAGTGACAAAAATACAACACATATTAGATAGATAATAGAAAAAGGTACAAATACAACGCTAGTAAAACACTTCAAGCTCAGTATTATAAACGACTGGCATCAAGCTCTCCGCAAACCTGCTCCGCTCATGGCTTACTTCGGCGACAAATACTCTTCTTCCCCACCAGTCACTTCCTTCACAGTCCAATCCCACAAATCATCCTGCTTTTCGACAATATGGCTATCAATACTTGACGGAATCTCTTTCTTGCCTGAATAATACACCCCATTTTTTCCGGCAGTCTCTTTCGATAGGGCCACCCAAGCCAGATTTGCGCCACTTTCCGCTGGTAAGTGGATATTACCGTCCATAACGAGCAACTTCAGCACGGGAACCAAGTGAGGTAATACGTGATTCCAAATGAATCGCATGAAAGAACTGTATTCCCTTGCCAGACCAGTGCCAGGCATAAGTCCGGGGTCGAACGAATTGACAGTCATCTGCTCTGAAGGTATGCGACGTACTAGAGCGTATCCAAACATGACATTCAGTAGTTTGGATGTTGAGTAGCGTTGTCTTCCGTCCTTTGTGACTGTTTTGGGGTCTGGACGCGCGAGATCTGCTGCAGAAGTGTAAATTGCATCTGGCATACCGCTTTTCTGAGCCGGATCATGGGTCCCAGAGGCTGTGAGTGTAACTCGAACTCCTGGGGCAAAGTGTGGACTGAGATGGTGCAATAGAATTGCATGTCCTAGGTGATTGACCTGGAAAGTTGACTCAAACCCGTCTGCTGTGAAAGTGACCTCATTCGGAAATTGGAGTCCAGCATTGAGAAGGAGAGCGATGATGGGCGGAAACTTTTTTGAAGAGTATTCTTTGGCGTATTTCTTGACCTTTGCGATTGAACTTAAGTCTAGGGCGAGGAAAGTGACATTGTCTTGGCCAAGTGTTGAATTGATCTTTTGCGCTGCAGATTCGCGATCCGTCCGCGATGAAAGGACAACTAGGTATTGTGGGTATGCTTTTGCAATATTGAGTGCAGCATAGTATCCCAGACCAACGGTGCCACCTGTGACAATGACAGTGTGTGTGAAAGCCATTGTTCGTTTGAGCTTCTTTTCTGGCTTGATGGCGCTCCGAGTCTCGACAAAAGACAAAACAAAACGTGGAGTATGGACCAGACGAGTTGCGACTTCAATGGGTAGAGAACAGTATTTGATACCTCTACAAGAAAACTTGTTAGCATTTAATTCTCATCCCATATTTCAAACTTGGACTTGTCTTAAGCTATTAGAAGTCTTCGGCTAAGGAAGATGAGAGGGAAGTGCAATCCGGAACGCATACTTACTTGTTCAGTTTATTTTCTTAGATGCTTGGAGATGACTATTATTGTGATGATGACTTTAAAAACTGACGAGTACTTGTTGATACTCTTATATAACTCTTCATCGTGAACTGCAGGTACTTGATAGTTTTGGTAAGCGAGCGTTTTCAGCGCCGATAGAACGGCAGCAAGGTTTATTGCATTTTCTGTGGAGTTTGGTAGGGGCATCGAGATCCGAACAACGTGCGGAGCAGCGGGGCAGATTATACCTTGCTACCGTTCCACTATCTGATTGGCATGGCATTTCGCTCGCGATACGGAGGGTCGCGGAGGAAGCATCTGGAGGGTGGAAATACTGCGATTTCGTGGCATCATGCGACTCATAATTGCTGTGGAATACTTAAATTCCAGCTTAAACTCCGTGGAAAGCTGAGAAATCCATTACGCCACTGAGATGGCTTTTCTAGGGTCGGGCTTGGAACAAATAATTGCTCCGACAATGATAGGCCAAGAGCCAATGTTCAAGCGAGTGAGTATGTCAGGACGTCTCTCCTTCTCTTGGACATGAACACGTTTGTTTTGTAGAACGACAGAATCCTCGGTCCCGTTCTGGAGAGAAAATCCTCTGTCTAGTTCATTTCAACCATACATTATCACCATGCTTGATGCCGAGCAACAACTGGTCGTGTGTAGTCCAGAGCCAAAGGACCTTCTCCGGTATCTAGCCACTTATCAGGTCGTTGTCTGCACAGCCTGTTCGTATGCAATCCAGCCGAATGCTATTGCCAGGCATCTGAAGGAGATACATCTTCTTCAAAGAGCAGCAAGGAGACCGTACATGGACCATGCCTCAAAGCTTCAGCTTGCTGACCCTTTCCACGTCCTTCGGTATGCCTCAACACTCTCCTATGTGCCATGTTTTCGAGCATTCAACCCAGATGAATCGAACAACCCCGAAAGAGAACCCCTGATGTGATGGTGTAGACAGTTGTTGTCTCAAATCTTTCAAAGTTACCAATTGGTTGTGTTTGCTCATGTTGTAGGTTTTGGATGCCGAACCAATGGCTAAAAATACCATACCAACCTCTTTATGAATGAAGTCGCTTCTGATACACAACAAGCTAATCAGCTTACAGTCTAGAACCAGTGGAATTTCCAGTACCCTTGCTCCCCGTCTACGACGGATTCAGTTGTACCTACCAAGAATGCGGCCACTTGTGCATTACCGAAAAGCGCATGAAAGCCCACTGGTCTTCCACGCATGGAAGACAGGGACAGCCTAGTGTGGATTTCAAGTATGCATCCCTACAGACCTTTTTCAAAGGGAACTTGCTACGCTACTTCACAGGCGGTCCAGCGATCCCTAAACCAAAGCCAGTAGCTGAAGAGACGTTTAAGCTCAGAAGTCAAAGAACCCATGTAAGTGACTTGGCATACAGGTCTAATGTTTGTCCTGATCATGATCATAGGAAATTGGACATTGTGGATTGCCACTACCTCCACTTGTTGCAAAATCATATAACTGGGCAAATGAGCTGGAAGAATCCGACTTGTTTTTAATAAGTCATTATATGACGAGCACATATCTGAGCATCTCGTCAGCGGAAGACACCCTTGAAATGTGGAGGACAAACGTCCCTAGATTGGCGCAGCAGCATTCATTTGTGCTGCATGCAATCCTCGCTTGTACCGCTCTTGTGAGTTTGAATGTCCATATTATTGATTCAAACAATCCCAACGGCATCGTCCAAATTCCACTCGACCAAACCAGGCCTTGATCTGTGCAATCACGATGTGGTGGAGTTGATACGGATGAAACTTCATGTGAAAAGAGCTAACAACACATAGCATTTAGCATACCTTAATCCATCCGGACGAGAAGAGATGATAATCAAAGCTCGTATCCACCAGGCCAAAGCTATGCCACTATTCCGTGCCGCCATTGCAGAGGTGGACTCAAAGAACTGCCACGCCGTTCTGATCTACACGCACCTCCTAGTGATTAACTCCTTCGCTAGCGAAGAGCAAGATGAGAAACTCTTTCTCGGCGACACCGAAGACGAAGAAACCCTTCCATCCTGGCTTTTCTTCTTGAGGACGGGCTGTTCGATGCTCTGCGGTGTATGGGATGGAATAGCAGAAGGGCCGGCGAAACCGCTAGCCGCCGCCTGGGAAACACCTATCGACACCACAGCGTTTGCATTTGAACCTTATGTAGACTATTTTCTGGCAGTTCCTCAAGAGGAGTGGCTTGATTCGGAAAGGACTTGTTACATTGAAGCAGCTAATGAGCTCGCACGAGCGTTCTCATGTATGAACGCGCTTGGAAACAGAATCACCACATGGGATGCGATGCGGATCTGGCCGATGAGGAAGAGCCTTGAGTATATCGAACTGCTTAGGGCGTGGCATCCTGGGGCGTTGATATTGTTGGCCCATTTCTGTTTGATTCTGGAAAAGTTGGACGGATATTGGTATTTTAAGGGAAGGTCGCAAAGGGTGCTTAGCACGGTTGCGAAGAGGCTCGAGGGGAGATGGCACCGATATATTGAATGGCCATTGACGGGAGTCGCGCCATTATTTTGAGTGGAGGCCACACAGAGTACTGCCTATTCCTAGATATTGGCGAAGAGGGCTTCCACCTCGAAGACATGCTTGAAAGATAATACGCACAGTAAGAAATCTGCGACTTGATTGGATTGCACGCAGACTCTAGCATATCTCTGAACGAAATTGGCGATCGATGTAACACTATAAGTCTTGCTCAAATAGCGTGGTCATCTGATATTTTTTCTTTGTGGAGATTGCTTAAAATACATGAGCAAGAACTGTGGCAGTTCTCATCGATACTTTTCGAATGATTTCTCCTCCCTCAACCTGCTTTCCACAAGTTCGACTATTTCTTCATCGTAAAACTGCTCGGGTGTCTTGTCACCCTTCACAACTTCTCTTTCGTGCACGTTGGCCTCCTCCTTGGTCATGCACACAAGGTCTCCCAACCTTACGATACTGTTCTTCTGTCCCTCGACATCCACCTTGATAGTACTGCCAGCTTCCGGCTTTCGCCATCTAACTAGAGCGAGCCTCGTGGTAATTCCACTTAGGACACTCTTACCCCTATAGACTTCTTCCACGAGATAGCCAACATCATAGACGCTAAGTCCAAGCTTCAAGCCTTGTGCATCTTCACCTGGAGTTGTCAAGCGCGCTAGTTTCTCTTCTGACCCTTGAAGCTGTGCTAAAATTCCATCGTACATTTTCTCTCGCCCTTTCGCAGGTACGTATTCGTGTGGATAACCAGTAATCTTCAAGATAACATGGTTTGCGACAGCGTACCCAAATACGGCGGGCATCGTACCCAGCACAGGTAGAATTCTCACTCGAAAATCCGGAAGTACGCCTAGCTCACCCACTTTGCCCTTCTGGAACTCCTCTTCGGGCAACGGCAACAATTGCGCCTTTCCAGGACCTGGTTTCTCCGTAGAGTAGACGACGGGAATGCCCGACGCGACACCAAGAGCGCGAAGTCGTCGACGAGTAGAGCGAGAAAGCGGATCTTCGGTACTAGAGGAGATGTCGCCGATGAAGATGCGAGTTGGATCAGATTTGCATCCTGCTCCCATTGAGGAGATGATAGGAAGATCGTGCTTGTGACAATAAGTGAGAAGAGAAACCTTACTGTCAATATTGTCAATGGCATCGATGATGAAATCTGGTTTCCTTCCCCGATATGGCTCCAACAACACTTCAGCAGCTTCTTCGCGATATAGCTCGTTGCGTAAGTCAAAATGCACCCAGGGTGTGATTTGATGGAGTCGCTTCTTCAGACATGCAACCTTGGGCGTGCCAACATCCCCTAAAGTCGCAACAGCATGGCGGTTGAGCGATGATAGGGTTACTTGGTCGAAATCGATGAGTCGAATGTTAGAAACTCCTGAGCGAGCAAGCGCCGCTGCACAGTGCGATCCCACTCCACCACAGCCGACAACTATTACAAACGCTTCTCGCAACCTGTGCAAACCTTCGTCTGTAAGAAAAACTCGATTTCGTGCTAGTTGTTCAAGAATTAAATCTTGATGGTATCAGTACAAGTTCCTGGACATTATGTACCGGAACATACCATCGTCATAATCCCCCTTTTGCGCTCTTTCTGCGAGTCTTACACTTCTCTCATCTTCTTTACTGAGCACTGTTGAGGCGCCTCCGAAATCTGTGAGCTTCACTTCTTCTGTCAGTATGATTGTCACCGCCACCAAGTAAGGCCTCAAATGGCCCAACATACCTCGCCAACACTATGTCCTTGGGTGCGATCATTCAAGTCCGGGATATCTGCCTTCAGCTCCCCAACTCTCTCCCTCCTTCTCACATTCTGATATCCGAAGATTGCTCCAGCAACAATTGCCCCAGAAACAACCGCAGTAGCCGCAAACTGTGCTTCTCTCGACCCAGTGATCCTTCCTATCCAAGACGCCATGCTCTCTTTCTCCTCGACCTTCTCCTCCGGTGCCTTTGGTGCCCGCTCTGATTGTTTGCCTGCGCGGCGCGACGATTCTGGTGAAGAAGGGGCACTTGTCTCACTATACACTCGACCCCCCGGGTTGTAGAATCTTGAATAATGTAGCCCTTGAGCTCTCCTCCTATTCCTTTCGTCAGAATCTATGGGATATCCGTCTTCATCCAAACTATCCTCACTATCAGCTGAAGTGTAGGAGGACCAAGAGCGCGGTGGTGAAATCGTTGGGTATTCGTGGTCGTAATCGTAATACGGTCGGTTATATGGCCGGTCCATCGTATTGCGCGGTCATTTTCGGAGGTCTGAAAAGGCTATTGTTGTGTTTGGATGGCACGATGTATAGTTGACTCTAAGAAATTTGAAGCTATCATCGAACCTCGGAGTTGAGCTTGACGTGCTCTGATTGGCTGGTTTCGACCCTCTCAAAAGTGTATCCATAACCATCCATGAATCCTCGTATCAAGATCATCAACTTCGCAATAATGTCTCTTTTTCTTCGATCGAAGGGTTTCTCAGCCTCTAAGTCTCTCTTTAAGCCCAGGTATTTCAATATCATGACGGCAGATACGCCGGCAGCAACTACAACCCCGGCCGCCACTATATCATCGCTCGACCATCTCGTCCTAACAGTCAAGTCAATACCCGCAACCACAAAATGGTACGAACAGAATCTAGGTATGAAGCACGAGTCTTTCACATCAGCTTCAAGTCCAGAGATCAGAAGACATTCTCTTATATTCGGGGATCAAAAAATCAATTTACATGAAGCGGGAAAGGTACGTGATTATAATACGAACAACTTCTACCTCAAACCCACACGCTATACAGTCGAAAGTCCGTCGAAATCAGCAAGTGCTATAAAGACTATGCCAGAGTGATACTATTATTCATCTTATGATGATACGTTCAATTTGCTCCCTAGAGGATTGCTTTGAAGAAGTCTGATTATCTAAGGGCCTCACAAAACTTGATTCTTCTGAATCCACCAGTTTCAGAAATCGAGTTTGCAATCCCAAGTGCTAAAGTTTGTGCATTTCGGGAAGAAGTAAAGGACGCGTGCTATTAAAACCTCCGTCGCATATTTAACCTTATAGCTCACTAAGTTGCAAGAGCGTAATACGACCGTTCCCCAACTTCCAAGATGCTTTTACCAGATTCAATACGTTTTTCATATCCTATCATAGATCTAATACGTCTCAGGAATTCGAACCTAAAGCACACACTGCCCTTCCCGGAACCGCCGACTTGTGCTTCTTAACTCATGATGATGTTGTTTCGGTACGTGAGAAACTGGTTGCGGTCGGCGTCAAGCTTGTAGGATTAGGAACCGAGCAAACAGAAAATGGTATTGTTGAGCGTACCGGGGCAAGAGGGAAACTCAGAAGTGTTTACTGTCGTGACCCCGATAACAACTTGATTGAGTAAGTATTATCTGTCTCTAAAAAAAAAGAGTAAACCGAGAAGGTAGATGGGTTTGAGTGAAAGACTGCTGATATCAACGCTAGAATATCGAATCATGTCGATCCAGAGTTGCAAGAGCAATTGTAAATTAGACCAAAACGTTCATAGAAGAACTCAGAAGACGCGAGTCTGAAAATCACAATCAAAGCGCAAAGAAGACAGATTCTTAAGAATCAAAGTATACGATCAGCAAAGCTTCAACATTAATAATGAAAGTTCTGTTTTCCATCCCCACAACTCTTCCCAGATTCCCCATCCCATCCCCCGATTCTCAGCCCACAGAGCTGTTTGGATATCGACATTATGTACAGTACATGTTAACTCGTTGCCATTTACAAAAAGATATAAAGAAAAATCATGTGTGGTCACCAGGACACCACACTTCTATCGCCCAAGTCTAAAGCCTCAGTTGAAGCCCCAATGTTCGAACGCCAGGCCCAATGCTTGCTATCATGATCATGGAAAAGATGAGAGCGAATGCTTTAGACGGCGAACTTGAGGGTACGTCTGGTCTTCTTCTGGATGGGGTGTTAGTAGAGTACTGAATGATGTGGAAGAAGAGTACTTACGGCTGCGGCAGTGGCGTTGCCAGAAACCATCTGGACTGGGACACATCCACCGAATGGACCAGCGTTGGCATCGTTGTTGCATCGGACCATGCAGACACCAGTCATGCCACCGGCGGTACCAGTGCACTCTTGGTCAGCAGCGACCTTGGCGGTGAGAGGCTATCGCGGTATTAGCAATGAAGTAGATGATCTTGAATGTGAAGAGGAACTTACGAAGTCAGTGGCCTTGGCGTTGCTTCGGGAGTTTTTGCCAGGAACGTTGGTAGCGACTTGCATGTTGGTCCACTGGGCACCGGTGCCAGTGGAATCAATCATACAGCTGTAGGGACCAGCACCGTCACCGTTGACCTGGTGGAGAGTCATCATGACCATTCCACCCTGGGAGATCTGAGGCATGTTGCCGCCGTTGGCAGCGAGCATCTGAGGAACTTGGGTAGCTGGATCGTTGGTTCCGCCACCAAGAGTCTCTCCGCAAGCATCAGCGGCGGCGTTCTTGAATCGGGTGGAATCTTGTTGATCTGGGTCTCTCTTTGATCCGTCACGAGGAGTGGTTGCAACAACTGTAGAAGTGAATTAGAATGATATCGATCTCTAAAGAATATGGAAGAGGATGCTTACCACCAAGAGCCGTTCCCTCTCCACCCTGGTCACCAACAGCCTTGACAATGGCACCGTGACCGAAAGCCAACTCTGCAATAGCAGCAAGAACGATGATGGATGATTTCATATACATTTTGAAAGAGTTTTGTTAAAATGGACAGTGGCCTGCAAGTCCTTTGATATTAGATTAGAATGGAAGAAAGAGAAGAGAAGACTGAGAAGATGTTGCTGATGTAGAAGACTGATGATGTGATGAAGAAAGAAGTTATGATACAGGTCTCATGGCCATCTCTTATAGAAGATTGTCCCAATACCTAACATGGCCAACTCTTCAGTCGGCTATTAGGAAGAGGCTCTCGAGCAGGTCGCTCGGATTGGTGGGCCTCGCAAAGCTCGTGCATCGTCTAGGAGATGTGCTCGAATCGTGTGCACAGCCTCGCAAGAGACCAAAGAATATCAATACGGGGGAGGTTTCTCCGTTGCGAAACTTGGTATGCATAGGGGATTTGTTTTGTTTAACTTGGCAGCTTTACCCTGTCCGAGACTGTGGGGAAGAAGAAACATTTCGGCAGAGATACAATGTTTTGATTCGGCACAGAGTAAATCTCTTCCTTGATGATAGCATCACGAGAGAACAAGATTGGAAATTGAACTTAGATAATGTAGACAAAACTGTCAGTCCAAGAGCTTTGAATCAGCTATACCGTAGATGATATGAGCATCTATCTACTCGTAGTAGACTACCGCAAAGATTCTCAGGAGCAACAAAGGTTGCGGGAACTGTCCATCAACGCATTGTTTTCCCCCCACCGTGACCAACGAATCATATTGGATCTTGACAGATTATGGCGACCAAACGGGAAAAGACCAGAACCGTAAGACCGTATACAAAGAAACGAACAGCTCGTCAAGTTTCGGAAGAAATCGTAGATTGACTACAAGATAGGCCCCAAACCAGAAACAATGGTCTGTGGAAGGGCCAGACGCTATGATGCCAAGATCATAAAGGCTCTTGGCAGTTGCGGATCATGGAAATCCGATTCGAGCCCGGACTCAACTTGAAAGCTTAACTAGACCTTCGCGGTATGCAAAGAACCCTCACCCTATTGCATCTAGCGGATTAACACCTTTTCCGGACTTGTCGATGGCTGTGTTGTTTTGGAAAGCCATCCTGGCCGAAACAGCGCTCGCAAAGACAAGCCCTCCTCGCTTATGTGCTAAGCTTCTCCAGAGCGGTTGGTGCGGATGTTGATTTGCATGATGATTTACCAAACACCTTGGCAAAGAGCGGTGCAGGAGTGGTCGTGGAGTGATGCATTCTGTTTCCACAACTTTGACCAACAAGGGGAAACGGTAGATCTTACGATCGTTGCGAGCTCCTATGAAAGGTCCAAGCAAAACGCATCATGTGACTATACGTCCTGTGCTTTTCTCCACAATACCACTCTCCGAGGGTTCATTCTTCCAGCCAACTCCATGACAGACTCTACCCCTGTCAATCCATTTCACTTCCGTCGGCAGTACCTGACTAGTGACCCATCGTGCCGTAGTGGTATGTTTGGTGCCGTCTCCAAATGGTTCATCGGTCTTCTCAACACGTTCCCGACTCGAATTCAAGGTTTCCAAGGAGCCCGGGATTACTGACATCCCTGCGGCTAGAGTCTGAAAGATGATTAACTGATCTTGGAGATGCTCATCCACAAGACCTCCTCTGCAAACGGTACGCTCCAAACCAGCAACTATCCCACGAGCCATTTCAATGCTCAGCGCTTCTGGAGATTTGTTCTTCGATGTCTTGTCATAAAGCCAATCTCGACCGAATCGTAGACCGGTCGACGTATGTGCCACAAGAAGAGCATACATCCGCGCCTTGTGCCCACTGTCCTCGACTAGCAAGACTTCGACGTTGACCTCTGGGAATACAGTGTTCAGCTCCACAAGAAATGCCTTCTTCATATCATCATGCATCGCTGCAGGAACAACCATAGAGACATCAATCTGGGCGATTTCGCCTCTTTCTGATGGCCAGTCCGGAGACTCCAAAGTCTGGCCAAATGGAAGAGGGTTGATTGTGAACCGAATGGAGCCTATTTGTCGGCTGCCTTGAGACCATCCACGGCAATCCAACTTTCGCTCTACACTGATACCAAATCTTTCAAGGGCTGGCAGCAAAACCTGGTCGACGTATTCGAAGGATGGCGAGAAGCTGACATTGGTACCGCCTTCTATTGTCAAGGTGATAGGGGTGTTGTCGGTCGAGCTCGCCATGACGAGGAAAGGAAGGAGGGCTTGGAACACAAGCAATATACTCCCCACCGAGTCCGACACGATTTTGACATCTCGTTTAAGGAGATGAGGGGGTGACAGTGTCGGCCAAAACTCAACTGAGCTGCTGCCTACGTCGCAGTCTATCAATTTTGCTGCTGTGGCATCTGCTAAGTATCTCATACAAGCAACATGTTGTGCTTTAAGACCTATGCTGAAATTAGTCGTTTGTTCTCAGCGCATCGGTCCAACAGAACCATTCGCATATAGGAAGATTTGAATACCTCCACCACGACCTCCTCTGGCTCTGTGATGATCAGCGAAGAATGCGGAAGCTTCGCAGTACAAGCGTGGTTACCTGTTCGCTCTCACATGATGTATGCGGATCGGCGTGCCAGTAATTGCACTTATTGCCGTTGCAATGCGTACTAGCTGGCCGCCGCCTTCTCCCACTCTCCCATCTAGGTCGACTGGTCTTTGAGGCTCAGCCTTTGTGGAGGATCCCATCACGTCCGACGGGGAATTTCTGAGAGCGAATGCAGTACGGTGGTTGTTGCCTATACGCCTCGTGTATAGCCTTGCGGCAGTGGATAAAGTGACCCGTTCGAGCATGTGTGATACCAGACCGAAGAAATCAGGAACGATGCAGGTTCTTGGGTTTGCAACCTGGAGGAGAAAATGTGGTGGTCTTAATAGCTGATTGGCTCGTGACTCATTCGGCCAAAGTGATGGAGGCTGAGTCGGCCTGGAAGATTCCCAGCCATGATGTTATCCCGAATGCAGCGAAGTGGCAGAGTGGCAGATGAAGGGCGGTTCGTTGGAAGCTTCGAAATTCGTGTACTGTAGGGTTGGATCCGGAGGGTTGTGGTGACCGCCATGTCAAGGCACGCCGGTTCTGATGGCCATCGCGAATCGAAAAGTTCGTGGCTATCCGTCCATCCATCTTTCGGTCCATGGAGATTCAGCTGTGTCGTCCGTGTATTGGAACCATAGCGGGCAAGACGACCGTACGCATCAAAGTCAGCTGTCTATGTGGTCGTGGTCGTCTCGTTTGTCGAGAGTTGATTGTCAATGCAGGGTCAACGAAATTGTTCCCGATCGCCTGGGACACTTTCCAGGTTGCGGGCTTGCCAGGCTCGAGCCAGGATCCCGCTTTCTCTCCACCCCCGCCATCCAGCGTCTTGGCACGGTGCCGACAGCCTCACTCACGAGGTGCAGTTCTTGAGAAACCAATTCCCATCCTTCATTCTCCATTCTACATGTTAGCTCGATCAAAAATGATACTGATGTTCGATCCATTGAGCATACCGTGCGACGTCAAGACTTGCTCTTAGGAACATCATCTCGCCGGCACCATGATTCGACAACTCTCACATGGAAGCGGGACCTCGAGCTCACCAAACGCAGCAAGTCCAAAGATCAAGGGCTTTTGGCAGGGCCGCAGGAAGAAATCATCTGTGAGCTCAGGCTGCCCGATCACTGAGTCTCCAACGAGTGGCAGTCTGTTCGCAGAGAAAATATTCGTGGTATGATACTGCCGAAGCCGTCCTGTGCCCTGAGCAGTTTCTGACGTTACTCATAGCGGAATCACAATGAAGATCCAATTCCAACATCACCCCTCACCCTCCCCGAGCTCGAACCGTGCCGATCAAATGGTCTTCCCTCGCCGGATCCGTCACTTACATTGTCCCACGATGCCGAATATCTCCACTTGAAGGAACATACACGGCGATTGAAGAAGGCACCGGCTGGGTCTGATCCAAAGAAGGTCGACGCAACGTGGGAGATTTACAAGAAAGTCCGGGACGAATGTCTACAGTTGTGCAGAAGCCTTCTTGAAAAGTCCCGTAAGTGGCTCATTCGTTTGATTCTGCGGCTATGTGTCTAACTTGTTTGCGTTTTAGATAGCAGTGGTCGCAACCCGTCCCTCGATGTGAACCCAGAGCCTAGTGACGCAAGATCATCATGCAGCGGATCGTTAATGGAAGCGCCGTCTAATACAAACCCTGGTGACCAGCGGCTGGCCGCCATTCAAGAGTATAAAGGGATTCTGGAGCAGATGGTAGACAACTTCAGGACTTGTTTACTGATTACGTATGCGAAAAATGAACCGGACGCTTCAGAGGAACAAAAAAGGGCATTCCTGGATGATATGAAGGTCCGAAAAGGCTTGATTATGAAGTGGAGAGATGCTAGTATTCATGCCATGAAATCTGAGAAGCTGTTGTACTGGGAGCAATTCAAGATTCGGTCTCTAAATTTTGACAGGCTCAAACTTGATTTATTGGCTATCTCCAAGATATCTGACACCCCCGAGCCCACGTTTGACGGTGATACCGCTAGTCAAAACATTCGCGAGTACGTGATTGCGCGGCAGGGTGACACCATCCTCGAGTTCGAAAATAAGAGTGTCGAGGGATGTCAAGTTCTCAGATTCCGCGTCTCCTCTCATCTTCTAGCCGAGTCATCGCCATTCTTTGCGCAGATGCTTTTACCGCAACCACCAGGTGCTATCTGCCCAGTTGACATGGACAATCAGCTTCCGGGCCCTGCTGGGAGACACGTGTGCAAGGACGGCATTGAAGTCAAAATCTACCGCATGCCTCAGATAGAAATGAACGTACATGAATCGCTCACGATTCTTCTACATGCCGCGCATATGCATAACAACAAAGTCCCCAGGCAAATAGACTTTCCAGTCTTTGTAAGTATTGCGGAGGTGTGCTTGCGGTACCATTGTACTGCACCGCTTGAATTGCAGGTCGAGTATCAATGGCTTCCGCAATGGATCCATATGGCAAGCGACAATAGTCCAGACGGCCTGCTGTTGATAAGCTATACCTTCGGACTTCGGAGACTGTTTTCACGCATGTCGAAGTCTGCTATCCTGAACTCGCTAGATGACGACGAAATCCAGTCAAGAGAGACTTGGCCGCAAGCAATCAGAGATAAAATCAGGGCAGTGAGAGGGGCAAAAATCGCACAAATAAATGATCGCTGTACGAAAGCACTCGAAGAATATTTTCGCCCGCCGATCGAACACATGGATAGGAAATCGAGTGTTGGTTCTTTGCAGCTGACAGCAAAACCCCGCTGTCCGAAGGGGCAACATTTATGCGATGCTACAAACTTGGGATGGCTCATGTTGGTGTACAATGAGCTGCGAGTCCTTCCAAGTTTGATGAATGAAGTTGGATTTCAGAGCCTACCAAAACCACCACGACGGAGTCTTAAGGCTCTAGTTGATTCCCTTAGGCTTATGCCTAGTGCGCCACAGGTGCATGACGGAGTATGCGATTATGCGCCAGCATTCAGAAGCGCAATAGATGATATATACAATAGCGTCCGAGGTTTGACATTCAAAGAGGTAAGTGGCAAAGACGGATGGGGACTTTCCAAGCATGCTGGCCCCGACGACTCAGAAGATGATCTTCACGAGATTGTCGAGCTACCCGGGAATGTGAGAAAAGCTACGACGTCACGAATACGCACCCACGTTTCCGAAGGCCCATCCGACGAAGTAGGTCGCATGTTAGGTACCTCAAATTTGTCTGACGACTCCGACGATCTGATCGAGGAGGATCAAGCAGTATCGACTTCTAATTCTCCATTTTCAGGAGGAAGTAGGGGTCTGTCTTTGCCTCATATAGCCATTCCTCGTGAGAAGGAAGAGAAGTTCCTTGCTATCGAGAAGTCAGAACTGGCTAGTCCTCTGTCTCCACTGAGCGGTGGTGAGGGTGATGATGATTTATACAATGCATCGCCTCTGGTTCCATCCTTTACGCAGGGCGCTGGAGAGATAGAAATGTCTGCTGAGGAAGCTCATCGAATCCTATGGCCCGACGATGAATATGCCGGTCCCGACACACATCCCGAAGAAAACGAAAAGGTTTTACTAGACGATATCAAGCGCTTTGGTGGTAAGCCGAAGGCTAACATTTGTCAAGCATCCGCTCGCGCGGAAGACAAGGCGAAAGTCGTCGCCGATGGAAAGCATCTCAGAGACGAGAAGGACAAGACTCTTGGGTTGGGTCTCTACAAACATGGTTGTCGGCCACCTTGAGGCGCACATTTTACGTGCAGCATCTGTGGGAGGATCTACTTTCAATTGGGATTTAGCGAGGTGTTATACGGCAAGCGAAAGCACGGCGCAAATAGGAATGGTTAGGATAAAAGGGTGGATGAGAATTTAACGGTGGCGCAACATATACCCGTTTTGGTTTATTTGGATTCTGTTCCAGGCATATAAGATGAACGCTATGTTTGGATAAAATTTTAAAGTTGAACGTACATAGGACGAAGAAGTTTTTGAATTGTAGATACGATACACTGCGCTTATGATATAACAAATTTGAGATGTAGCTCAAATTACAATTTAGTGTGGTGGTAATATGATAAACAGTTCGGAAATCTGGAGTCAATAAAGATATTTGCACATCGTACAGCCAAAATAGAAGTCGATTCTCCTGGGCACAACCTCATCGTAGTCGGGCACCACCCTTAATCACTCATCACTCCTCTCATCACCTCGCCTAAAATATCTCAAAATGAGCATCAACAGGTTTCCCACAGTTGATATCCAAGATATCCTATCTCAAATCAGCCTCAAGTTCTCTTCACACTCAAACACCATTCACATACCTGTGGACACGCGCTAAAAGCAACTATACAATCGACCTCGGCTCTCAAACACACATACTCCCCCTCCTTACTTGTGGGTTTCTCGAACGATAAGCTCGTCTGGTCGTCTGCGCGAATGGGAATGTTCATGAAGAGATTCAGGGGGGAGGGTGTGAATTGTGGTGGTTCGATACCTGTTCCATCAGTCTCCCTTTCCCCTACATCTATCCATTAAATACTTACCTAGAGCAGTCAAGCCCTCAATCAGATTATCAGCACAATTCCGATGTCCCTTCCCATCTTCACCAGCGAGTTCGGTATATCGTTCCGCGTCACAGGCAGCGATTAGGGTGTCGTGATGGCCGGACGTGGTGTCTTCGGTCAGTGTCAAAACGGGCTGGCGTTTGTTGTTGTACAGTGAGTCGCCTGGTTTGGGGATAGTGCGGCAGAGCGTGGCGCGGGTGTGTTGCATGCTTAGTTGGGTTGAGATTTTGGAGGTTGAGGAAGGGAGGAGTTCGAATGCCCAGGTGTCTATGACCTGCGGGGTGTTAGGGGCGTTGAAATTGGGAGTCGGAAACGGGTTGAGGGATGTGGGATGATGATGTCTGTGGTATATACGTACTTGTGTTCCATGAGTATTGATCACTTTGATAGTCTGACCAGCTTTAAGGGGAGTTGCAATGCCATGACGGGCTGGGATGGTTGTTTGTGTCATCTTAGTAGTCTTGACTTAAAAGAGGACGAACTTTCACATATGCTTTCACTTCAAATGTTTAATTAGAATTAGAAACAACTCGGACATCTCGAAGTGAAATATGAAAATCATTAATGTGATTGAACGTAATAATAACCCTGATAAGATAAGGAACGAGGGGTACTGTAAGTGGGGTGAGGATATATACATCGTACCTGCATTTCAAGTTGCGGTTAAAAGTATCCGCGTCCTTGACTTTTTCACTCGAGAATGAAGCAAGCTAATATTGTTATAAAATTATATTCGAGAAACATCCCTAATGTCTGTTGGATGATAGGATGCTGCGGTGTGATAAAACTTGTGATACAATACTCAGATAGTATCTGGGGTGCGGATATAGGGACATATAACCCCGAAAGCCGAACAACTATGTCTCAGCGTCAGTGTAAGATTGACATCAATAAACCTGTATTTTGAGATTTATTTCTGTCTCACGGAGTTGCTTTGCAATGTTCCGTTCTACAAATGATACCACGTCGGCCTTCGGACTTGGAAATTGGCTGAAGAAGCATGTTGCAACCATTGTGCCTATCACTTTGATGTGTCAGATGTGACGCTGGCGTGGAGGACTTGCAATAAAGTGGGCAGTTCTGAGAAATTTCACATCAATGGATGGTTTGAATTTGTGTCGATAACGAGGTTGTAGCAATGAAGAACAGATAGATGTGTTAAAACAAGCTTTTGGCAGCTGTGAAGTTGATAACCTGGGGAACTCTAGCTAAGCGAACAGAGTCTTCATTAACAAATAGGTAATATTTACAACCCTTGATATATATTGCGACAGAAGATATGAGTGTCGGTAGCCTTTTAAATCGAGTTATCAAAGTTCGAATAATAGCTAAATAAATTTCATCTACTCAAAGTACACAATACATTTCCCGTCGATTGACTGAATGTTGTATTTTAACAGCCACCTTTTATGTCCATACCACCACCACATTTTAGCACTACGACGGGTAAAACCCACTAATGTAAAACTAGGTAGCTTTGCAGGTCCCTCAAATCAACAGCAGCGGCAGTCACACCGGAGCTACCGCTAACACTAAGCGTATCTCCGAGAACCCATCGCCGAATGTCGTCAGTCCATTTCAGCAAAAAGGACTTTACAAATCTTCATTGGGAAGAAGAGATACAAATATCAAGAAACAATTTCTTCTATACTACACGTCAATCCTTTCAACATCCCAGACAAACATTTAAATTCGTCCTTTAGTAAAACATCATTATGACACAACGCAAGACACCAAAGCTCTACCAGAAGCATATCCTAATCATTGGTGGCTCATCAGGCTTGGGATATGCCGTAGCAGAGCTCTCTCTTGAGTCTAGTGCCAAGGTCACCATATCATCATCTTCGCCTAAGAGAATAGAGACTGCTGTCTCTAAGTTGAAAGAAGCATTTCCTGACGCGGAAGTCAATGGACACGCGTGTGATTTAAGTGGCGAGGATGTAGAAAGCCACATTGTGGAGCTGTTCGAGAAAGTTGGAAAGGTCGATCATGGTAAGCTATTTGTTGTGCATGTTCTAAAAATTGGCAGGTCTGATATTGGACAGTGGTATTCACAGCAGGGGACGCCTTGGCATCGATGAAGATATCAGAAATTGACCTGAAAAAAATACAAACCGCTGGGCAAATAAGGTTCTTCGCGCCATTGCTAGTTGCAAAGCATGCCGCAAAATATCTTTCTCCCGGCCCAGAATCGAGTATCATTCTAACAACAGGGACTGTTGGTGATCATCCAATCCCAGACTGGAGTGTGATTGCCGGCTATGCCGCTGGTTTGCATGGCAGTGAGTTGATCGGATCTTTTTGTCGGAGCTAATAGATGAGACTTAAAATATTGACTCTCATATAGTGACGCGAAATTTAGCAGTTGACCTGAAGCCAATCAGGGTCAACTGTGTCAGTCCTGGAGCTGTAGAGACAGAACTATGGGACAACATGCAAAAGACAGCGAAAGAAACCATGATGAATCAAATCGCAGCTAAGGTGCCAACGGGTAGGATTGGGCGACGTAAGTACTCCACAAGGGTTCTTCGGCAAAACGCTGACAATTTCCCTAGCCGAAGACGGTAAGTGACACTCAATCTTTTGGCGTGAGGAATGTTGCATCGTACAGATTTTTGCAGTACCACGTTCCAGAGCTCGTCGATTATCCAGGTCAATTAATAGATGCTGACTGTGCCATAAACTAGTGGCCGAAAGTTATATGTGGCTTATGAAGGACACTAACGTGACAGGCATTGTTGCTTACAGCGACTCGGGATCGAGGTTGGTTTGATTGTCCACTGGGATAAAATACCTTAGTTCAGTGCAAAGGTGCTTAACAGAAGAAGTCAAACAAACATCATAAATACGAATACACAAATATACACACTACGGATTCTATGAAGTCATCCATCTGCCATTTATTTGCTTTCTTCTCACCTGCGGAAGTTAGTAGATGTCACGGTGTTAATAGGGGAATAGACTTGCCATCGGTGCCAATACCACCACACCAACCCACAAAGCAGCCACTGTTGCGACCAAACTTATCTTGTTGAAGCCTTTGCCTAGTATATCGAAAGCTGCACTGGGAGCTACTCTCGTTCCAAACACATCAACTCCGTAGGCGAATATTAGACTCGTGCTTTCTAGGATAGCTGGACTAGCAATAACATCTTTGACCCCGATGACTTCGCGTTGATGTGTCAAGATGATTTTCGGGTCGAATTCGATATTCGGGGTGTATTGGAAAAGACCTTCTTCCTGCTCTGCTGCGGTGGGTGCTCGTCCAATGGGTCTCCGAGGATCGAGGATTTGCTTTGGAATACCAATGATAGCTCTACTCGAGGCAAGAGTACAAAGGAGTTGCCGGACCGTTATGCCTTGCCGAGTTTGTGTTACTGACATGTGACTGATTGCTTCTGGAATCAAGAAAGTTTCCGAAACGACATGAGGTAAGGATGGATCAGCATTGGGTATATCGGATGGTTCGAGGCTGGATGAGTTGACATGGTAGCTGAGAGGTCCGCGATCATTTGGCACATCAGATTCGTACATCTCGGAAATGACAATTTGGTAACCCTTCAAGGTTGATGGCAATGATAGGTCTGTTGTTATATCACCCCAGAGGGAATACGTGAACCAGTTCTCAGTAAGCGCGGAGGTAATTGGCTGCGTAGTATCCACGCCTTCGTGGCTAACAGAATAAAGTAAATCGCCAGAGACAGTATCAATCAGATAGAAAGAAGCCGTCAGTTTCTCGTCGGAGACAGCAGTAATAAGGGCAACGTTCGGGTTCAAGTACTTGTAGAGGACGGTACGATCACCAAGAACGCGACCGATTGAAGCAACGGGGTCATGGGCAGGCCGCGAGACGACTTTAATAATCCGCTGATCAGCTGGAGGGGTGAAAGACCAGGTCATAACAGGCTCAGAATTGGGACTCGCTGTCTTGGGCTCGAATCTTAAACCCTTCACCTCCCCATTCCCACTTCGGACTACAATAGTGTCCTTCGGAGCCCACTCTGAAGGAATATCACCGGGATTACCATCGATCCCAATTGGAAGAAGCCACTTGCCTGACGTACTGTCCACGAGAGCTGTGGCAGTCAAGGTGGGCCATGATCCAGGCGCGACTGACTCAATCTTGGTTCCAGAGGTGGTGTTAACAATAACATATTCCCCATCGCTGCCTCGGATGGTCGTCTGGCCCTTGAGGTTCTCGACCCAAATGCCTTTCACGTCCCAGCTTCTACCCTCAGATTGAGGGAATGCCGTAGCGGACCAAACAATTCTCCCTTGATTTCCAGCATCAAGCCCATAAATACGTCCGCGCTGGGTTGCAACGATAACAAGTTTGTTGAATCCAAAGCTGTCCTTGGTCAAAACTCCAATTTTCGGGGCGATGATTTCAGCTGGAATGATGCTGCTCAAAAAACGTCTTGGGAGAGCCTGCAGATATTGGGGCAAGTATTGCAAGTCATTGATATGGCGATTTACACGATGCATGTATGCCGAGACAGGGTTGCTCTCAGCCTCGACTTCTAGATTCTTCACAAGATTTTCTGATTCTGGAAGCTCGGCCCATGCCGCAGCAATAACACCAGAAAGGCCTTCTGGACGAACCCAGCTCTCGGCACCATTTCGAACTAGAACCCAGTCTTGTTCTGTTGTCAAGACAGCGGATCGAATAGCGTAACCATCTGATGACTTTTGCACAACTTCGGCCGCTCCATGAACGAGAGACCCTTGTGCTGTTTCTAGCTTCAAAGGCCACCTGCCGAGGATCCCATGGGAAGCAGAGGATACAACAATGACTTCATCTTGTGTAAGTCTGGTAAAATAAACATTCGCTTCCTGTGAGCTGACAGATATCGCGCCTTGACCGGGAAGTTTAGGCAAGTCATAAGCCTTTTTGATGTTACCACTGGCGAGATCAATGTGGTAGACGTCTGCCCGGTTAGAAGTCTCCGTATGGCTGTGTACCAAGAAATGAGGCAGGGATTGAACTAGATGAGGCGCATGTAATTCGACTTTTTTAATAGCACCGTCGGAGTCTTTAAGGGGTAGGCTCTGGATATCTCCTGGCTTTCCCAGTAGGTTTACCTTCAGGGTCTTCATTGCTTTATCGGCCCAAGCGACAATAGGAGCAGCAGAATTTGCCCCAACAAGCAACACATCCTCAGGCGCGTGGACGTCAAGTTTCGTTGTGAGAGTATATTCGGTCGTTCGCTTGCCAGTGACCGGATCCAGTACTGTTATCTTTAGGTTGTAGCCGCTGCTGGAACCATGAAGGGAAACAACGAAGACGCTCCGCACATTCGTGCTGACTTGTAATGGCGTATCCACGCTCCCATCTTTGAACTCCCAGACTACATCGCCAGTTGTGCCTTTTAATTTTCTCAAATATGTCGTCCCACCTTCCTCGAAAAGTGCCAGAACATCCTTGGCTTCGGTCGATCCAGCAGCTATTTCCATGACCTCCACGTCCCTCGCAGCACCCTCAAATGAAGTTCCCCACACGGATTTTCCGCTCAGCGCATCCCAGGCGTCCACCCTACTGCCAATCGCTGACACGACAGTATTTTCTCCCTCTATCGGCCGCAGAAATCCAGGTTGTGGAAGTCCCTCATAATCAGCGAGTAGTTGGCGCCATACCACAGTGCCAACACCAGGGTTTACAGCCCCGAGCACGCCTAGGTCGCTCAATGTGTATATTAATGATGCTTTGTCGTCCTTTCTCGGTCGGTAGAAAAAAGTGGTATGTGGAAGGGGCAGGCCGAGTAGTTCATGGTGGTAATCTACACTATACGCTTCGTCTGAGTACACCGCAATAACTGAAGGGAGAACAGATAGTGTCAAGCATATGAGGTTGGTTGGCAGACGCATAATGAGGATTCCAACATGAAGATCCGAGCTTCATACGTCGTAGTGTTGGGTTGTGTAAGCTCTCCTCGAGCTGTAGCTATCTGGTGTTTCGCAGCCTTGGCGACGGTGATGTCGCGTTCTAATTTGTGACAGGGTTGGGTAGCATCACGTGATTATATATTGATATTTGTTCCTTCCAGATTTTCTACACTCCATCCAGCCAAAATATCAAAATGACAAGTCTGCAAGGTTTGTTTTCTGTCGCGCATAGCGGAGGCCTCATTATTCCCCAGCGTCAAATCTCGTTGTAAATTTTCAAAGATTTTGAACCTACACCAGCACAATGCAGCAGCACCGCAAGGAATCAAGTATCCACATAGCCAGGCTTTGACTTCATGGAGATACAAGCTGAACTCGACTTACAGTCATTCAAAAAAACGAGAAAGAATGTGAGAATTTATAGCATGCCCAGGGGTCAGATGAAAGATCTTTGCCTCAATAACCGGCCACGGTTCGTAAGAATGCCTTTGGAGGCTGATGGATGGTGGGCATCATGAGGTCAATGGCCATGAAAACATCATTGCACTTCTTTCATTTATTTTCGAACTCCTGTTATAATGCTTATGCTGACCCCAACGAGTCAGCCCCGTTTTCCTTCTGTGGTCCCTGACAACATATCTATTGATGTTCACTCCATCAGCAACCAGTTCCGCAATAGAGCAGCAACGGCCAGAGGAAGCCGAAGTTTCATACCGGGAACTTTGGCAGTGAGTTTCTGTTGATAAATGACCCAGGACTAGAGATCTGAAGTGAATATCGTGCTCAAGTAAAGCTTGAAGACATCGTCAACCTCACATTCCAAATTGAAGCTATAATGGCAACGGATTCAGTTGATTCTCCGGCTTCAGTTGATCCTCCGCCTTCATAGGTGTGGAGATTGACGATCATACCAATGCTATGGCGGGCGGGATGATAATTTCATCACCTCTCCCACAAATCACCTCTACTTCGCCACATTTTTCGAGAACAATCAGATAGTCTTTCTGTACAACAACTCCAAAATATGTCTGTAGGTTTCTTTTTACTTCTCTCTTCAGTACACGGTTTTATCGCTTTTAATTATTACCAGTACTGTACCCGCTAGAGTATAAAAAGCAATTGGTCGTCGAGTAACTCAAGCGAGCGAATGGTCCTTCCAGCAACCACTGTCGTACGACGCAGTCTCAAATCGCAAAATTAACATCCATATCGCCCGCATTTATGGGCGCTCTGTAGATATCTGTATAGGTCTTGCATCCCAAACGCATATCTCGTGGGGGCACATGGCGTGCTTTTACTTCTCAATCGCGACAAGGCCCACTTACGAATTCATCTTCATTTATTATTCGCAAAAGGCTACAGGAACTCCGCAGTTATTAACGGGGTATTATGTTGTTTCGGTTTTGCCCTGTTTCTCTTATACTTTGAATGGCCCTGGAGTGGTTGTGTTATTCACTCTCGTGTTTTACTCAATTGCGTTCCCAAGACAATAGCATAGACAGTTGGATTTCATGGTTCTCGAACCGTGATCAGTCACTTGTATCTTATACATACATACACATGTGCACCAACCATGGGTATCTATCCTCAGATTGCGATACTATGTATTTTTTTCACGTTGACTTGGGCAAAACGACCTAATATCGTATTCATCATAACTGACGACCAAGATCAACGACTGGGCTCACTTGATTACATGCCGCTACTAAAGAAGCACATCACAGACCAGGGAACTCGGTATAAAAGTCATTATTGTACGATTGCAATCTGCTGTCCCTCAAGAGTAAGCCTTTGGACGGGCAAAGCTGCTCATAATACCAACGTGACCGATGTAGTCCCTCCCTATGGTAAGTATCCTCTCTGTGCTACCTGTGAATGAGCTAACCGTTCAGGTGGGTATCCCAAATTTGTTGAACAAAGACTCAACACAAATTATCTTCCAATCTGGCTGCAAGAATCTGGTTACAACACCTATTATACAGGGAAGCTCTTCAATTCACACTCAGTCCTCAATTACAACGATCCTGTACCAGGAGGCTGGACTGGCTCAGACTTCTTACTCGACCCCTACACCTACCAATATTATAATGCTTCGATGTCTAGGAACGGTGCTGCTCCGGTGTCATATGAAGGCCAATACTCCAACGACCTGATTGCAACAAAAGTATATGGCTTTTTAGAAGATGCTATAGACGATGTTGAAGATAAGCCGTTCTTCCTAGTTGCCGCACCAATTGGTCCACACGCCAACGTAGATTTCGAGATGGGTTTCAGCTCTGCTGTAAGCGCCCCAAGACATGCGCATTTATTCAATGGCTATAAGATCCCCCGAATGAAGAATTTTAATCCAGATACGGTAGGTCGTTCGATTAGACTGCGATAAAGAATGTAACTAACTGTAGAAAAGCCAAGTGGGGTCAATTGGATTGCTCGACTTCCAAAGTTGAACGAAACCGAAATAGCATACAATGATGATTTTCAAAGGACGCGGCTTCAAGCGCTTCAATCAGTTGATGAGATGGTAGAAGGCATTGTCGAGCGCCTGGAAGCGGCGAGCCTGCTCGACAACACTTACATAATTTACACCTCGGATAATGGCTACCATATCAGCCAGCATCGTCTTCATCCAGGAAAGTCGTGCGGCTTCGAAGAGGATATTAATATACCACTCATTATTCGTGGGCCAGGAGTTGACCCCAAAAAAATTCTCAAAGCTGTAACTTCACATACGGACCTTGCACCAACAATAATGAAGATTGCGGTAGGTGATCATGGATTGAATCATGACTTTGATGGGTCACCTATTCCGCTGACTGAAACATCTGTTGGTAAAAAGGAGCATGTGAACGTTGAATACTGGGGTAGAGCCTTTCCAGAAGGTGCTTATGGGTTGCCGCCAATTGAATTTGACATACAGGGAGGGATACCTTTGGGTTACGTGAACAATACTTATAAGGCACTCAGGTTGATTGGTGAAGGTTATAACCTTTACTACTCGGTGTGGTGTACCAACGAGAAGGAACTTTATGATCTTGAGGTGAGGGAATTTCTTGCATGACAGGTGGAAATAGGTATACATAGCTGACACTACCATTAGAACGATCCCGACCAACTCCGGAACCTCGCATCACCGCAACAGCGCCCAATAGCACCGAATGAGCCGCTTTTACTCAAGAGACAGAAATTCGAAGTCATCGACCGCCTTGACGCACTTCTTCTTGTGTTAAAGTCCTGCAAAGGTACTACCTGCATAGATCCTTGGAGAGTCCTCCACCCCCGTGGAGATGTTGATTCTCTTTCTGTTGCTTTGAAACCCAAATTCGATCGATTTTACCAGGCTCAGCCGAAGGTGTCATTCACAAAATGTGAGATGGGGTACCTTGTTGAAAGCGAGGGGCCGCAGATTGCCTCGATATATGGAGGAGCAACCTTCGGGTCCCCACAAACTGGACTCGGTTCTCAACGAGTCATTGGCCGTTCCGAAAATGGGGACCAATACTATGGAAAGAGTAGATGGAGCGATTGGACTTGATACAAGAATGACGCTACCCCACAGTCTATCCCTATGGTATTGTATAGGCACCACTGTAAGACCTTATCTAAAAGCGACTCGGATGTTGTACACTAGAGCCAGTTTCACCTTCATCATTGAAGATATCTTAAGAAAGGTGAAGTCCCTCCAACTCCCTCGAAGGTCAGCACTTTCAGCCCTAGAAGCTAGAACATCTCTACAAACCTTAAGTCTTTAGGACTCTTAGAAGATACTTGTGTACTGTAGCAGCAGCCAAATGAAAAGATGCTGGACTGACTTCGAAGAACTTAAATCGCAGTCCTAATCAATCACTTTGGGTGTGTGAACGTCGTCAACGACTGCCAAAGTACGAATATCTACCTGTTATTCTTAACAGCGGCAATGTTGAGATGCAAGGCACCCAACATGCATGAGAGAACGGTGTTACAGCCAAAGCTATCAAAGACGCGCGATGGAATGGATTCAGTATGCGTACTTGCTTGCATAAGCTCATCCTTCGACTAGATACATTCTATCTCCCAAAGACAAGACACTGCCTCCCCTCCATTTTCTCCCGAAGGCTTTGCCTACTTAACCACTGCCTTCTAGCATTGAACTCAAATCACGAGTGATTCAAGTTATCCGCACTCCCTATCAGTAACACACTTATCAAGCAGCCTCTATTTATCCCGGGCATGGTATGACAACAAATGATGTAGGGTTGCAATCAGTACTGCCACTGATTTCCCAACAACTACCATCCGAGCATTGACAATAATTTGCGATACCGCTATTGAGAAAATGAGCATGTTGTGAGTTGCGATAGGTAGAGATAAAACTCAAAGAGGAGTCTTACTTATCTGGGTCGGCTGCATTATAACACGGTTGAGGACCTGTTGGGACTTGCGCAGATACTGCGATAGCAAGAGCCAGGAGGCCAGTGAGAAGTGAGGAGGTCTTCATAGTCTTGTGGAAAATTGGTTGATGGTACTTTGAAACTGAAAGAGAGATGATTATGCTGTCTTTTTATGGTTGAGACTGATGGGATCAGAGCCATCTTATACGTTTTTTTTTTTTGATTTTGGCTAATGACATAGCGTTCAGACTCCCTTGATTCTATCAACAGTGTTTGTTGAATAATCTAACTACTGTACGTCACTTTCCATACTACCTTCCACATCAAAGGTGACTGTATCCTAGAGCCTGCAAATATCGAAACGGAGCACCTCTTCCTTTCGAGGTATCAGGAAGTGCGTTGGAGGTATGAACAGCATGATAAGCAAGCCGTGTTATCCGAAACTGATATTTTGTTTAAAGCCTCATCCAGTCATCTTTTAGACGTGGCTGGAGTGGAGGCGAATATGTACTCCCTACTGCACTGGAGATGTTGGAAATATCAACAACACATTGTGGTTGCAAGGTCTACGATTCCAACAGCAGCTTGAGGATACGTATTGTAACTCACTTCGAGCACCTTCCCGATTGAGCACTGATTCCATCTTTACCCTAAATAGCTAGAGATGTTGGAATGCCGTGTATCCAGCACTTGAACCCCATTCCAATGACAGTACACATGACAATGCTGTGCATTTCTTTCAATTCAGCCGGTCTACGATCGTCCAAGAATTGCTCTTAAGAGAGCGGAATTCAAATCAATTTTTTGTCGTCACAATGTTGGTGCGTCGTCAGCATGTTGGTTGGTGAGCCTCGAAACTCCTAGTAAATTGCAAAAGCAACCTAATGGCAACTGGAAGAAAAGAGCGTCGTAGTATTCTCGAAGATCTTACTGTCATTGCACCAATAGACTTGAGAACAACAAATGATGGCGGTTGCGTCGACTGGTTAGAGGGTCGCTCACTGCCAATTGCGGTCTTTCTGGTATGACTAGATTTATGGATTCTAGACCAATGTACATTTCCTATAGGCTACACCCTGTTAAAGAAGCATGGTAAGGTAATATGGGGACTTCGGACTATGCAGTATAAGTACCTGCAATGTCTCAAGTTGCCAAGTGTTCTAAAGCTTAGCATATCGATACTTGGATCTCGACTCACTTGTTTTCATCCCTGCTGTATTTAGTAGAAGACCTCAAACCTTCCAGTATGAAGTATCAATTGGTTTCTGCAATCGCAGCAGCAACATCCCTCTGGGTTGCAAGTGTAAGTACCATCAAAACGAAATGAAACCATATGAGAAAGCTGACCATTCTCGTTAGAGTACAGCTAGCCCCCTCAACATCCTAGATAGCGTCTCTCACTCTGCTATGAGTGTCCGCTCGCCAAACATCATGACTCTTGAGGATCGATTCTCGAACAGCGGCTTAGAATATATGGAATGGGCCAACTTGAAAGTCGCCGAGGGCAAAATGTATTGGCCTAACAAAACCTCGATCACCATTGGAAACCGGCAGACTGGATCTTTCACGCTTATGAATATAGCATGTGGCGTGTTAGGTGGCACTCAGCAGTTTTACGAGGATGGAGAAGCTCATTTCTGCACTCTTGTCAACCTATATGTTGGTGGCGTCTTGAAAGGAGCAGAATGGTTGGTCAATGACCTTGTATGCCAGGACCAGCAACCTTGCTTACTCCTGGTCGAGATTGGCCTCGATGTTGGTGGTGGATTCGCCGCGAGTGGAGTCCCTAGCTTTTGTAGTGCTGTGTTTGAAGAGATTTACGCCAGTTGCAACGGCGCCCCAGGAGGTGCTGGGCAGATTTTTATCACTGACGATAGTGGATCGCAGAGCGGTGTTGCTGAAGCACAATTTTTTGGTGGCGAGTCAGATACTTGTCCAGCCACAGACGATACATTTGCTTGCGGGGCTTCATTGGGCAACTAATGGGGGATATAGTGTTATGGCATTAGGGGAGAGGAGCCCCAGTTTGTGCTCTCGGCGTAATGCCTTTTCTTTGGGACTGTCTTTATCATAGTTGTATTCCTTATCACATTCATTAAGGGGCCCGGTCAGGTTAAGCGAAACGAAGTTGGAAGTAATGCAACCCAGCACAATATTCAAGGGCAAAATTGACAAATGTGACGTAAAGTATCGTGTGCTACTCAGCGCTTGGCCTAAGAGTAAAATTGAAGGAATAGTTCTGAAAAACAATTTCCTCGAGGTTCGGTACGTAAGTCCCGGCTCCGGACAGGAAGCAAGCAAGGTAAGCAGGAACAGTGACAGTGACACCCAGGGTAAACGCTAACGCTCAAATCTTAATGCGTGAAGGTGGTGATTGGTGATTTGCAATGCCGCTACTTTGAAGTAATCTTCCCGATCCAGGGTGTGAATGGATGGGAGCTTCCGGACGTCACTTTGCAGATCTTTATTTATGTAAGCCAACCCCTACAAGACAAATGTGTTGTCTATTCTGCTACCTAGATAGATACGTCTCCAAATCTCGACTTATTCTTATTCCAACACAAACGGCCACGATGCAGAGAATCAATGCCGATGACGACTCTAACATTAGCCGGGGCTCTAATAACACACCGCGGAGAGCTAAGCGCGAACCCGAACGTTCGTCTGAAGACGAAAACATATTTCTCTTCGTTCCAAACCTCATTGGTAGTTTGCTGGCCACAGATTGTTGATCAATCATTAACATAAGGAACAGGATACACACGAATCGTGCTCGCCATCATTTCGCTCTACTATATGCCCTTCCATCCAAGAACATGCTGTGGTTTATATAGCGTATCATGCCTTCTTGATGCTTTGGATGGCTTCACAGCGCGCTGGTTTGACCAATCCACTCAATTCGGTGCCGTGCTAGATATGGTCACTGATCGGTGTACGACTGCTTGCCTGCTTGTCTTCTTAGCTAGTGCATTTCCAAGATGGAGCATCATATTTCAAGGACTTATTTGTCTAGATTTTGCAAGCCATTATCTACATATGTATGCCACTCTCGCTATGGGTAGCAAGTCACAGAGCCATAAGAAGGTTGATACCAAGCGCCCCTGGGTGATGAAAGTGTATTACACAAACACTGTAAAGATAACCTATCAGTGTTAATGGAATATGTTGACATTATCGTAGAAAGTTCTTTTTACAGTCTGTCTACTCAATGAGATGTTCTTCATCTCTCTATACCTCCTCTCCTTCTCATCACGTCGCTTGATGCCAATTCTTGTCGACACAGGTGGAGACATACACTCATTGCAGGACGGCGCAGCCTTGGATCTGCAGTCAATATGGACAACTCCGTGGAGTGCAGGCGCGATGGAAATGGCTAGGTGAGTTGCTCGAACCGAGTCTATCAAGCGTAGCGATCTTGCGATGTTCAGCTGATTTCCAATTAAGATCCAATAAGATAGACAGCCGTGTACCATGGGTCGCACTTTGCATATCCAGTGTCTTCATGCTTTTCAAACAATATGTCAATGTCATCCAGCTAGTCGAAGCTAGCAAATGGCTTGCTGAGGGGGATGCTAGAAGAAGGAAGACGTCAACAGGCTTTGCGAGACTGACCGTCAAGTAGTCTCGACTAATAGTTCCATTTCCTTAGGTATGCTTTAACCTCTTGAACTAGACGAACAGACGTTACTTGAAGTCTGTTAATGATAAGTGCTAAGCAATTTTGAGAGATTTTCAGTGCTCTGGGGAGGTGTGCCGCTTTTTAAGTCGAAGATCTACTGGAGTTCAAGGAAGTAAGGAGTCAAGGATGGGCTACTCGGATGACGAATTCTATGGGTAACCATCAAAAGTAGAGCTCTTAGGCGAAGAGCAACGCTGACAAGTTGGAAATTTATGTCAAATCCTACGTTAATATAAAAGCACAACAACTATCGTTGGAAACATGTTGTTCACCCACTGCGATTGGTTATGGAATTACATATTATCGCTGAAGAGATGCCGAAGAGTTGGGTCTTCCCGTAATTACTGTCGAAATATGACCCCATCTGAGCGAGAGAACTCGATCCAAGCCGTTCACTCGTTCCCTCACAATGCTTTCCTTGAAAGAGGTAGATCTTTAGACTAGAGTCTTCACAACACCATAACATTTTCTATTCCAAACGTATATTGGAAGCTCTTAATCCCAACATATTAATCCCAATCCTTACCATACTGTCAGTGACTATTGCACATTCAAGCCGAATTTCTAACAGACAAAATAACCTTGAATTAACGATGCCATCTCTGAACTAAAGGAAATATAGACCACGGATGCCTACATAACCTGAAAATTTGCCGTACGTGTCAGGAGATATCAAGAAACAATATGGGGTATAAAATCGGCAACTGTGTTAAGGCAGAAATTTCAAACTCATACGTAGTCGGGCACCATCTTGCTATTTACAAGTCGAGTTTGTCACGCGCCTTCCCTTCAAGGATGGGCTGATTGAGCACGTCTGCTTATATGTAGTGATCATGCAACCCTTGAAAATAGCTTATGCTCTGTCGTTTCTTCATTGACTGTGCCATCTCACCACGTTCGCAGACTAAGTCTTCGATGTAAAAAAGCGGGTTACAAACTGGGCGTTTTCATGCTGTGCGTTTTGGAAGCTATTTGATTGGAAGTTTTGTATTTCATTGCAGCTGTCTCTGCACTCTTTTCGTCTCCCTGACTTGAAGCTTTTGATGAGTAAAGGTTCCTCAGTCCGTTCGACCTGAAATTCCGTCAAGTCCCACCATACATCACGTAGAACAGGTTCTCAACATGAGATATCTTTTCAAATCTACTTCTAGGTATCGATTCCCAGAAGCAGACTAAACATCCTAATAACATTAACATGGCGCTTTAGGCGGGAGCGGCCAGAAATGAGCACCGAAATTTCCACCTCAAATCCTCCTATTTCGGAGAAAACCATATCCACACAGCGAACATGCAATGATTCGATGGAATCTCACCAGTCTTCAGATAGATTACGTAAAGTTGCTGGATATATTCCAATTGCCGTATGGCTTATCTCAGTCACGTCACTCCTAGAACGCTTTGCGTACCATAGTTTCCTTGGACCATGGCGTAAATAGACCTGGCACAATAGTTTGTAGACTATAACAAATGCTAATCAATCACAGAAAATTACATCCAGAATTCTACAACTGATCCACTACATCCAGGTGCACTTGGTCTTGGACAATCTACCGCTTCAATTCTAGTCAACGTGTTCCTGTTACTGAGCTTTCTGACGCCTATCGCAGCGGGCATAGTGTCAGACAATTATCTAGGTCGCTTCCGTACTATAAGTTTTTCTCTGTGGTAAGGCTGCGGCCAGAGAAACATTTTATTTAATGACCGAAAAAGGCTGATTATTTGGTAGCACATACATTCTCGGTGTTCTGATATTACTCGTAACATCAATACCAAGCTTGGTTGCTCGAGGCTCGGGTCTACCGGGGCTAATCGTCGCTATGGGTGTTATTAGTTTTGGATTATCTGGAATCAAGGCTGCTCTGCCTCCTTTTATCGGTACGGTCCCGAATCTCCACTTCCTCAGCAGCAAGCTTTTTTGCCTTTTTGCTAATCAGCTGAAGCCGATCAGTGCGGCTCTGACAGCGGTAAAATCACACAGCTAAAGTCAGGAGAGCGAGTTGTGATCGATAAGGAGCTCACCAGAGAACATGCTTTCAACATATATTACTGGTATGTTTGGAGCTCATAAGTGTAGCAAATAGCAGAAAAGCTGACCCAAGAAAGGTGTGTCAACGTTGGGGCACAATCTCGTATTCCAACGACTTTTATTGAACAAGCTGTTGGATTTTGGGCGTCCTATTTGATGGCACTCGGGTCCTTGTGCGTGGCGCTTGTTGTTTTTGAATGTGGTAGACGAAAATACGGTCAGTTAAATAACTCGAATTTCAGCAAGGGCCGCCAAGTACTAATTTCCGCAGTGGAGTTTGAACAACCGGAAAATGTGCTCCCTTCAGTTCGGCAGGCGGCCATGATTGCAGTTAAGAACGGTTTTCGCCTTGAAAACGCGAAACCAGATATTGTAAGGGAGCGAGACAACAAGACAGTGAGCTGGAATGACACCTTTATCAACGAGCTCAAGACTGGTCTGGTTGCATGTCGAAGCTTGTAAGTGACTTGTCTCTTGAAACGTCATCTCCCTGAATGAGAAAGTCTGCTAACAAATTGTAGCATTCCATTCATAATCTTCATCCTTTGCCAGAACCAAATGTATACCAACACCATCTCACAAGCGGCCTCAATGGAAACCCACGGTATTCCAAACGACTTACTTCCCAACATAAACACCGTAACAATAATCGTTCTCATGCCACTCTTCACCTATTTGCTCTACCCGCTTCTCCGCCACTTCGGAATTCCTCTCCAGCCATTAGCCCGAATGGCAGTCGGCTTTTTCATCGAGGCCCTAGGAATTGGATACACCGCCGGAGTACAAGCTTGGATATACAAGTCTGGTCCATGTTATGAACACCCAAGAGCATGTCCCGCGTCGAAAAACGGCTCGGTACCAAATCATGTCAATATCGCGGCTCAAATCCCAATATACGTCTTTCAAGGCTTAAGCGAGACATTTGCGTTCCCAGCCAGTACGTGCTACTTTTTTTTTAAGCAGTGTTTATACTTCTCACGGTTGACATCAACTACTAGGTTACGAGTACGCGTACACGCAAGCACCAGCAACAATGAAATCCATGGTTCAAGCGGTCCTTTCTTTGGCGAGCGCGGCCGCGGCGATCCCTGGACTGGCCCTGAGCCCAACGTATAAAGATCCAGATCTGCTGGTTATGTATGCATGTCTCTCTGGGGTCATGTTTGCAACTTCAGTGCTTTTTGTGGTGTACTTTTGGAGTCCAAGAGAGAAAAAATCGAATCAGGGGGCCACAGACTGATGAACCGCAGACACTTAGCTCTCATCACCTCGAGGTTTCCTTAGCAGGGTTTGGAGTGGGTGATGAACAGAAAGTGGCTGTACACAGACTTGGAAAGGTTTCCAACATAGGGTTTTGAGGGTTTGTACGTTGATGGACTTGGTGTAGCAGCGGTGAAATTTACTGGTAGGCACTTCCGGTCACGTTTAGCTTCAGATCATAGGGAAGATGAAAGAAAAATTTGCGCAATCTTTCATTTCTGTAAGATGTCTTTTCAACGCTACTGTATCCTTTACCGAACCGCTGGACCTTTCCACTTCACGTGGATGGAACCTTGACAAAACACGACGCCACCATTGAACTCCTAGATCTCTTTCAGACCACGCTTCCAGCATATCATCATTCTCCATACTCTCATATCAAAATTTGTCTGTCGTAAAATACATGCTCTAGTTGCCATAATGATGCTGTCCACTACCGCTCAAACTCTAGGACTTTTGAGGAGGCCGCGCTTGCGCTTCTCAAACGACCGGCGTCCGGTCCACTTGTTGGGCTGAGGGATTCCTGTGTAACTTTTACAACGCCCTCGCTGCCTCGTATGCTTATAGCTTCAGCGTCCACACCTTCCAGAAGATCTCGGTCTTCCGATCTCACACTGCGGCGCTCTGAGTCTCCGGGATTGCGTGGGCCAATAACAATCTCCTCTTCTTCATCTTCTTCATCGGGTCTAGGAACTGCGTTCTTCTCCATCTCCTTCTGCGCCTCGTCCACACGGCGTCTGACTTCGGCAGCAACGCGCATACCGTCGCTGACAATATTGTCAAGAACACCACGGATGCCTTTGCCGGGAGGCACGACTCCTGCTGTGCTTCCGCCAACACCGACACCATTCTGAGGTGCATTAGAGCCACGACCGAAGCTGAGATTGGAGAATGTAGTGAGACTAGCACCCGATGACCCAGCGCCAGGTGTTGGAATCTTATCCGAAATTCGGAATGAGGCTGGGAAGGAAGATTCAAAAAATTGTTCCAATAATTCATCAGCCAATACCACCATACGGAATGTAGGTAGAGTAATATGCAGAGGCTTCGAAGGATCCAGAGCAGCGTTTGCTGCTTCTGCTTGTGCTACGGAGGCACTTCTCGTAGGCAGCTTTCGGGAATCTTTGGGAGATGGAATTCCACTAGAAACGCCAGACGGTTTCTTCGTACGCTTTGGGCTCGAGTCAGGGCCGAGATCCAAAAGGTCTTCCTCTTCCTCTTCATCGCTGTCCTCTCCTATTCCGAATGCATCGTTGTTTGCTTCAGGATTCTCATCAGGTACGTTATCTTCCTCCTGGTTTTCAGGTCTATCAGGGTCCGCATACTCAAAACAGCGCCTGATGAAAGCGCTCACGCTGCTCAGGAAACGTTCGTTTGTACTACCTGAAAGCATGTCTATGTTCATCTGACCGGGGTTGCCTGCCTCATACTCACTAAGGCCGACGCTTGAGCTTGAAGGTGTTAATGAGCCTTCCAAACCTCGACGTGATAGAAACAGCAGCGCCTCGGATATACGAAGGATGCCCTCTCGATCAACCTTTCCATCTCCATCATCGTCGTAAAGTTCAAAGAAATATGTGATAGTACCCATGATGTCGCCTTTCCCTTTGATGTGCGCAAGACCAGTCACAACATTCTGAAGTGTTAAAGTCGAATTGCAGTCAACATCCCAGCGACGGAAGAGTCTTTGCATGAATTCGTGTTCTGCAGGCTCGGGTCCTTGTCCCCATGGCGAAATTAAGGCTTGCCGCGACCTAACGCTATTCCCAAAATAAGAATGTTTCGGTGTTACAGGACTGTCCTTTTCAGATGGTGTCGGCGAGTCTGTCACCGCCCATTTTGCCATGCTGGCGAGGAACTCGCGGAACCCATCGTAGTCCATCTGAGTTGGACTTGGTCCCAGTCCAACACGACCTTTTTCGATGATTTGATTTTCCGGCAAGCCTGAAACAACTTCGGCGGCCTTAGACCTGCTAGCTTTCGCACGTCTTTCATCCTCATCCATAATTATTTGACTCCTCATTTGACGGTCATAAAGGACCCCAAAGAATCTGTCATATAACGCTCCAAGATCTTCAACGCTCAACCGCTTGCTGTCTGGACCCAGATTTCGAATTGATGTACGCTTTGCAAAACTCTCGATGCTGTTGAGAACAGCATCTTTGTGCTTGACTCGCTGCTCTGTAATGCTGCTTTGGGTGATACCCGAAAATTCTTTGAAAGCCACCACCATAAGCTCTTGAAATCGAGTGACAGCTCGTAGTTTGGGATTTTCAGACTTTGGATGTGCCGATTCATCTAATTTGCTGAAGTATGACTTCAAGACCGATATAAAGGCTCCATCATCTGCGGCATCCAAAAGTTCTTCTCCGTTAATGCGTAGAATCGCCAATCCAACTTGGAATAGAACCTTTGGTCCTTCCAAGAAAAAGACATCTAACACGCGGAAGGCAAATACTAACGGCATGGAGTTGATGTATAATGAGAGAAACCAGGGCAAGGATACAACTGAAAGCTGAACATCCGCCTTCACCAAGTGATCCCAGAGGATTGGCATCGTTTTTTCAACGAGCGACTCGAAAACACGTTGGTCCAGAAGTGTGCCATACATGGTTGTCGAATAATAACCGGGAAGCAGTCTGTCGCAAAGCGTAGATAACAGATAGAATGCTTGCGTTTCTGACATGTAAATGAGAAGCGCAGCAACCACAATATTCATGGCTTGACAATAGCCTACCTCTTCGTTCGTCCAACTGTATGCCGTCAAAACTCTTCGGAGTCGTTCAATGCCCTCCTGACTTTGAAACCCAGGATATTCAGGTAAACTTCGATTCAGGTCTTTTTCGATTTCGTCAATCGCTAACGAGTCTCGGCCTTCGTATTTCGCCAGCACCTCTGCGTATCGTGTAGGTGCCTCTAAACGCAAAAACAACGACCCTGAGGTTTGTTCCCAAATCTCTCCGCGAAGCCTGTTGGGTAGCCCAACGCGAATGAGCTTATGGAAGGTCGGCTGCCGGATCAGGGTAACATTTCGACCGTAATCCCGTAGATATTCTCCCCATAGCCTCATCTTACTTCTATCTCGCAACTTCTTCGCATCACCAGGATATCGAAAAATCATGCCCAACCCCGCATCCGGCGGTGTCGCTTCTTTCCTTCCCTCTCCTTGTAGCAGGTATTCGGAGTAGCATTGGGAAACCACTCTCTTCAGTTTTGCTACCTCACCCACGCCCGATTTGAGGCCCTTCTTTAAACCATCGCAGAATCTTTCGCAGGCTGGCCGGGTGCCCGCAAGCTGGATTATGATTTTTTGAACCAACAAGGGCGATTTGGACGTTTCGCTCGATGTGCTGTTGCTTAGCCCGTTCCATGTGGTGATAGCTAGGGCAAACTGCACCTCTCGTTAGCATACTGAAGCTGTTTGATTGCTGAGCCGCATACTTGATAGCTTTGGCTATGGAGCCTTTCCACGCGTCGGATCGCACACAACGGAAGCGTGAATCCATTTCCACCTGGGCCAGCGCCATTTGTCTGCCCTGTGAAGCCCGACGAGGTGCTTGTGCTAGCTGTTTGAAGGAAGCTCGTAGGCTGCGTAGAAAAGCACAAATAACTCTCGCTCAGGTGCAGTTTCCCCGCATAGTGATAGCCACGGTCGCGGTCTTTATCTTTCTCTCCCTGAGTCGCATTCGGCGAGTATGCTACCGGCGGCGTGATTGTGAGCTCTGCAGTGATTTCCTGTAGAGGGGTTTGGGAGTCCGGCAGTCGAAACTGATGCCGGAAGAGGGTGGATTTCGCAGGGTTGCGATCCGATGCGGAGATGTTGAGAGCTTGAGTAGGATCAATGAATGACTGAGCCTTCTGCACAAGGCTTGAAAGGTTGAACATCGTTCATGGTATCTGATCAAAACGCAGCTGGTGGTATGTCCGAGATGCAATTCTCGCATTCCTCCTAGGAGGATTGGCTTCAGCTCAGTGCGGTCATCCCGCACAGATGCGATGGGCGCAGTCTCACCCAATCAGAAGCGTGTGTTTCAAATGACCCACAGACACCCCTATTTCGAATAGGCGAAGAGTTCCTGAATCCTGACTTGTAACCACTTCTAACCAGTCAGTCTTATATGATCTCCTAAAAGTTCGTCTCTAATTTCACAAATGTCTCTACACACCTTGTACTTCGGTCTCGTAATTTGCAATTAGGCTGAACTTATTTGCAAGTGTTGTGGTGCCTGAGGTGACGGCCGCGACAATTTCGAGGTGGACCGACATTCTATAAAAAACTAATATCGCTCTATTAGAAGCTATAGGAATACAGGAGAATACTTGGTTGTAGGCGGAACATTACACTCTCTTTGATATTATTGAAGTTCAGCCTCAGCTCCATTTGATTTACAACTAGGATTTCATTGCGGATACAGCACAATTGAGTTCTTTTCTTTGAATATCATCTTTCGGCCAGGCTCTGCACATGCTAGGTACCTTTAGCAAACAGACTTGGTAATCATTTTCACTTTAAGAGCTAAAATATTCAAAGATTCTAGAACAGGCAATCAATGAAGTTCCAAAGTGAAGTTTTACAACACTACAATACCTGAGATGTTCAGTAACATATCTAAATCGATGTAATCTAGTGTAAAGTACACTGTGCCTCCACCATCTCGTTTTCCTTCTTTCAAAAATCTTCTTGAAAGAAATGCAGCAATAACAAAGCTTTTGTTAGGGCTGGTGAATGTGTACACATGCTGCTCCAAGCACACTCTTTTTACAAGCATATTCTCATAAGTTACAAATGAGGAAAGAACTTCCACATAATACAAATGTTTCAGATTCTTCATAGAGCCCATTCTAGATTCTAGAACATGCTGGTTCTATCTTGCCAACAACATGACGACACGCAGAATATGCGAAAATTATGAGGCAGCCACAGTCCTCCGTGTTGTTGAGAAAACAACCATTCTTTGGAACTTTTCGACTTTTGGTCTCGACCATCCTGACCTTCAACCTCGGATCGCCCTTCCTCGAAGCCGACCTCAATCAGCCGACCAGTTGATCTCACCTTCAGACAGGAGATTTGTAGTTTTTGTCAGGGGTAGAGAGGAACAGGCTCTCTTTATTCGATATCCAGCAGGAATGATCGACAGAAATATAGCGGATTGTATAGAAAATGACGTGAAGATTTCTTTCATGAAGACTGGGGATGTTACCGCTTCAACATACTCTTTCCCAGACATCGATATCATGTAAAGAGGGAGTTTGATAAATATGTAGCTAAGATTATGGGGAACGTTAGGGGAAACTGATTGGCAGGAGTTGAGTTGATAAACTACAGGCCTGTTCCAGCATGTAGCTTCGATCGAGGAACCAAGCACGTACGCGAGGCGGAGAAATCGTACATTTTAATGAAAAACAACACCTTTGAGTCAATGTGTCATAGAATTAAAGGCTACACTTTCTGTCTGAAGAAACATTCAAATGTAAAGCTTGTTGTCAAAAACATCCTCTGCAACTGTAACTCCTCTTAATCTACCAACTTATAAACTCCCCCAGGGCTTGGTCACTCGAAATTGAGTAAATTGAGGTCCTGTATCGTGTGCTCCCTCTCCTGAATTCCACCTGCTACGCCCCTAAGAAAGTGTCCTGCGTAAGGTTCGCAAGCTGAAAAGGGTGGACGATACCAGCGGTCGTGGTAGTGTGGATGCTCTCTCTTACAACTCTCCCAAAGTCCTCTGACCTCTAATACTTTATTGTAGACGTCCTTGATGCGTGCCTCCATACCAGGATCCAGACGGTAGAGAACGGGAAACAGCAAGCTTGAACTTTGGCCAAAAGCAACGTCACCGCAGAGATAGTGCTCTGCCCACCAGGGGTAGTAACCGGCGTGTTCCCAGTCAATGATTGCTGTGATCTGATTATCTTTATCTCGGTGTTAGTAAATTTAACAGTTTTGAATCACAAGCCATACCTTTGACTATGATATTACTAAAATCAAGGTCGCCGTGGGTTAAGACATACGGTTCCGGGTTCGGAAAACGACCCTTGAGTTTCTGGTACTCTGCCTCGATGATAGTCATATCTTTGGTCTTATGCTTTTTCGCGAGTCCAACTTGTAGTTCTGATTTAAGACTTTCAAACCATTTGTCGGCTGTAAATCCGATCTTTTTATACCTTGGTCTAGGGACAGGGCAATCCCCAATCAACAAATCGTCAAGCTTTCCACCTTCGACATCTTGAGCCCCTAGAGCCGTGAAAATTCGTAACTGTTTGAGAATGAGAAAAAGCTGACCTCGGAGACTCTCTTTCTGTTCCGGTAATAGTTTGTGCCATAAATTGGTGAGCGGTTCGCCCTCCGCGCGGCTCATCAGCAACAGATAAGTTTTGTCTGTAGGTTTGCTAAGAACCTCCATTCTATCAAGGAGTGGGATATCAAGACCTGACTGACTTCGCAACCACCGATATGTTATGTAATCGTTACCAGGTCCGTGGCCATCATTTGGGATGTCCTTTAGCAGCAATTGCGAGCCTAGGGCCCACAAGCCGCGATTATGGCGCGACATCAGAATCCTGACACGAGATCCATAGGTGGATCCAAGTTGGTCATTAGTACTCCACCCGCAAGACCAACAGAGCTCGTGGTGTTGAAAGTCTTGACCCATTTTGTCTAGGTGACACCGGCGATCCATCAACTCTTTCGATTGTCTCCCCCTCCCGGGTTTGAACCCCAGGCCTTTGTAGAACTCATCGGGCTGTTGGAAGTTTTCGGGTGCTATTTTTGAGGAATCCATAACGTTGTTGTTGTTGGTTAACGGTGAAGTTATAACCTGGTATTCCAAGTATCTGGACAGCAAGTAAAGAAGTGTGTTTGACCAAGTGTATTTAGTGTTCCCCTTCATAGCACGAAGGGACTGAGATATTTAAATACTTCATTCCAAGGCCGAACCGGGCTCGTACGTATGAAGAGTAGAGGCAAGGAACGTTCCCAGGAAGTGCGCTCGTAAGTGGTTAAAGCAAGTTCCTTACATTGCAACAGTAGCAAAGGGAAGTTAAGGTTATCGGCTGGGACTCCTTCATGCCATTTATAAGTAACACATCGGTAGTATAATGGCAGTAGATATTTAATTTACTTGGCTTCGTCCCTCGGTAAGAAATACATCACAAAGATCATATACACGAGTCGCTTTTGGCGGCTTGTGCACTTTCGTAAGGAAAATTCGTGACCGCCTCGTCCATTAGCCATCAACGAAGAAAAGGATGTTCATCCCCGCGGACTCGAATATAGATGGCTCCCATATGGGAGGGTTCTGATATACTTTGTAGGTTTGATTTAATTGTATAAAGTTGAGTAATATTTACCGTTACGTGCCAAAAAGCCCCATGCGCCAAAAGAACCCTGGAATGACAGGGTGAGCAAACCTGCTTAGTAATACCGTGAAAGGTCTATATATCTTATATCTACTAGAACATTACATGCCGTAAATATAAACCATACCTAACTATCTCTTAATACTTAACCCTTAATTGTTTGTGGAACCTTATCGAACTGCTGAGATCTTCGTCAACTTACACAACCGTCTGCAGTGCCATGCTTTTCACAAGTCTTCTATTTCCATGTCACTGCAGCATGGCACCATTGACTTTAGCACTCGGTATAGCCGTGTTTCTTTCGGTGACTGGTCACTCCTAAAATTGGTATTGGTACTCTGTAGGTCAGGTCATGTAAGAAATGTAGATGCCGAAGGAAAGCTGCAGAGAGAAGCAGACGATTCTAGCATTGCTTTCTCGTCAATTCAAGTCGCTAACTAACTCAGAGTGCATAGACGCAAATGCAGTAACAAAGGCGAACTGTTTGTGAAATTCTTAAGAGACCGAGGCGTATCATGGGGGAAGATGACAGTGGGACAAGTCTCGTTGATATTACCGAAGTACAAAGGCCTGGTACCTCTTGATACTTGTATAACACATCACAAATCTTCGGGTCGACCATAGATCTAGATCTTCGCTTGTCAAAATTGCCTCACATCGTTTATATTTCGATTCTGTGGACAGTCATTTGACTGCCACAGAGTGGTTTATCAGGCCACCCAAGGGACCTCCAATTTGGTATAAATATCACTATAGCCTTCTATTGACTTTCTCCTAGCAAAATAAAACACTCTTGCTTTCATTGCAGGGTCTAAATGTTGACAAAGTTCTTATTAATTCCAATTTCGAAGCACGCTTAAATCATGAAAATGGTTTCCATTAACAGTCTCGCTCTCTTCCCGGTCGGAGCTTCTGCATCAGTCATACTTTCTACACCAGCTTTTCAATGTTTGAACGATGTTCACCTCAAATACACCAACTTCGACAACATCGTTAAAGGCTGGAAAGGTGACATTCTCGGTGCCCTTCCAATGCTGGTACACTTCACTACCCCCAAAACCCTCCTAATTCCACGGCCATCTGATACATACTAACAATGCATCAGCCAGCTCAAGCGGCCCTCAAAAGCTCCATCGATTCCTGCACTACCACACTCAAGACAAATTACCCAACCGTCATAAGCGACCAAGACTACAATACATTCAACACCGCAACGGATGTCGTATACGGCGACTTCACCACAACTCTAAACGATATCAACGCTCAAAAGTCAAAGTTTGACGCTGCTGGTATCGCGGGTATCCTTCTTTCCGATCTAACGGACATAAAGGGCTCAGCAAGCAATTTGGGTGCAGCAGTTGTCGGTATAACTCCTGCTGCCAATAAGGATGTGCAACAGACCAAGGTCAATGCGGTATCCCAGTTGTTTGGTATTGTTGTAGGAAACTTGGGTTCTTAATCCCTTGATTCGTGAATGTGTAGGGGGTGCCGTGTGCGAAATTCCTTTGAATCGATTGGTCTGCTACTTTGATACATATTTACCCTCGTTATGTCCTTGAGTCGATGGTTTTCCTTGGGTTTCGAGTTACGAAGGTTGCGTCGGGGGTCTTACTGATGGATTATGCCAAACTAAACCATTTTTCTATCAAAACAAAACTTTCCTATGTTACCTCTCCTTCTCGATTGCGTTAATCTGGAAGTATAGATTTATAAAACTGAATTTGTACTGGCAGAATTGTCTGCTCTTAAAAACGAATGTACGGGAATAAAAACATCCCAAAACCATATGACCAGCATAACTCCTTCCCAGTCGCTGAATTAACACCAGTGAAAATGCAGCAAAACCCAAACCCCATACCAGACTCCAGATCCATGAACACCAGCCCCCTCGTCCCAAAAACATAAACTCCAACGCTCGATGAAAATTCCTCAGACTCTTTGTGCAAATTGATCGCCTCCTATAATACCTGTGTCAAACAGTCTCTAACAATCGTCCCAATCGGACCAATCCTCATCAACGCCACCGCCAATAGCTTCTTCCACAAACTCCACAGCGATCTCCAGGAACGCGCTTCGTGTGGGGACATAATGGGTTCCAGGGTGGTAAACTACTCTCGCTTTCCGACATTTCTTCACCAGTTGCAATGTGCGTGCTTCTTCGGTCATTTTGTCCATACTGCCTATTACGTGAAGTGTAGGTGTGGAGATTTTGGGGTTGTAGATGGGTTTGTATGTTGATGAGGTCAGTTTGAAACCGGAGTAGCAGAGAGCGAAGTATAATGCGGGGTGGTTAAACTTGAAGGTGTTAGTCTTTGACAAAGGATGTTGGAATTTGAGCAAAACGTACATTAGGTGGATATTGAAATCCCTTGACAGACTTTGGATGCTCCAGCAATGAAGCCAAGATGACCGCCAGGGTCGCACCAGAAGAGAAACCAACGACTCCCACGAACGGGCCATTATCTTGCATGTACTCAAGAGCGAAAGAGATAGAGTCGTTTAGTCCTGCAATATCTTCGCATTTTTGCAAGTCTCCAACTCCCCATGCGTAGGCATCTGATTCCGGCTTTCCTCTCAGAGGGTTGCGGAAAGGGTCAGAGGTGCTATGAGGACGGAACTCCTTTTCATGGCCACCACCACGAGTGGCTTCTGCAGCATTGAGCTTAATGGGTCCTGTTGGGTAATGTAATTCTATGCCACCAGGGAACAGAGGGTGGTGTTTTGGATGAGGTGCTGCTGGGAATGTGTTGTGTAGATGCGTTTCCAGACGCTTAGTTCTTTGATGAAAAGAAGGTCCTGATTCTGCATGACCTGAAAGAATCTCGGATTAGTGAGGTTCGTGAGGAGATTTTCCGAATTGACTTACCATGAAGCATGAGAACCTTTGCTTTACTAGGAATTATAAGCATATCCATTCTGAAGACCTGCTTAAGAAAGGAGAAATAAAATAAAAGATTACAATAATGAACAGAAAGGAATAATAGAATGGTGAGATGAAGGATAGAGCTTATTCGAGAAAGGAAGCAGTCGTATATAACAAATCCAGCAAAGTTATGATCCTTTGGTGCTCCTACCATCTTCATGCCAAAACGCTCATATGAGCCGTTTGTTACAAGCAAAATGACGTATGCCATCATGAATTCGCAAATTGCGGTTCAAACACCTGTTGTGCTATGGCAAAATAAGCATACTGTTCCTTCGATCGCTGCTCGCCAAGGTCACCTTGAGACTGGTCGAGGCGCAGCCCAAAGTGAGGTGGAAGTCACGCCAAAAGCTGACATAGATTTGGATCCCCCAGGATCGTCACAAGTGGTTGGAAGGACTACTGTTGAGCTCATAGTCCACACGTGCTGCAATCATTCTCAAACACTCAGCGATAATACTGTTATTCTGTTTCTATTCCAAGCTTGAGCACCTACCTACTCTTGACGATGAAAGGGGGTGCGCCTCAGCTAAGGTCGAAAAAAGAGGGGGTGCGGTATTCGCTTAGAGTCTTGGCATCACACCCCCTATCTCAAGCTTGGTTCTCTATAGTGGAGTTACGCGAGGCACTTTTTGAATTAGTGACAAGGAACCTACACACATTAAAAGAGTTCTTGAGGGAGGCTATTGTTAGTAAGATATGTAGGGACCGCAAAAGTGATGTTGGAGAAATATACCCTATGAGCTGCTTCACGAAGCGGCTTGTTTGACCATCTACCATGCTACGTAAGATGGATGAGGGCATTGAGCTGGCAATATCTTACTTATAATTGAAAGGATGTACGTTTCTGCGGAATGTATCTCTTTCGATTGTCCAGCAGCCAAATGAGATAGATAGTCTTAACGGGCTCTTGCATTTTTAAAGATACTCGAGCATAAAAGTTGGTCTATCCTTCTCTTGCGCGAACAAAAACGCAGTGAAAGAATACTCGGACTTGAGCAAATAAAGCATCAGAATGCTATGTGGTTGTATCGATGTACATTGCTAGCAACAAGCTCGCTAAGTAAACGCCATGTCCCCCAGTATATGCGGGTATCAAGCCTCTTCCCAATATTCCAGAACATATGTGCACCGCTCATGGTATCACGACAACGACTCCCACAACGCCAAGGCCTAGACAATAGATGATAAATCAGGCATACCAACCCGTCCTTCCTACCGACGAGTGTTCCTCTTCTTTTCTGTGCGGAATCATTGGCTCCTTGATTTCGAAAATTTCAATCATTTCTTTCCACATCGCCATGTCTAACGAGAGCACAGCCTGATGTCGCATCGCACCACTATCTCTCTGCTCCCGCTCATCCTCAACTTGGTTCTTTATTATATCTAAATAACCATCATCAGCTATAGTGAAATAAAAGAATGCGGCTTAACTTACTTATATATGGGAGGCCGCGCTCATCAAGCGTCACCCCAATGTTTCCGTCGCGTATTAGAAAGCTTGTGTAGAACATGTTCTCAACCGTTTGGCCGAATGAGAACGGATTTACTACAAATTTGAAAAGTGCAAGTCCACCATCAGCATTGATGCCATGTTTATCCATCAATTTTTCTATTTCAGTATCTGATAGTTCTTCCTGCTGGTGTGCTTCTTCGACTGCATTCATGGATTCGTTACTGACTTCCTCAGCTCTTCGTAAGATCTTCCGGCACAGTAAGGTGAGATTGGCATTTTCTGACTTTGAGATGTCGCCGGCTAAGACCACCTCCGGCCGAGACTCGCTCAAGTCGTTGATTCTTAGCCTCTCCTTTCTTACAACAACGCGCTTTGCGCGTTTTTCCAGCGAAAGCGGACCAAGAAGGAACCCTGGTACAGCAGGTCTCGCGATATTTGGTATACAAGCATGACGACCGAGATAAGCCCAATTTAACATATCGTCGTCCTCTTCCTCTTCTTCCCCACCTCGCTGCCTCTGCGTATTGCTAGGCGCAGCGTTCTCATCCTCTAGAGCTGCTCGCATGTATGCTCGCACTTTTGATATAAACACCTCCAGATCTACTCCTTGTGCACTTTCGCCCGAAGTGAGCGCAAGCGTTTTTTTGTAGGATAAATCGGCCGTGCTAACAAGGAGTCGCGCATCTATCGTCGCATCCGCAGTTTGTTTGACTCGGCTCGTCAACTGGTTCGCTCTTAACATCGTATCCCGCAAGCCATGGTTTCCAGGAATCAACATTTCTGAACGTCTTTCTGAGAAGTCTTTTGCCAAATGCCTGTAATCCTGTCTCAGGCCTCTTCTCTCTTCGATAGGCTGGTCAGGATCATAATCGTCTTCGGATTCGGGTTCTGCAGGTTCCACGGTTCGTCGCCGAGTACTTCGGTCACGATCAGCCAAACCGTCGCGTTCCATGGTTGTAGTCCGCTTCCTCTTATTTCGCTCGCTTGATGGGGACTGCCCCCGTGGCGATGCCATTGCTACACGACCTTCGCCTTTGTTTACGGTTGGGCGGGAAGATCGATTCTCTTTATCGGATGAGGTTGATGTTGCTGGGGAGGGAGAAATTGAGGGTTGCGCTCCATTCTGACGTCGTCGCTGGGGAGCTGGAGATGCGCTGTATATTTCCTCCTCAAACAAAGGAGACATCGACCGTTTCGGCGAACTCGTCATTCTTGAAGTTGAGCGGCGTGTCGCCCGAGTAAAGTTGAAGTTTTGAACTCTCGTACGGAAGATTCGGATTCGGATCGCGTCGAGTAGTACCGTAAGTGTTGCCTTGTTTCTTCACTTGGCTAGCGGACTGCTGAAGTGATGCAGACGCTGAGAAGACAGATTCAATGGGCCAACGGTATTTGAGTGAGGATAGCCACTAGGAAATGCGCGAGTTTGAATGTGCCGTCGATATACTTCGCAAGGAATCGAAGTCGAAGCCAGTAATCAAGAGTGTGGGGATGAAGAATTGCCCAGGTCGTGTTTTCGTGTTCTATGCTCTGCAACAGGGAATCGCGTTCCAACGTGAGGGACCTGGGCCGGGGTGCAGTAGTGGGGCAGCTGCTTCCATAAGGCTAGCAACGACCCGCTTCGGCACCAAGGCTGGATCTCCAAACTCGGCATCACCTGTCATCTGCCTCATCGTCGCAAAGTTGAGGAAAGACCTGCGTTTGTGATACCGGTACATATACGCCGCTCTTCTAACCCAACATGTTAGTTCCGTAGGCAGCCATGCAGCAGAATGGAACCTTTTTCATTTGCGACGTCGGAAGTGCTCAAGGAACCTGTGAACATCAGGATGTCGGTTTGCATCCTTTCACTCTACAGGTACAACTGCTAAAGTCCCGGACAGCATCAGCCTTGACGGACAGCAAAATGAGACTCCCTTCTCAACATTATTACATAGGCCGGACCTCAGACATGTCGGATCCAATCTGAGGTAAATACACCAGCAAAATACTCGCCGTCTACGCCTGGACTAACTCGATGCACAGTCCCTACTCAGACCTCTACGTGACTGTCCAGCTATGGGCAGAGTCGAAACCTCTTACTGTCCCTGTTCAGACGTCCTACAAGGCATTTAAAAATGAGAGAAGGTTGGTCGGTTAATTTCTCATAAAGTGGTATGCTGACGTTCACAGATGGAACGAATGGCTCACCCTGCCAATCACGTATACAGATCTTCCTCTAAGCTCCCAGCTTGCGATCACAGTATGGGACCTATCACCAACAGGAGGAGATGGCGCTCGGGGCCATGCAATCCCTTTCGGTGGAACCACGCTCGCCCTGTTCGATGCGGAAAATCAACTACAAAAGGGTAGGCAAAAGTGCCATTTACATCGGAGGAAAGCGGCCGATGGTTTGGATTCGACGACGACCCCTTCCGTGCTTTCAGCATATAAACGTCACAGAGGAAAGGGGAGAGAAGACATTAAAGTGGTAGACAAAGAAGAGGAGGAGATGGATCGGCTCGAAAAGCTGCTCAAGAAGCAGGAGATGGGCGACATTCCAAAAGTTGAATGGCTAGATCAACTCGTTTTCCGTGGCAGTGAGAAAAGACGACATTTGACTTCGAATCCTTCAAAGCACCTCGATCGTGCACGGTCGCGACAACAGGACGACACTATATTGACGCTCGACGGCAAAGGGGGAACTGAGACAAACGGAGCAAAAGAGAATGGAGATTCTTCCCAAAATTCGGTTGATGATGAGAGATTTACACTCTTTGTTGAGTTACCTCGTTTTGATTTTCCAATTGTTTTCGCTGATCACGAATACCCTCCCCCGCCAATATCTCAACTCCAGAATACATCACTATCCCAGTCAAACCTAATACTACGACCTACACCCGAGGTTCATTATGGCCCTGGTATCAACGGCCTGGCTGATGACGATGATCATGGGCTCGGAGGACGCCTCGTACGCGTGTATGATCCGGAGATTGGGCAGAAAGAGAATTGGGTAGAATCCAAATATCGCCGTCTCATTCGCAGCCATCGAACTGGCGCCATGGATCGTGACATGAAGCCGAATGCAAGAGTGAGAGATGATCTGAATGCAATTTTGGCTTACTCGCCAACCCGTGTTCTGGTAGCCAATGAGAAAGATCTCATATGGACATACCGCCATCATCTCACTCGAGACAAGAGGGCACTCACCAAATTTGTTAAATCTGTCAACTGGGCAGATACTGGTGGAGAAATACGGGAAGCTGTTCAGATGTTGTCTAGGTGGACAGAGATCGATGTTGACGATGCGCTCGAACTGCTAGGTCCCAATTTTGACAATCCCGCGGTTCGAGCATTCGCTGTTGATCGATTAAGAAAGTCGGACGATGATGATCTGCTGTTGTATCTTCTTCAACTGGTGCAAGCCCTCAAGTTTGAACGCATATCTCCTGAAGCAGACCCTTCTCAGGACTCCTCTTTAGCTCGATTTCTTATCACTCGGGCTACTCATAATTTTATGTTGGGGAATTACTTCCATTGGTACTTGATGGTTGAGTGTGATGATACGAGCGATGAGCAGTCACCCGAGCATCGCAAACTGTTTGCCAAGGTTGAGTATGATTTTATGACTGAGCTTGTTAAGCTTCCAAATGGAGAAGAGACTAGGCGAGTGCTTCTTCGCCAAGCTGAGCTTGTTGCCGTGTTATCGAAAATCTCTGGAGATGTTAAGCTATCACGCGAAGCCATCCCACGGAAGGTGGAGAGGGTTAAGGCTTTTGTCGCTGACCCCAAGAATGAACTCGTCACAATCGATCCACCTTTACCATTGTTTATTGACCCTTCGATCATGGTCACTGGCGTAAGCCCGTCCGAAACGCTCGTTTTCAAATCGTCGCTATCGCCAATCATGTTGACTTTTAATACAACAAACAAGCAAAAGCATCAAATACTGTTCAAGACGGGCGATGATCTACGCCAGGATCAACTTATGATTCAAATCATTCAACTTATGGATCAATTATTAAGGAAGGAGAATTTAGATTTGAAGCTGTCACCTTATAAGATCCTTGCCACAGGGGCGACTGCTGGGGCTGTTCAATTTGTCCCTTCGATGACTTTACAGGGTATCGTCAACAAATACAACGGAAACACGGTCTTAAACTATCTAAAGTACAACAACCCTGATGACAAGGCACCCTTAGGGGTACGAAAAGAGGCACTCGATACATTTGTCAAATCTTGTGCTGGATATTGCGTTATCACCTACCTTTTAGGCGTTGGTGATAGGCATCTTGACAATCTACTTCTGGCACCAGATGGTCACTTTTTCCATGCTGACTTTGGATACATCCTCGGTCGCGATCCCAAACCATTTCCTCCCGCCATGAAGCTTTGCGCCGAAATGATTGATGGAATGGGAGGTTCATCGTCTGACCAGTACAAGCAGTTCAAGCAATACTGTTACACGGCTTTCAACTCGTTACGGAAACACTCGAACTTGATTCTTAACCTGTTTAGTTTGATGGTGGACGCCAACATTCAGGACATCAAACTTGAACCGGATAGGGTGGTGTTCAAGGTCAAAGATAGATTCCAGCTAGAGTTGAGTGATGAAGAAGCTATCAGATATTTTGACACGCTGATTGAGGATAGCTCAAATGCTTTCCTCCCAGTTATTGTTGACCGTTTACACGGGTTTGTGCAGAATTGGAGAGCTTAGTCCAATTTGGTTGGAGTCCGGTGGTGATTACTGGTGTGATTAGAGCGTGTAAAAAGGTGTTCAGGACGGGAGAGCGGCTTATCAGGAAGGGATGATTTTGGCATATTTTGATAGAATGTATCCACCCTTGGTGATTGCAATGCATACTATACGTGAAGATTCAAGAACTGGTCTTCATGTGGTCATGGTCCAAAAATTGACGTGGATTTGGCGTATCACTTTGTTCTCTTATAGACAGAACCGGTAAACCATGCACTTTAATTGTGAATATCGTCAAACTGACTCGTTATCATAAGGGTATCTACGTATTTTTCATTGAGTACTGTTCTGCCTCCCAAACATACCCACAAGCTACCGCCCTCGACAAAGCATACTCCGAATTCGCGCGCTCTTCCAAGTGACGCAGATAAAGTTCAAATCCCAAACTAAAATATTTCAGCTGTACCTACATCTCAACAATCGATCGAATAGCGAAGTAGCCACTAACCGCACCCGCAGTCATCAAAACCAACAGACCACCACCCTCCGCCGTTGTGGTGAAATACATCACAAACCCTGCGATCAGTTCCAGCATGCGAGCACGTCTCCTCTGCTCCTTCCAATTCACGTTGATATTGAATGGTGGATGTACTCTAGGATCATCCCTATCATCTTCACGCGGGGTTGGGATGGAGATTAAAGGTATCGACACATCAAGCGCCACTGGCCGATGATCTGATGTGGGAAGTAAGGGTAAAGCAGTGTATTTGTGTGTAGTAATTTTCGCATTCGGATTGTCTCGGGATATCCATGATGGTGTGTCGAGGTAGAGAATACGGTCGGTCCAGCTTGGCCAACGATGTCTTGCCCATTTCCATTCCGAAAGTTCCTCGTCGGATTTGAGAAATGGTTCTTTGAGCTGGTACTTGTAGGTTGGTGGAAACGTGACACTCGCTTCTGTAAGCCCTTGACAAGTCCTTCCTGCTAGACGCTCCTGGTTTAGTTGATCGGACTCGAAGAGTTTGGAGTAGTGGTTTGGAGCGGAGGAGTCAAGACGAGGCTGGGGGAACTGATCTTTGTGATCTGTCGATGCGGGTGACAGTGTAGAGGTGCGATAATTCAAGTCTCCCGCAAAGAACAGGTGGGAGGTGGGTTTGTAGATGGAGGCATCTCTTGAGGAGATTGACAGCAGTGGTCTGCCTTCGTCCGAGAGAGAGGTGTCGTTCTTCTTGCTCTCCGCTGTAGAGGATGTAAATACCAGGCCACGAGCGATATTCTTGAAATCCTCATTCCTCCGCTCTACTTGATCTTCCATTGGCGCTAGATGGGCCGCAACAAACGTCAATTGAGTTGAGCGACCTCCATCCTGATACGTAAATCGTACTCCCATCGCGCCTTTATTTCCCATTTCAGCCAACCCCACACCAACGCCTCCTGTCTCTATATCACGTATCGCTTTAGGATTCCTCGCAAATATCATGATCCCAACCATGCCCAGATTCCGCGCCGATATTGGGGTATATATGGGTTCATCGTCGTCCTCGTTTGCGAGCTTTCGCGCTGCCTTGTGTACTGCTTCGTGGAACTTGTTGAAATATGGTGCGAGGAATGTTCCTCCAATGAGGGCGAAGGGGATAGGTGCGATCTCTTGAAGACAGAGGACGAGGAGGTCAGGCAGCTTTGAGGATGCTAGGCCAGCGAATAGTTGGGATGCGAATGCGTCGGTATCGATGGCGGATAAGCCACAGTTGTAGGTCAAGATGTACGCGCTTATAGCGTCCGGCGAAGTTGTCGCCATTGTTGTGATTTCCTTTTGCGAATATTATTGCAAGAATTGTATCAGTACAAGTACTTGTACGTTTAAGGTTGGAGGTTTACCTACCCGTTGGCACAACGTCATCAGACGCACGCGCAGGGTTCGAGATTGGCATTCTTGCAACGTCGCGTCGCGTCAAGAATTCTAACAAAAACATCTATGGACTCAAAGATCAATATTATACGGCCAAGCAGTGTTTCGATTTCTCAAATGGGCTGAGTGAAATTGAAGTAAGGTTAGAGCCTAACTCAAATTTTATTGAACCAAGAGCCTGCTGACTCTGGTTACTTCTAGTGACAAGTTTCCTCTACGTCCGTCGTCCTGGTATCTATTATTGGATCTGATCTTCTCAAACGAATTATACTGTCAACAATGCACGTCAAATCTCAATTTTTCATTAGCATGTTCAGTTGTTAAGTTCTCTGAGCGGTTTATGACATTTTGGCACACTTCCCGAGCTCGTAAACCCTCTGGTACGCTGTGCTTTTATATTTCGTGTTAAAAAAATGTTCAAATCATACGGAATGCTATTAGCAACTGGTGCTAGTTGTCTAAACCTAATTTTTCCAAGTGGACAAAAATTGGCCCAAGAACCTTTGATCCATTGGTTATTCAACTTCAGCGAATTCAGTTTGTAGAAAACCTCTCTTTTTCTCCCGGCTGTCGATATGCGGTAATCCGCCAAAGGACGAGACTTGTAGATACTGTGCTGTACCTCAAAACACGTTTAGACGCAGAATGCTAGGAAATTAGCTTACCTGCTTCCCGCCATGCTGTTTTTCTCGACTCAGCTCACCCCTTCGGGCATTGTTCTTATTAGGACATTCATCCGATCACGCTCTCACAGCTCTTGTCTGCTCTCTTTGGTCTATTTCTCAAGCAGAAGACTGTTCATGATCGGTGAAGCTTTCTGAGGATGCTAAGGGCGAATCGGCTACCATACTGAGAATGACATGCTGTTGTCGTTACATTTGCCCGGTTTTTGGATCCTGGAAGCGCTGATTCATGGGTGTACCCTACTGGTGATCTTGTTAAGGGTTTCTGTTCATTGGTCATACTACCTGTTCGTTTACTTCCATCACGAAATCTCACTCGGGAACGATTTCCAATCACATAGCTGCAATTGTCAGAGACTGACCGAAAGGGGGTTGCCGAGATGCACGTGGCGTTTTGCGGCGACGGAGGTAGTCAGAAACTTACGTGGTCTCGGTACTCCATGTGATGCTTATTATTATGTGGTAAAGCTTGTGGTAGTAAGCTGCATACGTACCGCTACTGGGCATCTTAGACGCCTGAGATCAGGCCAAGCAGAGGCATATTTAATCTCCTTCGGTCCCTTTTTTTTTTTTTTTTTTACAATGATACTTCTTCAATACGTAGATTGAAGTCAGAATGGCAAGTATTGTACAATTGTTTAACCCTACTATACGCCAGAGCAGTACTGATTGATTGTGTAGTTTGTTCTGTCCTGAGTAGATCGACATATAAACTAAGTCCGATCATCAACGGGATCAGCCGGGTACTTCAAGCTTAAATCAACTCAGGTTAGTCTACCATGTGGGCGTTGTGTCTCCCGTGGTAGCCTTGCTGTAACATGCATGCAATACGAGTTAATGGAATGTGGTATCCGCGGTAAATACTGTTCATGCCGACCCAATCGCTTGGGTGGAGACAAAGCTCAACAAAAGATAACGTCGTTCAGGAAAACCAGTAGTCTTTGTCGAAAGTTACCTGTTACGGTCCCTGTATTGCGAGACATACAGCCTTACCGCTTAGCTGATATGACTAGGTCACTAGAATAGCGTTTGTCTGTGTATACTAAGTTACTAATGGTACCGTTGTGCATGTTGTTGCATGAAGTAGAGATGAACTTCCATTGTAGAAAACTAGAGATGATATATAACCCAGGCGAGGGGGGCTGTCACCAGCTACTTCCTCTGTCGCAAATCTGGCTGCAGTTGACACAGCTCGAAGTAACGTACTGATCCCAGTTATGAGTGCTTTCAGACCGCGCTCGCTGATTGACATGGAATAGCGCGTTTCTTGCCAAAGTCTTACGCTATCGTGTGACTAGACCATTGATGCTTCACCGACTTGCTTGTCGAGTCAACATGTTTGCCGGGCTTCCACGCTGACATTCAAATAAGCATCCAGATTTATCTCAACAGGGTGCGGAATCTGCAACCGAGGGGATTACAAGCATGGATCTCCCAAATAAATCGTCCTCAATGGCACATGTTTTTACGAGTGCTGACTTTAAACGCCGTAATTAGCAAATGGGTGCCAAAGATGAGTCTCGGTACCACAAAGCTGGCCTCAACAAAAATCACTCACTTCAATCACTCTGACCATTACACTTACATCCGGGCATGTAACTAATCATGCGGCCTTCTCGGGAACGTATGCATAGGAGGCGTTGGCCACCTCGTTTGGACAAAAGAGGATGCGTAGGTGCTTTTCTGAGTCTAGATTGGTCCTTTTACAGTCGAGAGTGTAGCCATAGGAGGTGCTCATGTGTGATCTCTCTCTTTGCAACTGCAGACCCCACCTGCTTTTATGTTGCGGACTTAAGTAGTATTATTTCCTGAGAGAGGCGTACCCTGTTGCAAGAACTATAAAGCTGGCCAAATAGCTTGACAAATTCTCAATCTATACCAACGCTCATCCGGCTTTTAACACCAGTGCCTCGTCGAGGGCTCAGAAACGATGCGAATTATGTTACAGTCTCTTCTAAAACCATCTTTTCTTCTTTCGTTGATCCCCCTTGTGCATGCCCTGGATCCGAAGACAGTCATCGACGCAAATGGCATTTCACTTTTCGATAAAATCGAAGAAATTGAGAGGCAGCTGCTGCAGCCAGCTACTCTCAACAGTCTCGTTCTACCATGTAGTCTGAATGCTCAGGCAGATCCAAACGAGGGCCAGCAGACTTCAGCGGAATGGGTACGAACTGTTTTCCATGATTGCATTACAAAAGGTATTGCTGGACCAGGATTAGGGTGGGTGACAGTATACATGCTTCTCCTTAACAACATACTGACTTCCTTCAGTGGCCTCGATGCGTCTATTGGCTTCGAATCCGATAGACCCGAGAACATTGGCGTTTTTGTGAATGTTACAATCGGTCAAGTCAGTTACCAACGACGTATTGAGAAATGAAGTTGCTAACAGGTCAAGTTCGATCAATTCAATACAGTGTTCTTGTCAATCTCGGATCTTATTGGAGTCGTAAGTAATCTATTGGCTACAATCTGTTCTAAGCACATCTGCTGACTTACTTTTCTCTCAGGGACTTGCGGACTCCTTAGCTACCTGTGCCAACGATCACCGCCGTCTGCCTCTACGTGTTGGTAGAGTCGATGCTACCGGGCCAGGACCTGCTGGTGTTCCTGGCCCCGCGGACACCTTTGCGTTTGCGTTAGCTGCTTTCAATCGCGCAGGATTCAGTCAGTCTGAAATGATCCAAGCGATGTAAGTAAACTTCGAGTACTGAGTAAAGAGTATAGCTAATGTCATAAAAGCGCATGCGGACATTCATTGGGGGGTGTTCACGGAAGTGATTTTCCTGATATTGGTGGTCCAACAGGAATCGATCCCAAGTAAGTACTAATATTCTGGCATGAAGGTAACCTGACTCGATGAAACTAGCACTTCGGGCCGCAAGCCTTTTGACAGCAGCCCGGATGTCTTCGATAATACAGGTGTCAACGAATACATTAGCGGCACCGGCTTGAAAGGAGGGCCACTTGTTGTTGGATTGAATTCTACTGAGAACTCGGATCTCAGAATATTCAGTTCCGACGGAAATGCTACAATCAAAGCGATGTTGACACCTCAGTCATTTGAAGATACTTGCTTCACAATCTTTGCAAAGATGATGGCAACAGTGCCTGCTGCAGTTACACTTTCCGATCCTTTCCAAGTCCGACCTTGGATTATGCGAGAGAGTCATTTGGATCTCACCTCAGCCGGTGCTGTACAATTTAGTGGTATTATATCTGCTCATGGCGCATCTACCCCTCCGAACACTGCAACCTATGTTTATGGGACTAATGGAGGCGGCAATACTGGACAAAAAACCAGTGGAGCTGGAGGTATGCATCTAGAGCAATCCAACAGAGATAGAACTAATGTGCACTTTAATAGTAATACTTCCTGGGTCTTCTCTTTCACCAAACCAGCCTCCAGATGCATCAGGTATTGGCTACGGAGTTATTAAAGATTACAGCTTTAGCGACATCATCACCGGCCAGGGAGTTACATCCCTCACCGTAACGAGCTCTGGAAGCACTTATAGCGGAGCTATCAACACAAACATCTTCATCCTTCCATCTCAGAGTTTCCAGCAGCAGAATTCAGGGACAGGAACCGGCCCGTGGATGGTTCGTGTAGCCGTAAGTTAAACTAAGCGAGGTCGAATTATTACAGTCGTTGACACTTGGTAGATTTTGAGCTCTCTGACAACAGCAACGTCTGTTCCTGTAGCGACCGTATGGCACCGAGCACCACAGGTCGGCTCTAAAGCGTCCAAGATCGTCATCAAAACCTCAAATATGGCATTTGAGAAAACATTGGGCAGTTACAAGATCTACAAAGCATCCTCGTTCTCGAGTGGAGCGAACCCACCCCTCAATCAAGAATCAGGCCATTTCCGTATCAAGCTGGGAAGTACACAGACTAGTGCAATTGTTGCCACCACACTCTTCAAGACTACTTGTACACAAAATGATATTTCGCTCTGTTAGAATGGCATGGTCGCTGGACCGCGAGACTAGAAGAGCACGGATACCATTTGTGTTAGGTTGCTTAGACAATTAGAATACACCAAATTTGCCACATTCTAATGCCTCGTCAATACGTACTTAATGTGTCTTGGACTTCAGCCGTAGCTGCTAGGGTGGAAAATGCTAACCATTTCTTTGTTCTATCGAACGTGTGAGATCTTGGCGTGGCTAAGCCGGGTTTCAAAATCCTCGTACTAGGAAGGCTCGCCTGTGTAGGTAACTGGGTACCTCACTGGCTAAACATTGGGCAAATCGAGAGACTCGGGTCAAGGCTGCAAAATTATTGAAGGAACACAATGACCAGGCAGTAAAAGTAGGAGAGGAGAAAGTGAAGGTTTGAAATCATTTCGCAGTTCACTACTCGTAAACTCCCCGATAAGGACAATTCAATTTAGGAGATTAAAAGGATCATGGGCAGATCATAGGCAGAAGCTTTATCCACGGTTAAAGATACCCCAAAAGACGAAACGGTTGAGCTGAGGGATTGATCTGCGTAGGAACACCGCCAAAGTTCTAGAAACCATCGGGGTAGTGAGAGAAGGCTCGCTTAATTTGAAGGAATAGGAGGGGGGCCAGATCACATGAGCGGTTTCGATCCAGCACTCTAATCTGCCAAGATCCTCGTAGCACACTGAACTTCGAGAAGCCTATGAGCGATCGTAAAGAAAAGGTGGTAGTATTAAATGCGGTCCAAGAGGTTGTAACTTGCTAGGATTTCTAATAAGGCTGAGCTGAATGACGCTCTGCCACATGGAACACTTTGTATGTGCGAACTTTATCTTCGTTCCATTGTGGGATTTCCAGAAGGATCCCATTCCCGGGCACAATAAAATGTTATCAGTGGAAAGAAGAGTGCGAGATCTGAAGAGAGACTCCGGGGTGGCGCAACCAGTTCCCAGTCCCAGTCAAGAGTTTTCCGAGCAAGGAAGACGACAATTGGCTCCCAGGATACCAGTTTTCACAAACAATCAGATAAAAGTGCCCAAAACGGGTTGAGTTGCTTTAAGTTTTAGCACTTGGGGGCTGCAGGCATCCGTAAGGCTTGTAGAGCAATGCGGATCTCCGGATTTTCGAGCTTTTTGGCAGGAAGAGCCCGTGGCTGAGCTTATCAAACTGCATAAAACAAGTTATTGTTTACAACGCAGCACAATATTGTCACAACTCGCCGTAAATAACCAGAAGTGGTCGATTCTCCGCAGCCAGGATTTAAATGGTGGTCGCAGACCGGTTCGGCACTTGGCCAACGGCAGCCACAGCCGAAGATCGTAACCTTACCCCAACATCACTTCTTCTATCGAAATCCTTCCGACAAGACTACCTCATCTCAAGATCCAGATGTTGAGATATTTCCACTGCATGAAGTGGTCATTGAGTTGATGCTATCGCAGCACTCCGAGGCTATCGGTCAGCTCCGTGACAAGCACTGTTTTTGGACGCCCGACATCTCGCTGCCTATCGCTAGCACGAACTAGTTTTCAAGGCAAACGAGGCAAAGGGAGTTCGTCGAGATGACTTGTTGACATCAGCTGCGACAGCGCACATGCTATCATTCCGATGGATAGCTGCCTGGCAGTACTGCAGGCTCGTGGGAAACGAGGTGCAATGCGAGTGTATCTTGAAGAGTTTTCTGTGGTATTTGCGCTCGTGCGGCTCTAGTTGAGGCTCAACTGTAACCAACCAGGTGAGGCTGCTCATGCCGCACAACCCTGGGCTGTTGCGCAGCAGAAGGAACAAACTGAAAGATGAAATGAAGTGGAGAATAATAACCAGTGTACATGAAAACCACTGTCTCAATGGAGATAGTATTTCCGTAAAGCAGAGGTGACTCAAAACGGAAAGGGCACGTTACAGCCCATCCCGCCCTTTTCAGCGCCAGCAACAAGGAGTCTTTACAAGTATAACAACTTGGTTCTAAGCCTTTCGTCAACTAAGTAACCGAATGCTATCTCTGCTGATACTACACACAGCCCGAGGCGTACGTGATGGCGTTCCTAGTATTTTACTCTTCTCCTTGCTTTGTTGTGATATATCACCGAGGCGTTCAAGTTGTGTCTCACCCCTTCCAGCTCGCCAATCTTGCAAGCTGCTGTGCCTGGGCAACCTGAGTGGCTAACAGTAACTTTATCGTGCTATGCGGGCGGGCTTTTCCGGCTGCTCGCCGAAGGATAACGTTGTATCGTATATTACCACCCTCTGCCATCTGAAATGTGATCCGCAACAACGCAAGCTGGCAACATCTATCTGCTAAGTAAACAAAAAATCAGAGACTCATACAGTAGTTGAAGATTTGACAGTTGTTCCTATCGAACTAAATTCAAAGATCAGATGCAGATGCAGCAGACGCAATATGCGAGAAAATTCGAGCAAAATTCATTGAGTGTTGGTACAAGTGTTTCCCGATAACCGAATTGTGAGATGCTCTATAGCATTGAAACGGCCATCAAATGAAAATTCTAGCCCAGGAAACCACGCCCAAAAAGAACCGGTAACAAACCCGAAAAGCGAAATTCAAGAAGAAACGCCAATCTATAACAAATTCATCAACTCTGAATCAAAGTATCTAACCCATTGTTGACTCCTTGAGATGCATCGGTCCTCTAAACGCAAGCCGCCGCACCATTTAAGCTCCTGACAAAAACAGAAATCCACCTCCCAAGATCAAGCTATCAGTCGATTGCTCCAAGCGTTTATTCTAAAAACTCCAATTGACGCGCCGGCGGGTATATAAAGTTCAGGAAGATCAAAATAGACCAGGAGAGGTAGCGAAAACTGGTTGAAAGATTAGCGATGCTACCAGTTAGACAAGAAGAGTCTCACAGCTATTTAGCGGTTCGATGGGATTTTGTGCTCTTCTACTCTGCAATATCCACAGTACTGATGACCGCAGTTCCACTCGGCACAAAATTCTGTTGCTTCGCTGTTGGGATTGTTGGAGCCACAATTGTGGCAGAACCAAACCCGAAATGTTGTTTCCTTTGGTCTGCTAGCGCTGCTGCTTCCCTTTGGGCCTCGATGCCCACTGCCACGCTGGCTAGGTCTGCTGGAGGATGAAGGCATCTTGAAAGAAGCCGTCTGAGATGTTGAAGTGCGAATGTGCAGTAGTAGATAGTTAAGTTGGAGTGGTGGGAGATGATTTTGAGCTTCCCAACGGCGAGACACCCGTTTTATATGTATAGTTTCCTCGCCGTGAGTCCAATCAGTCTGCCATCGTTTAACGGGCTTCAAGGGCGTCTTCGTTTGCCCCCTCCATTGCCCACGCCCTCCTAGAAGGGCTAATTAGATGTTAATAGTGGCTTGGTACGGCTTTCAAAAATGAAAACCTAACGACTGGCTATGAATCCGTCAGCGATGACTCGAACAAGAAGGATCATTCGAAAGCGAAGCAAGTTGTAACGGTGACGAAGTGACGGCATTGTGGAAATTAAATTTGAGTGCCCGCATCCGAAGACAGTCACTGAGTTCCGTTGATCCATCTGGGCGACGTTCGTGGAGCTGAACGGTGGCAGAGCAAGTCCGGTGAGGTGAAGCAGCAATTGTCTTCCTACTACTTTCAAGGCGTAAAAAGTCATTAGACGGAGATTGGAAAGCATTGATGCCCTCAATTGCATGGGTTGCAGTCGCTTTTCTTCGGGTCCGCGGTTTCGTGCTTTTCGGTGAGAGTAGAGACCCGCAAAAAAGAACACGTCAGGCGCCAACCCCTACGCACCCAGTACAACTAGAAATATTCCCAAAGGCAGTAAATGTGAACTGGGGTAATTTAACTCCTAATCCTTCATCAGATTGCATGTTTTAGGGAGTATATTAAGCGAGAAGACAATAGGTAAGGTAGTATGCAACCATCCATAGCCGGAACTCGCTTGGATGGTGACCGAAAAATGAGGCTGAAATTTCCCAATTCAGACACCCAGTGTCGCCCAAGACCAAGATATGCTGCGCCATGTATGTTGGTAGTGTAATTGGTAGCATACTTGCCAGCCTCATACATGCAATTTGGTAAACAAATGGGACTATCCTCTCCACAAACGTAAGGAAAAACTTGAAGGAATGCGAATATACAAACCGTAGTGTCAGCTTATTTGAACGAATTCCACGAACCAGATGTGGATCCGTTCCGCCTGGAAATGCTGAATGACTTCCACTCAAGCAGCGTTTATGGTTTCCCCGCCAGCCTCGATGGGGAAACTGAAAAGTGAAGGAGCTGACGTGAGAGTAGCGCATGTTGTAGGAAAGGAGATGGAGACCAGTTGTACCACAATCTCAAAATGTTCTCAGAGTCTGTAATAGAGGTTAGCAGTTGCCTATATTCAGAAGTGTCCCCTGATCCTCAACCGTTCTTTCTCACCTATCATTCAACGAAACAATGCAACGAAACCACAGCCTCTAGTCGCAAGATAGCGACCTACCAGCGCTTCATAAAGACCAGCCGGTTGAAGAATGAACTCGTCAGTGCTGCCATAGGTACGTTGTGTGCAGGGCCGATCGATTAAGTAAAAGTCAAGAGTCCCATTTCGACTTGATGAACTATCAAGAGACGGGATGATGCTCTGATGGTTGCGGCTCGACAGCTAGATCCTGAAACACAATATCAGACTGCAAAGCAAAGTTCCCTTCATGTCTTTACTGATTATTCTGAAAATCTCGGCATCTACTACGAGCGAAGAGTCCGGCCTTTTGGGATCGAATGAACAATCTTTCATGATGACTATTGCATTGCAAGTAAGTATGGCCAGAAGAGCATCAGTGAAGCTTGCTGATCTGACCTTTTATAGTAGAGCGGACTTTGAGCCTCTTCAGAGAGCAAAAAAAGGCAAAGGCCAGCCTGGTGAGTTCTGGGTATAGTGGTTGCATCGGTCGCCCGATAGGTAGAGTTTCCGATCGATTAGACCGAAAAGCGACTATCAAGAAGTGCGTTTTTTGAGGCTCTGCCGCTTACAACCTCCACCAAGAGGCCACATATTGAG